TGGAAGCAGTATTCCAGTTGGAAGTTACCGGATTTTTTTCCTGTGGATTCCGGTCAGTTTCCTGTGTTTTCCGGTCAGTTTTCTGTGTTTTACATCTGGAAGTTGATCGGAATCTACAGGAAGAAAATCCGGTAACTTCCAACTGGAATACTGCTTCCAGTTTCCAGCGCTTTCCTGTGCTTTCCGGCCGTTTCCCGCCGTACGTCCACGACCTGGGTAAATATTGGCAATAAATTAATGTTGAATTTGCGTGACCGCTTTAACTAATGATATTCTAGAATAAGTAACTGTATTATTCTAAGTCACTATAGTAGTTCTACTATTGATCAAAGATTAGGTTACATACATTTATTCTCATAATGTAAAATGAATTTTATTTTTATTAGAAGTAATACCATGAACATAAAAACAAGCATTACAACTCATAATGTTGACTCGATATGTTATTCAAGAAGAAAAAAATTCACCTCAAAACTCAGCAGTATAATTGAAACAATATATATCTGATATGTTTCTGTGCTAATAGAGAACTAGCTTTGAATATATCTTTAATAATCAGTATGTTTAAATATCAAAAGAAAAAATTTCATTTTTGTGCTCTTCTATTGTAGTAACAAGTAGCCCGTCGTAACTAAACAAATGTAATTCTATTTTAATTAGTTTTTGCTCGACTGGTTGATGCAAAGAAAATAAAAGGAAGAAGTGTTTTCTTTCATTTAACATTCTTTTTTAGTTTAATAATCAACAATGTTTGTTTTACAGAAGAGAAATGAACAAATCAAGTTATATTTTCCTAATTATAAAGAATTCAACATATTATTTTTGATAGACAAAAAAATCTTATGAAAACCTCGCTTTAGCCTTTTTGATTGACACCGATTAAAAAGAGAGTATTTGAAAGAACATCCTTTTAGATTTCCCTATGGCAGGTATAAAATAACATGATATCTGTGGCTGCCTATTCACTCTGTATTTAGTTTGTTTTTGAATAGCCAAACATATGAAAATGAAAAGTATCACATTGATTCTATCAAGAATAAAACAGAACAAACAACAAAACAATTTTACTTAGAATGTATGAAATTCTATACGCTTTAGCAATAATTTTTTGTACTGTTAAGTTGCATGCTATAAAAAAAAGCAGAACTTTTGAAGAGTACTTAGTCTTGTTGAAAATTTTTGTTGTCATTCAGTAATGCTTACTAACTCTCTTGACTCAAATTTATGCTTCAATCCTTCGTTTTTAATATTTTTTTGTTTCTTTTTTTGTGATCTAATGTTGATAGTTTGATTTCAATATCCTTGTTGAAGTGTTCGATCTTGTCATGTTCTTATTTCTCATTATTCTTTTTCTTTTTCCATTAATTTGCAACGACTGTCTTGTAAGTCTTGTTGTCAACATTCATGCATATATTTCAAGTGGAATATTATTTTTTCTTTTCTTTTCAATCATAATAAACTACAAAAAAAAAGATTAATTATTAATCGCAACGGAAATTGCAAATACCTTAGTTAATAATGCTTTTTCTCTGAAATAGCTCGGCATTCAAATCGACGATCGCCCTTGCTAATGTAGCTAATAGAATACACTTTCGTCAACTTTGTAGAAGCAATTTTTTTCTTTTCTCTTCACACTTTTACTTCACTTTGCCATTGATTTATTGTTGTCAAACATTCGAAGTTCTTTTCTCCCTTCGATCAACGATTGCTGTTCGATTGAATAGGTCGTCAGGGAGAAGTTTTTCCGTTCTGTTATTCTCTTCTTCTATGATTATTTGAAAAGCATCATTTTTTAATTCCATAATGTGTTCTTGCTGGCGGCTGTTGTTTGCATCAGTTTAGGTGTACAGAAGAGAATGGAAGCTTGTATTCAATCATTACCTAGCACACCTTATCGTTCTGCTAGAAGCAGATCCTATCAAACAACATATCAACGACAATTTTCTTCCTTGAAAAGATCATTGACGATTGACGAAGGTGTTCCAAGTGGTCAACAATTTTTGATTGGTTGTCCTTATCAATTAAATGATCCAGTAGGTGTATCATCATATACAGTAGATTATCCACATCAAAAGGATACTCAACCAGAATCAATTATTCGTCCAAATACGCCTCGAGCTCATCGACCTCATCCTAATCCGCAATTCACTCATTGGCCTCGTCGCCCGGTAACAGTTTCTTCGGTTGTGTCCGAAGAAACAAAACAAGCATTGAGAAATCAATTGAATTCAACATATCAAACAGATTATATTGGTAGATAAAAAGCTTAGATTTTTCTTATAATCTAGGAGATTTCTGTTTTCAGGTTCTCCTCAAGGATTTCCTCTACCATTGGCTTACAATCGATCACGTCCATTTTGGCGTAATCGAGGCCATCATACTCTTGATAGTGAATATCGTAGTTCTTATGAGCAACCTCTTCGAACAACATCAACAGTAACAACAACACTTTTTCCTGGACGCTATAGATTTAGTTGTCGAATTCCAGCTGACGCAGTTGTTCCTCTTACATTGCCTATGTGGAGAAACAAATCTTCAAAATCAACATACAAAAGAGAAATTAGTGAAAAGGCTCCATCTCAACTTTATATGAAAGATTTCGTTGATTCTCTCAGTGGGCCTATGGATCAATAAATGAGCTTTCCTTTAAATCTTTTCATTGAAATAGTTTCATGTTCGAGAAAAATAAAATACACAATCAAAAGAAAAAGAAATCATCTTCATATTATTGTCAATTTTGATATATCGTGGATGAATTAAATTTTCGATGAAGATTTTATTTTTAGAACGAACATAAATCATAAAATATTCAATATTATTTTAATCTTAATTAACCCGTATCAAATAACAGGCATCATTATATTTGACTTTATTCAATTTCATTCATGTGCTATTCAGCATCATAAATAGTTTTTTTCCTAAGAAATAATGAAACTGATAAGCATTTACTATTTTTAGAAACAGAAAAATGCTATCATCATGATTTCAATAGGTTTAGAAAATTAACTGATATCCGCCAAAGAAATAACAACGTTCAATATTTTAGATGATTCAGAAATCTATAAATATAGTTTTTAAATGATATGAAAATAAAAAGACATGTATATCAAATGATAAAGTTTTAAAAGACAAGAACTAGACATAGTTATAATACTGCTTTTGAGACTTTCAATAGAGTTTATAATTTATGTTTGTCGAGATTATGTAAAAACAAACCCCGTTTAAGTTTTACAATCGAATCGTTGGAAAATTCTTATGTTGCAAACTTCTTTTTCTCATTCTTATGAAAATATTTATTGCACGATAATAATAATTAGAGATCGATAAACAAACGGTGACCAATTATGAACCAAAGGGTGAATATTCAGGAGTGCTAAGATTAGAAGGTATTTTGTAACTAGCTATCCTACTAAACTCTTAAAAAAATGCTATTTCATCGTTAAATTTTTTTCAATTTTGGATTAAATTTATGTGTTGAATTGTTTAAGTAGTATATTTCGTAATACCATTCACTGATGTGTCTTCTCATAATCGTGTTCTATTGATAATTAATGAAGCAGAATCTTTAGTGGAAGTGTTATAATTCTTAGTTCATCTATTATTTAGCTCAGAAAATCGAAATCAATGTGTTTATTATCACTTGACCTATTATCTCGAATGTGAAAGAATGATTTCCAATATAACTAATACAAAAACTATCAATTATACTTCATAATAGAAATTATAAATTGTCTGAGAAAACGTAACATTTAAAGTAAGTCTCAATTTCGAATATTTTAGTTAATAGAATTTTATTTTATTATAGGCAACGAGAAAGTCGATAATTAGATACCACATGTCGAATAGTGACTCTACACAGAATCAGTATCAAAGTTTGAATAGATGATAAGAGTTTTGTTTTTAAACTGAAAACCAATGATTGATTGATCAACCTCTTCATCACATGTCGATAGTGAATTGTGTGCTGAATGAAAATACAACACTACTTTTCGTATTAGTACTAGAGTTCTGTGTATAGAAGATATGAACTTGCATATATCTCCTCTTATAAACTAACGCATTGAATTAGTTTTGTAAAGAAGAAAAAAAGTAGATGGAAATTGAACTTTTTTAGAAGTGATTAATCCCTTTATACATATGAGAAAAGACCGTATTTTATCGAAGCAATTGTTGATGAAGAAGGAGAAAAGCGACGGCTGTCTTTCTTATATGAACTATAATACAGAACAGTATCTCGATTTCAATAAAAACGTCTGCACATTTATTCACCAACTAAAATGTAGTTTTCATAAAAACTCGCTACACATTAAATGTACTTAAACGCAGTTAAAAATTGTGTATTGTCATGGTCATTTCATTACGATTTAGTAATCGAAAATACTTTACTCCTATGCTAGGCAAAACGATAATTTATCGAATCATATAACCTACAATAAAAGTTCTTCATCCACTGGTCAGATGCATCTTCAACAATAATCTAAATAAAAAGAATCACACGTTATAATCTAACAACACATATATTTTCATCTATCTCTACTTTAACTATACAGTTTTCATCCATTCAAAAGATCGCTACTACTACTTGATATTGACTTATTAGTTTAATTTAAAATTATATGTAAAGATAGAGTAGAGTGTTCAGCAAGGATATTTCTATCAATCGATGTAGCTATATTCTAGTAATTGTATTATTTTTATTGTCCATAAAATAAAAGAGATACGTGTTTTGTCAGGCCATAATTTTTAGGGATGATATTATTTTACAAATATTTTACGTGGACAAGTCTTTTATTTGTAGGAACCTATTTGAACAAAGCTGAAAGCATGCACACTTTTTATTTTTGTTCATCAAATTCTTCGATCATGCGTCAACAAAGCATTAATGCAAGTAGTTCAGATATTTGTTTCTAACGATCTATTTCTAATGAATCATAAAAATGTACTAAATGTACGGTCTATTCAAACACAACTGATATCCATAAATATTCGTAGAAAACTGTATTATTCTTATTGAGACAACAACAACAACAACTTTTCTTCATCAGGAAAAAGATTGGTATTAATAAATCTCGTGATGTTTCGAAGAGTATATTATCACATATTTTTGTCATTATTTTATCTTTCCATTTTTTTTTCATTTCTGAACATTCACAAAAATGTTTTACAAATTTCTCAGAGTGATGTATATTCATTAGATATATAAATTCCCATACGAGTTATACGACTGTTTTCATTGAGCCTAGTATAAAACCACACCTGTGCCTATTTAAATAGCTATCAGAAATCGATTTATTATTATACTAGTTGTTAGAAAAGTATCAATTGATTGTTTTTTGTCGTAGTTACAACTCTTGTCAATAGAGACCTGTTTATAAGTGTTGAAATCAAAATATTAACACGAATCGTAGATTTCTTCAAATAAAAGATTCTAAACTGAACGAAGTGTCATTTTTTTGAATAGAACTCGACAGCCCTATATAATTACACCCGAAAACAAGACTATGGTTCTGATTTGATTGTATGTAGAGAAAGCACAACTAGAAAAAATGATGTTATATTTCGCCATCAAAACTATTATTTGCACTCGTAATCTTTAAAACATTAATTTCACATATATCCTCGAATTCTACTCTTCATGGAACCATTGAACTCTATGTATGTGCACAAAAATATTACCTACACAATAGTGGCAAAACCAATGCTTCTCAACTTATCAATCATTTTACTAATTTTTAAATCACACCAATGAATTAATATATATCTTTGTTTGTTGATACTGTTGTTGTGTATTTTGATCTGATGAGTAATGCATGCTTTCATCGGCAAAAGCAAGCAAATTCTTACACGTATTTATTACATTTCATTAATACTCTTATCGTCTAGGTTCCACATTTTCTTTATTCTCTTACCGTTTTTTTTACTTTTTTTCTAAAAGTATTTTTTATTATGTTTTGTTGTCTAACATCAATCGTTTGCATAAGTTTTTTTTAGTGTTTGCTCACTGGCTATCAGGATAGGTAAAGCAAGTACAATCATAGTGTAATATTTCTATTGATTTATAAAATCGGACTTCTACTATTTTGCCATCATCACTCGAGTTAACTTGGATGACCAGAAAAAGATACTACGCACCAGGGATGGAAGTAGAAAAGGTCGAAACAAACGAAATATTCAGTTTTCAGTTTTTGTCTTATTTTCCACAGCAACTAAGCTCATATTCAACCAGAATTAACGCTCATGCTTAGTTTCTGAAAAATAGTAGAGCGCCTTGATGCAAAATAAGGCAACGTTCATATAAAGAATAATTATTAAAATAAATCGAAAATTTATTTTTGTATCCTATCCAAAAGAAGTGTTTGTATTATCCCGAAAAACTCGTGATGTGTTTTCGAGCCTATTTTTCTGGCTTCGAATCAGCTCTGAATTTTCTTATTAGGATAATTGATCATTTTTTTAAAGTATACAATCTGATTAGTTTTCAAACTCCAAAACTTTTCATCTTACATAAAATCTATTTTTACATGATGGCAATAATTTGTGTCTATAAGAAGATATACTATATATATTGAACAGTTATTCAAAAATATTCTCACATTGCTACCTATATATAGTTCATATAGGAGAGAAATCAGGTAAAAATTTAATGTTAATGAATATATCGGATGAAATAATTATTTTCATGTTGTTACACCAATCAAATCAGTTTTATTCAAGTTTTTATGTTAGGGGGAGTAAGTTTATCAATTTTCACAGCAGTATGATTATAGGATTGATTTTTAATTGAAAATTCTGACGAGATTTGATAAGAATAATCATGTATACTTACAGAAACTTTATTTTAGATTTCCGACGCTCTACTTTCGTCATGTATTCATAATTATTGTTTTGGTTTTGTTCTGTTCTGTTGTGAATCATGTGTGTATGTTTGCACAAAGTGAAATTTGCAACGGGTTAACAGCATAAACATGCACACTTGTTATGATAATTTCCATGCTGGAATGTTTTTTGAATATTCTCGCGAGAAACAAGAAGAACTTATACATCGAGCTACTCGTCAAGGTCATGCATTTTCGCTTGAAACTTATCTAAATTATTACACTGCGGAAAATATAAACCAACAATATGTATATGGACGATCGAAATGGACTTTATTAATTGCTGCATGTTTTTATAGACATGAAAATATTGTACGTATGTTAATGCATCGTTTTAAACCCGATGTTGATGCAGTAGGTAATATCAAACTTGATTTTGTACATGATATAATGTACAGTGTGTCTCCATTATGGGTGGCCGTAGCTGTTGGTCATTTTGGAATTGTAAAATTATTAGTTGAAGAAGGTAATGCAAATGTAAATCATTTATCTATAACACGTAGTTCACCACTTCGTGCTGCTTCATATATCGGACGACTTGATATAGCTCGTTACTTAATTATGCATGGTGCTGATATGAAACTTGTTCGAGATGGAAACTATACGAATTTAATGTTAAGTGCTTATCGTGGACATGCACATATAGTAGAATATTTTCTTGATAAATTAGGATGTGATCCAAATGAATTTGATCGAGATGGCCGAACAGCATTACACTATGGTATGGATGGTGATTCAATCGAGGTTGTTCGACTACTATTAAAATATGGAACGAAAAATATTTCTCACAATACAATAAGTCCACTAATGTTAGCTGCGCTAGAAGCAAGAGAAAATTTAGTTGATGCTTTTGAAAATTATCGTTGTTCAGATATGGAATGGATTGAAGCAAGAGAAATACTTGGGGCAACCTATGCAAATATTGAATCGAAAAATTATAATATTGATAAAGCTATAGAACACATAACAATAGCATATAAATGGAGAATGGAAAAGAACCTTCCAAAAGCATCTCCATCTATTTTACCTATTGAAGCATTTAATTATCCTCAAGAATGTCAAACATTAGAAGAATTTAATCATATTTTATCTGAATCGAATACTCGACTACATATTGAATCTTTATTGATACAAGAAAGACTTTTAGGTCAGAAAAATAAACGATATCGTCATGCTGTACGGTTTTACGGTACTGTATTAGCTGATGCAAATCAATATCATGCATCACTTCAATTTTGGTTATATGAACTTAATATACGACGAGAACATAACATCAATTTTGATAAATGGCATTTACGTGGTTTCGTTCATATGTTTTCCAAAATGATAAAAAATAATATCGATATTATATCTGAAAAAGCTATACTAGAAATTTTAAAAGCACTTAATGACGAACTTGCAAATGGTAGTAGTAATGATCACAACTTATTTACACTTTTCTATCTGATCACAGTTATTAGTCACGTAGGTTAATTTCTCTGAAAATTTTAAAGTTCTCTACCTTTTTTTAAATTATTTTTCATTCTAATAGTATTTGTTGTAAAACCTTTTATATAATTATATATATATACATTTGATCATAGGTATCGGAAGAACAACGACTGTCTACTTATACGATAGATATCTATCGAAAATTAGTGATATTTGTTCGAGCCAACTATAGAACTAAAGAAAACTCACAACATTGGACTCTACTTCATCTAAGTATGATGATAGGACTACAAGGAATAAATGATAATCATATTATAAGCTTGTGCAAGTACGTATTCTATTTTTCATTTTTGAATTTCTAAGCAAGATTAGGTTGTTGCTGTTGTTTTTCTTTAAATCTAGATACCCATGTCATAAAACGATTGGTTTATTACTTCAATGTGGTGCCAACGTCGATACGGTTGACTCAAAAAGAAATACTCCATTACATTTAATAGCTCAACGTAAATGTGATACTGATAATGTATTGTTTATAATTGATATGCTTTGCAATAATTTTGGAGCACATTCCGATTGCGTTAACGATCAAGGGAAAACACCTCTTGAAACTGCATCGAATATACGTGTCAAAGAACATCTCCGTAAGAAAATAGGTGTTGGTCAACTTAAATGTTTATGTGCTCGATTTATTCAACAAACAAAAGTTGTATTTCAAAATCATCATTTTCCTTTAAATCTGGTTAATTTTATTGAGAAACACTAAATATAAATTTGATCTCATGAATCTATGGCAAAACAAGAAAAATAATTTTTGAATGCTTTGCTTTTTTAAATATAGTGGTTAATAATCACTTTCTTTCTTAAAATGATTCCATAGATGAATTCATAATTGTCAAAATCAATTTATTCTTTTCATTTATCGAAATCAAATCAATTATTAGTTTTACTATAGATTTTCTAATTTTATTTTCTGAATAGACTGCTTCATCTATATGATTCACAACATAAAAACACCCGTCTTTCCGAAGAGAAATTTGCGATATAGCAAAATCTGAAGTAAAACTATACTTCGGTTATGAGATTCTCTTTTTCATGTGCGATTTTCAATAGATTTGAATCTCTCAAGTATTTCAAATTTAGAAATGAAATTCAGGCATTAAACATTTCAGAAAACTTGTTCTCATAAAAATCATCTGTATTTGCATTGCTATGTATTGGCACGTAGTTGCCTTCGACATGTGACGGCCTATGGTCATATCGGTGCACAGAACGAAACTATACCTTAATTGCTTTCGTTAGGATCTTCCTGTAGACCTTGTAAACTGAGATCAACGATACAATTTATTACTAAATTAACAGAAAATTTTGATCATGTGTAGTGCTCATCTCTACTCGAGAACATTTCAAAAAGATTTTATTTCTTTATATTTATGAAAAATTATCAAAAATCTGCTTAAACAACTGATGAACTTGTGCTATTTCGATGAAACTATAATCTATTTTTAAACTTATATTTTAGTTTATTCTATGTTCTAGGATTTTTCAAATGATTTTTTCCTTAATTCAAATTTTTTAAGGGATTCTAATTAATAAAGCTTCGTTAATCTTTTTTAATCAATTCAAAAAGGATTCAAAAACACCAAAACACTACAAAAAACCTAAAAATCGTACTACTAGAGTTTCGACTACAATGCACTAAAAGCAATGCCATTTGAATTAATGTTCGATGAAGAAATGAATCTTCTTAGACAAATGTCTTGTCTTTTTCGTAAAATGAAGGTGTGATACTAGTGGTGTATGCATCGAATAATAAATCATCATTCAATTAGAATAAGAATTCTTTTAATAGCAATGTGACATTCATTTCTTTGTTATATCTTGTCCTGGTGGTAATCTCTGATCAGTATGAAAGATTGATCTCCTTTCTTTTCACAGATATATAACTATATAGAAAAAAAAATCAATAGAATATTTAACTATCATATTGTTTGATAGACACAGAATCAAAAATTTTTGTAGTTGATATAGATATTTATTTGTACAGAGTCAGATATAATTATTATTATTTATTTTAATCTAACATATACTTTGTTAGAAATATATACAACTACATCCATATTCATTTGATTGAACTTATATTTATTCTATTATAAATAACTTTACTGTATGATAAATGAAAAATAATTATTTTCTTATCAGAATTAATACTGTAGTTACTTCGCATTTGTCAAATACTAAATCAAAACTTTGACATATTCAAGAAATAAAATAAAAAGATATCTATTGCTTTTGCAAATACTAGAAATAAAATTAATAACAACAATCGATTTTTTGAGACTTGATGTAAAATACAAATAAGTTTTTCAGAAAGAATAAAAACACAAATATCAGTTTGTTTCTTTATTTGTAATGAAAATTAGTGAGAAAATACTGTTTTTTTCTTACATGAAGCTGAAAATATTTCAAGAAAAAGATAATAAAATAAAATAATCAAACGATTCTGGCATATTCATCATAAATATTTGAATCAGGCATTGTTTCTCGAATATGATCTAATTGTTCAAATAAAATTCCATAATCATCTTGTCCAAACCGTGGCCGAATAGATATAACAGGATCTGGTAAACCATTTATTAAAGTTTTATAGTTAAGTAAATTATAATAACTATCATCTTCATCATTATTACTGGTTGTAGTTTCCTCGTGCTCTTTCTCTCCTTTTCCCTCTTCTATATCGTATTCGGGCATTTTCGGACGAATATCTCGTAATTGAGTACCAATGGAAGAAGTTGAGTGTAGAAGAATTGGTAAAAGTGATGTATTTCGTTTGAGCATCGTTGAATGTGGAGTTGTCGATGAACTTGATGATGCATAGGTATAACGATCTGTTGTTAATTCTTCGTCGTTGGTTAATTGTATGATACCTGGCAGTTGAGTTCCTTCTCTAACAAATCTAGACTGTTTATCATCGATCAAACGAGGTATTTGTAATATTGACATCGTTAGTGGAGAGGTTGGAGATTGTTTCGAAACCGAATGTTGAGTCTTTCTGGACGATGCACGTGATTTTCTATTCGATTCATGAGATGTACGATAAGCAAGAGAGTCAGAAGGCAGTGGATGAGGAGGAGGAGGAGGATTTAGTCGACTGTATAAAGTATTAAACGCTTTATTGCCTTTTTTACGTTTCGTTTTTTGTTTTTGTTGCTGCTGTTTCGAATATTGTGAACAGGTACTTGATGAGTTACTTGTACTAATGATTACACTATCATTTGAATCATTTTTTTGAGGCGTTGAATGATGCATTTTAGAACCGGATATTTTGACACGTTCGAGTGGTTTTTGTTTACGACGTAATCCTAGTTTTCTAATGGTTGCTCTGTTATTATTTTCTTGATCGTCAATTGCCGTACCGATTGATGCCTATCATCAAAAGAAAGAAAGAAAGAATAAACTAAACATTGATTAAAAACAGAGATTCGAATGCAGACATTTCCGTCACTTTGTATTATCAAATGCCACTTTTAATTGATTCTTTTCGGCTTATTCTCGTGAGGAAATTCTTTTGAAGGAAATTAGTTTTTCTATTCAACGAACAAAGCTTGAAATAGTAATAAAGGATATAAATATAGGTATGAACAAGATGGCAGTTGACTCGATGCAAATTTTTAAGTTTTCAAAGTACTCGACGAATAATTGTGTAGTTTTTACAGATATTTTGAATTATTTGCACGAAAATGAAAAATATTAACAAGATTACATCGTTGCGAGAGATTTTTTGAAAAGGAACGATGTTATCAAAAGCTAAATGTTTTTATAATTCAATCTATTTGATATAAAACAAAATAGTAATTTAGTTCTAAGAATTTAAAACCAATTGAACTCAATAGATAACTCAAGTTGTTGTTATGATTCTGTCTGTTTGTCTCTCCATATACATATAAATTATTCAGTCTATACAAAATATTAACTTTAGAGAACTAAAATTGTTTGTGATTTTGTGAAACAAAGCGACTGTTGTATGTATAAAAATAACTGAACGTTTAAATGGCTCTTATGAGAATGGCAATTATGTTTATTTGGATGTTGACGAAATATTAATGTCCTCGGTACGATTATATCATAGATGTTTTGTTTGGCGAACACGTTTCGAATACTTTTTGTATGAGAAACATACATATATATATTTTTTTTCTTTTGTCTATTTACCATCGATTCTGTATAGTTTAAAAATACTTCAATTCGTGTAAATCAACATTTTGAAACACTGTCATCAAAGTATTTCATAGTGTAGTTTCAATTCATTATTGACATATTTTAACTGTTTAGAGATTTTTCTACTTGAAATATGTTGACAACTTTTTAAAATACTGATGATTCTCAATTCTAGATGAAGTATCGAGAAGAAAAAACACACATCGTCGATGTGTTCCAACGAAAACCTTACAAGAGAGTAACACATGTACATATATGTATCCAATACCTATCGAATTTGGTTCATGGTCAATACTATTAATTAAGAGACATGGAATCAGTTGATGTTTTTGTAATCGAAAGGAACCGATTCAAAACTTCTAATAAGTTCGTAAATCTATTCGAGTATTAAGTTTAGATTGTATCTATGTATTTGTTTTTAATCATCGAACAATACGAAGCCAATGGAGGTTTTCAAAAAAAAACAATTTTTAAAACACATCGGTCTCATCTCTGTTTATTAATTTAATCATTAATTACTTTTTTTCTCAATGAACCAAACTTAAATCATATCAATCAAGTTAAAAAGAAAGATTTTCTCTTGTATCAGTAATTAAATATTTTAGTATACGAGTAATACTTATTCAAAAGAAAGTTGCTGTATATTTTTAAAAACGTTTTCACTACTAATAGATTATTCTTATTTATCTGACTCACTGATTCTTGTAATGATCTTCTACTATTGTATGCTTTGAAAGAATTATCACCAATGAATTTCCTTTGTTTTGTTTTGATTAATTTTCGCAATGTAATTAAATCTTGTTGGATTCTTGAGTGTAGTGGATCTAGTTCAATTGAATTCTTTTCATTGTTTTCTTTTCCCGATGTTGTTGTAGCAATGTAATCATTAATACGATAACTTTTTTGTTCAACATTTAACTTTTGTGCTATTCCCGGTATATTTTTCGATGTATCTTGTGCAGTTGCTGGCACATCTTGAAAAGATGTTGAAGAATCACATGTAGGAGTTACAAAAGAATTATTTCGAACAAGTGTTGCCACTTCTTGCCATTGTCTTTTCATAGATCGATAATGATGAAGACGTTGAGTAACACGTGTATTAAAATATTGTAAAACTGTTGTTGATGGTTGTGATGTAAAAGTCACAAGAGAATTTTGTGCTTGACTTTCAAATCTATCTTTAATATCCTTCATGTAGGATGCCGTATGACGCGATGAACAGGGAATAGAAGCCATTCTACTGTTCAATAACATGATCTTTTTTTTCTTCTTTCAACAAAATGAATACTTAATGATATAAAAATAGAATTTATTTTAATCAATCAGCTGCTTGCTTTTGTCACTCTATCGTCAATTTAAAAACAAAATATATACACAAAAGTTTTTCATCATTCTTACTCGTTTATATATATATATATATATATGTGTGTGTGTGTGTGTGTATGAGTGCCAATGTATTTTATATTATGATTTCATCCACCTACTAGAGGTCGGAAATGAGAAGTAAATAGAATGTTACTCCGAAAATAATATGTGTGTATTTTCTTTTCTAAAATCGATTTGAATATACACACCATAGGATTACCACTGAGTGTGTGTACTCAGAAAAAAAGAAGAGAGGAGAGAGAGAAAGGCAAAGAAAAGAAGACTTATTGTACGATTTAAGACTGTAAAAATAGTATCAGACAGAATGCCTTTGCATTTCTACTCTAAGACAATATCTTCGTCTTATTATAAAAAAGAAAGAATTAACAAATATATTTTAATTGAAATCTACAACATATTTTTCATTTGAATTTAGCTTTTGCTTCGAAATAATTCGTAATTTATTAAAAATAATGATATTTTTCGGTTGCATAAATTAGCATTAGAAATAATTTTGAATTTTTTGATTCAATTGCTCGGCTTGACTACGACAAATAGAAGAATAAAACAATATTGATTTGATATAATTTTGTTTTGTTACTATATGCATAAATAGTCGTAGACATGTGTCGAGCGATACAGTGTTTTCTTAAGAAACAAACTTTTAACATTGTCTCAGAATATGAAAATCATTTGATGTGAACTTAAGTTATCTAATATGACTGATGCAATAGATAGGCAAGCGAAAAAAACTGAAAGCGTATTGATCAGATTGTTATGAATGAGTTCAGATCATGTAACAGAAAAAGAAAAGAAAAGAAAATAACTTTAGCATAGTTTTATATTTTAATTAATTTCGTATTAGAAAATTAATTAGTATTACATTGAATTCAAATGATTACACATGTTACCACTGTTATCTTTCGATACATTTAAATAGAATTATTATGACTATTATATAACTTATATAACTTTTTTCTTTTCTTTGTTCGATTAAAACAGTATTAGTTATTGATTATATGTAATAAATTTGGTTTCATTTTTTGTGTACTCAAAAAGTGAGTACACTCTAGAATCGGTCAGTGTGTCCGTCCGGCCGTCCGTTTACACAATAACTTTGGAAAGGAGAGTTAGATCATGATGAAATTTTCTACAGTTCAGCGTCATCAATGTCTCAGTCGAGTTCGAAGATGAGAAGGATCCGTCAAGAAATGATTGAGTTATCGAAAAAATTGTCATTATTGACCAGACCATCCCTGAGGGGGAGCACAGGGATTTTTCAAAAAAACGTTTTTTCCTCAGAATTATCCACAACATATATAAATCGACTCAGTTTTTAACGCTGATTTTGAATCTAATATTAGTTTTGGAAAAAATCGTAGTTTTTTAACGAAACATTGACTGAAAAAGGTCTCAAATACACAAAAACTGCATCTAGAAACCAAATTGCCTAGATATGTTTCAGATGACCAGCAGTTTGGGGGTTTCTCAAATGCCTGGTTTTGTAGCTAGTCAAAAAGACTGTCGAAAGGTAAAAACCCGAACTCGATAGCTATTACTATTGATGATTTATTATGAAAATACTGATGCCTGTATCTATCATATATCTCTTATAAATTCATGAGGTTGCTTACGATCGTAATCCTGCTAGATACAAACACAAAACCATTCAAAAATAACTGTTCTTATCCAGTTTTCGAAGCTGAACACGAATCTGAGCTCGATTTCTGTGATCTCTAAAGATATTATATCACGCTGAGAGTAGAGTCAGTGATCACTGGATAGCGTTGCATACAGTGTGGTCCAGGCTAACTTAGCATGCCTGTATTTTCTCCTTGTAATTTAGTGAGAAGGGATGTATCTTGATGAGATCTATGCCTTACAGGAAAAAAATAGATGTACATTTTCGCTTTTTGAAGTACACATAACAATCGGATGCAAATCCGATGTTTCCGCATTTATTTAAGTATGTTTTTTGACATGTTTTAGGGTCTTGAATTTTAAGTGGAAATAAAATAATAACGATTTAATACAAAAGAAATAATGCTATTGTTTTGTTTTTGTTCTATTCGAAATTAATTAAATAAAAGTGTCATGTGGTGACCGTATTTGCCTATTTGATATGTATATTGGTTGGTTGATTAGCAGACTTATTTTATCTATTAGAATCATGGTTAACGAGATCAGAGAAAAATAAAATTGCTATTGCATAAATATTACTGTCTATCATTATCATATAAACGTTATATTTTGCTGCTTAGCTAATATATACGACCACGCATATTTATATTTTCGATAGCAGCGGTAATGAAAATATGAAATTATGAAAGTTATAATTTTGATAGAATCAGATTTTTCCTAGTAGGCCACAATACGAGGTAATTGAGATTATAAACCTTGTTCTTTTACAACAAAATTTATTAGAATTTGTTTTAAAAATAGCTTAGAAATATAATATGGATTAGGTAAATTAGTTATCATATAAAATCGAAAATCTTTAATATATTCAACTTTATAATCACCCAATTTGAATATATCAACACGATCAATACGTTTAACAGCACACATCACAAGAGAATCTAATGATGGATCAAGTTTTTCTTTAATATTTCGACAAAGGCATGTACGATTAGAACAAATAATTACATTCTTCAATAAAATGTCAATAATCAAATGTTTGAAGATCAGTAAGATGTAAATTATTTGACATTTTCATTTTTTTTAATCTATTTTATCGCTTGAGCTTGTGAATCAATTATTCTAATAAAAAAAAAACAAATGCAAAATCTTTAGCTCAGTGGCGGTGGAGCCATTGAGACATGTGACGCTCAGCCTCACCGAACTTTGGGCTTGACATCCGACGATAATATATTGTGTTCAAATGGCGGGAGCACTTGTGCATGGATGTCGCAAGCAGGAGGTGACTTCCTTAGCAATCGGATATTGCTTTATTATTCTGACTGAAAGATAGGGTTTCTTATGAGATATGGAGAGCCTAATAGCTTCTTCGCAAAAATCCGGATTCAAGCGGTAGTTCTCAACAAAACAAATTCTATAGAAATATCAAAAGTTTTTCGCTTCGCGAAAATGTAGCAACTATCTTAGTATGGTCAACTTAAAAGCCCTTTGAAGTTTTTGTAAACAGCTTCGTTTTGAAATAGTCATTGGAAACATGAACGCTTCGGTGGCAAAAGTATTGAATAGCCAGTTAGATTTCTCGTTCCCACACTCTACTTCCACTTTCTTGCTTTTTATTCCTCTGCCTAACAAAACGAAAAAAAATGAACACAGGAAAAAAATCGTGGCTTATAAAATAACAGAAGAACGAACCAAAGAAAAAAGAAAGCAGATCATCCAATACCTTTATCTCCTATCCTAACATAGCCTCTTTTGAATTGAATCGGAAGACATTTTGTTTTCACAATGCGTAAAATTTATTCTATTCATGGCAATTTAACGACTACACGAACGGCATAGGCAGCTGTAGAGATTTCAAGATTTTTTTCAGAAATTTAGTTTCTTTTAAAACTGCTTCATTTTTAACCAAATCTTGGTACACTTCTATACTTGTGATAGTTTGTGATCCACGAGCGAACAAAGAAAACTGAATTTTGAAGCTTTTGAACGTATCTCTTGTTATCCGTTTTTTTTTGTTGTTGATTTACTGGAATTGAAAAACACATTTGCTTGATGGTTTGGTATAAGTTTGATAGTAGAATTTTGCATGGAGAAACCCTATAAGTCTCAGTTAGATTCAAAACGCTACGTCGCCTCTGCTTTAGCTAAAAAACCAAATTCTTACAAAAGTCAATATATTCCATGGGTTACTTTAATAAAATTTTGTTTTTCATGGAACTGTAGTCTTTTTATGGCAAAGTCAGATAAAGTAGGCGATAGATTCACTCTATATAAACTAGCTATTTTTTAACATGATCATCGACATAAAGACTCGCCAAATCACAGGAAAAATTCTCCTACAAATAACCAGCATCGTCATCTCTTTTTTCTGATGTGTACATCGTGAAAGCTATTGTAATTTAATTTATTTGGGATTTTATATAAAACAAGGATCATAAATTTATCTGTCTTGGAAATAATTTATTGTTGTTGAATCAGAGATGAAATATTGCAATTGTGAACAGTCACAATGAATAGCAATTAGATGTGACAGATAAGAATATACAAGAGTTATTAACTAGGAAATTCCTTCGAAGGGTTCAAGTCACAAGCTAGAGTATTTTTAACAGAACTTTAATTATAATTCATCGTAGGCATTTATTAGACTGTATCTCTGAACTTTGGAAAGAATGAATTTTAGCGACTAATAAAAATAAAGTTAAGATAAAATGGAGTCTGAATATATTATCTTTATTAGAATTTATATGACTATATAAGTTCGAGGATTAAAAATTAAAAACTTTTAGTTTTAATTTAATTAAAAATTAAATTGATAGTTGAAAATAAGTTGAACAGTTTTTCTTGAATTTTAATTTTTGTTCGTAAAGAAAAACCTACGATTAAATAGCTAATTTACTATTATTTATCAAATATCGACAAAAATCTTGAATTCTACAAGAAAAAAAAATGCATGAATATTATTTCAATTTCATAAGGTGTGATATAAATAGATCGTATGTTCGAATATCTAGTGATTTTATTGTCATCAAGTTAGTGATTACTAATCACTGATTAGTAATTTTGATGTTTGTTTTCTTTTACAAATATCCTAGAAATTTGAATATGACGCTTTCTATTCTATCACGACACTATCAAGCGACTTCTTTATCATTATTTTGTACCTCGTATCACTATCTATTTATTTTCGTTCGCACCCCGTCATGTAGACAGAATATACTAAGGGCAAAATTAATCGCATTTTTCTACCTAGTCGACGCGAAACCATACCTATAGTTATAAACATAACCTTATATAAAATACCTTGGTAATAAGTATTACATGAAAAAAAAGCAACCCTAACGTTATGCTTACATAAAAAAATATTCACGTCACTACAATTTTATTTTTGTACCCAGAAAAATATCTATCATAGAGCAAAACATATGTACTAATCACTTAGTAAGTCTCAAAAATGTTTTTGGACTACTGTCACTATGGTATTAAAAATATCAGCAATTATTATTGTTATTACTTTACTTTATTCAAAATGAAGGGAGAAAAGAAGAAGAAAAAGAAAGAAAAAAGAAAAAGCACATGTATACATGTAGGGGTGAGCGCGGTCGTTGGCTTCTATCGCACGAAACATTTTATGAGGTTCTCACTCGTTCGATTCTTCATTCTCCTAGACGATCGTCGATATTATAACAACTGCCATCATCATAGTTGATATGGAAGGTAACTAACAACGTACACAAACAAAACAAAGAGTATGTATATTTTCACAAATAGTTTATCTAAAACCAACGTACGATTTTTGAAAGTCCAATAAATTCCTCGTCACTTTCATTCCAGGATACTAGCCATGATGTATCTATAAATATCTTTGTAATGTTGCAGGCAATATTCTGATCTTTTTATTCTTATCATTTAACAATTACATTCGAGCCAAAAGGGCACTAAAGCGATAAAACAATCAAATATACAAGCAGCTGTCACAAAATATGCTTTAAAAATGCATAATAGTGCAAAAGCGAATAAAAACAAGCCAAACTTTATAAAAATATATTTAGTGATTGTCATGTGATTATACTTGAATCTCTAAGAAAGTCAAGTATTTTTTATGATCGTGTTTTTGACAATATAGAAATTTATCATAGTTTTATTGCTAGAAATCATCTGTAATTGACTTTGTTTCCATTGAAATATTGGAAAAAAATGAATTTCTTATATTTTTTTCGTAATTATTCTTTCTGTAGTCTATATTTGATTGATTTTGCAATGTAGTTAAAATATTTCTTTCTTTTAGATAGAACTAAAAAATGTGGGATACAACACGATTTGCTTATCATGTTCCAACTTTATCTTTTTCTTTTGAACATGATATTCGAACTCGATTACAAAGTCTTCATCTTCGTGCTCGATCAACTTTTATTTCACTTCAAAGTATGCAACGTTATCATTTGACTTTCAAAGACGTGCCACCAATATTGATTGAACCATTTATATTACGTGGTTATCGATCGACTCATCAACCATGGTCTTACTATTGGAAATCATTATTTCATAAACATAATGAAACAATCAACGTTTGGAGTCATTTAATAGGCATATTATACATGATACATTTATTATATTATTATAATCAACGATTGCAATTTTTTGAAAATGCTCATTCGTGGCCATTTGTTGTATCATTGTGTACGGCAATCATTATGTTTATGAGTTCAGCATTTGCACATTTATTGCATTCAAAATCTGAAAAAATTCATAAAACTTGCTTTGCAATTGATTATGTTGGAGTTAGTTTACATGGATTTGGCTCAGGATTTCTTCATATCTATTATTCAGCACCACAATGGTATTATGATAAAATTGAATATCAATACATATTTATTCTGCTTTTACTTGGTATTCTGGCTTGTTTTTTAAATTGTTTTGCTCAATACCATTTTCATCCACCTTATCCCCCATTAAAACGTATTTGTCAATTTCTGCCATGTGGAATTTTATGGATTTATTCAGTTATACCATTAGTTATCAGTTTATTTCCATTGATTTTTCCATTAAATTCAAGTTCATTATGTCATTTAGGACAAATAATATTATTTATTGTTGGTGCAACATTTTTTGCTTTTGATATACCTCAACGTTTTTGGCCTGGTGCTTTGGATTTCATTGGTCAAGGTCATCATTTATTTCATTTATGTATTTATTTTGTAACTCTATGTCAAATGCATGGTGTCTATTGGGATTATGAAACTCATCAAAAAATAATTGACCAAAGAAGTAAACCAGATTTAATATTTTGCGCTGGTTCCATGATATCTCTTATTTTATGGGACATTGTTATTGTTTGGTATTTTCGACGACGTCTAGGTGACAAAGATCATGGTCATTAAGAAAAATTTCACGTTAAAAATATATATAGTTAAAAAACATTTGATTTGATTCTTTTCGTATATTTTTTTTGTTTTAAATTTCAAAGAAAGGAACTGATATGAACAAAAACATGTAAGATAATATCGAACAATAAAAATATTTTCATCATGAATTTCTAGTATAAACAAGAAATAAAAAAAGTTTTTTTTATATCGTTTATTTTTTTTCTTCAGCCAAAAATACTCAACGTTTACAGAAAGAATAAGCATTGAGATGAATAAAAGTAGAGCTTATATTTATTTTCTGATTGAATATTTTTGTATAAAAGAATTACTAAGTATTTTTTCATACAAGTACGGAAAGTATGAAGTACATTAAAAAGCAACAACGTACTTATATACTCTTGGATTTTAAATTAATTTTAGTAAAATACTTTCTAAATCATGACCAAAAATAAACTAAATAAAATTCATCTGAAGATGAATTTCAGCTATGGAGTATACGGGGTAGAGGAGTAGCGAGTACTTTAGAAACAGGATTAGAAGGCATGACCTAGTGCAAGAAAAGAAATACTTTTTCTTCGTACTGCTTATGTAAATACAGTAACACTGGTAGTAGAGTACATAAAAAAGCATGATTCATAATAAATAGTAACAGCTCAATGAGGGTACATACTTGATGAAATTATACAAGTATCTGAAAAAAGAAAAATACTTTCAACATCAATTATTTATTTTGTTTTAATTACTTTTATTTTGACAAATTGTTTTCTAATGATCAATACCATAACCTATTCAGATAGGCATGTTGATGATGCATATGGCATACGTATGACTAGTACTAATTTATTTGCTGTACTTGCTCAAAATAATGCACTTCGTTATGCGATTTCAATGATTCCTTTTGAACCAAACTATATATGCCATTATAATTATAGTGATTCAAATTATTTTATTATTAGTATAGCTGTTGATCGACGACAAAAATTTTTCTCAATTATCATTTGTCTATTCAAGCACAAATGCAACAGATGGACAATATCAAAAGTTAGGTTCATTTACATTTTCAAGAGGAAATAGAATGATTTCATTAAAAAAATCGTGTAATCCAATGTTAAGTTTTAATGAAGATGAAAATGAGGTGAAAGTATGGAAACGTAAACCACCTGAACTATCAACATTGCAAGTTGATCTTTTTGAAAAATATACATATGAATTTCTCTCGAACAATATCTTCATTTATGATATTGAAAAAAATGCAAAAATCTCGTTTGAGATGATATTTTCCCATCAATCAATGTCAAGCCCCATGCACTGGATGTCAGTGAAGCAAGTGATGGCTTTTCAATTGCAATTGTTGCTGGTTATCATCACTTAGATACTGAAAAAACATTACCAGCTGTTTATCTTGTTCGTTCGAATCCACCCAATAATATGACACTTGTTGATAATTATATTTTGTATTCTGATACTCAAAAAATTGTTCGTGGACCTTATGTTTCAACTGATCAATTCGATTGTGTTTTATCAGTTTCAATCCATGATTCAACTCAACAAGCTTTTGTTGGTGTTCCACAATTACGTAAAACATCTTTTCTCATTTAATAGTACAAATTGAACATTAATCAATACATTTGATCATCCAGCACGTTCAACAAGTTGGCTCGACGATGCTGGTATACAAGCTGGTTTACTTCTTAGTGATACAACTACACTTCCTTGGTCAAAATCTCGAATACAAGTAATGAACGTATCGTCTAATGATACAGTATACGCTTATCCTAATAATCGACAAACATTAGAACAATGGTCAAGTACGCCCCCAACATTTCTTTGATTAACAAAAACATATGATTATCAATTGGTGGTACTTACAACTGACGGTGTTGTGGTGCTAATCCCTTCAAGTGATGCAGGTTACTATAGGACAACAGATGATATTAGCAATCCTTTAAAACTGCCCATTGCATGTCCACTTGGAACTTATAAAAGTGTATCAGGCCCAACAACACCATGTAAAATATGTCCTACAATGGCAAAGAGTTATTCTACTAGTACGGAATATTTAGTTGTTTTGAAAGTACGACTCTTTATTCTGACTTTAGATTGTATTGCTTGGTCATCAGATTCTTTTTGTCCTCTGGCTTCTATCAGCGATGCAAATAAATCAGCAATTCAATCGAAAAGTCAAGTTTATGCTTATCCTACATCATCTTCGATGGCATCATTCGATGATATTCTCATGCAAAATACATTTAATCTAAGTTACAAATAAAAACTATGCAATGTCTCGTTATTTCACCATTTTTCTGGACTCCAGTCACATTATTTGCTGCGTTTATTATTTTATTTATCATGGGTATGTTATATTATTCTCCAACAGAAATGAAACATTTTCATCGTCTTGAGTGGTTTTTTCGTTATTCTGACCTTATTGGCAATGGAGAATTCTGGTTTAGTGGAGCTATTTCATTTTCTATTCTTGTTCTTATCATATATAGCTTTTTGTTTGGTACTGCTTTTCGTATTAACTATATCCAATAGAAACATCGACAGATGCTAATTTTGCATGTGGTACATCATTGAGAAATACTCAATTCAGTTCAGCTCTACAATTGTCAGCTACAATTAAATCCAACAAAGAAACACCTATATTCGATATGCTTGATACACAAAAATTTACTATGATTGTCAACTTTTTACAGGCCGGTTACACTTGTAATGATGTAACTGCACAGGTAATATTAAACGAAAAATTTTCGACAAAAACTAATATCCGAGCGAACCATAAAAGGTTATTAGTGGATTTGGTTTTATTTATTTTTACCTCAATACAATGATTTCTTTCTTAAGGAAAATATTGGCAGTTATTCAATAACGCTACCACAAACCAATTGCATTATAAAATCAGATAATGCCGCGCTAACTATAATCTATCGTGTCCCTTATCATCAAATGACGATACAATTAAATTTGGCAGGTAAATCATAACTCGAACAAAGCAAATATCAATTCTTACACATAGGACCATACTACATTGGTGGTGTGTTGATATGTCTAACTGGTCCTAGTTCTGCAATTAATGATTCATCATGCCTAGTTCAAAATTTGGACTATTGTCAATTATATTTTACATCTAATCAAACTCTTGGTCAGACTACAGAAATTAATTTCGACCTAACAAAGTCTATCAATCAAACAGAATCATTAGACTATAGTGGTGCAACTAATTACAGTAGTATATGGATTCTAACTTCGATTCATGGATCACTAAATGATTATCTTGTTTATTTACAACGTGGAGCTTTTCTTCGCTATTTATATACGCAACATACAATTATGATTACTTTCAGTGAAACAGAATTTGAATTTGATGTCATCAATAAACAAGAACCTATCGTATGAAGAGGTGAAATTATTTTTCATAATATACTTTTTAGAACGACCGTTATTGGTATATTCGCGTTAACGTTTCTTGTTGTTAAACTAACATTGATCTCAGCTGTGAAATGAATGATTAAACATGAAAATTTCTTATTACCATTTTCAAATCTAAGAAAAGACAGATCGACTAGAATGGACAGTAGATTTTTAAATTTGTTTTCTTAAAAATAATGATTCTGTATCTAACAAGAAAAAATAAGTGTCCTTCCATTAGTTTCTACTGTTCGATGAAATAATAAAAAAGAACGCAGTGCTCTTTATGTTTTATTTTTCAACTAAGAACTTTGAAACGTGATAGATAAAAAACAGACTCTAACTATATTAATATTGAAGTATGATTAATTAGGGTTTACAACAATCAGAGCTATCAATAAATTTTTCATGTTCAATATTTTACTTGAATTATTTTCAAAGTTAAAAATAATAGAATATACAAAGAATTGGGAACTGAATAAGATTGATATATAAATATTTCTAACTCATACTTAAAATGATGCTATCATTCATACAAATCAATGTATTCAAAATATGTTTTAAACGATAAAATGCTATTGAGTAGTTTAATATCAGCAATGCTTCATAGTTTATTGTTTGTTGAATTGTTTTTAGGACGATAAGCTATCTAGCCAATAGCTTGGAATCAAAAAAACGATAACTTCATCAATTAAGTGTTAGGTTTATTTGAAAATTGAAGGAGCAGTCGTCTTCTATCTCTTTCTTTTATTTCCAAGTCTTTTCCCGATTATTTTATTATAGAAAAACCAAATTGTATACTAATAAAATATTGCTTTTAATACAACTTTGAAAATTAACAAAAGGCAAACAAATCCTACAAGATAAAGTTAGAAATAGAGCCATGAGTTATATGTAAATATTTCATTATTCACAATAAGAATCCAAGTAATAATGATGAACAGAGTAAATTACTTTTGGATCTATTTTTTCATTTATAAATTAATAAAACTTAGCATGGTTCGAACAATTAAGCGAAGTTATTTTATTTCCTTACAGAAAGTGTCAGTACGCTATCTCTCAATATTTCATGATAGATAAAATTATGTTCTATTTTCTTTCCAGGAAGAACAATCCGATAGCTGGATCCAACCGGATTTCGATCGGTTCCTGCAGGATTCGAAGTAAATCCTGATTGTGGACTCACTCACGGATCCCTAGTGTTGGGATCCCATCGATTCTTGTAGGAACCAGTCAAAACCCGATAGGTTTCTTAATGAACCTCGTTGGAATCCGACTGCTGCAATTTCTATCGAATTCGGCTGTTGGATTTGTTCGGATGTTCACCGGATTCCTACACTAGAGATCCGTTAGTAGTTCCTCAACCTGGAATACCATGGGACTTTGTCGGCTCGTCGGATTTTATAAGATTCAATCTGATCGGATTCGGTATCGGTATCGGTATCGGATTCATCCACCTGGGTTATGGTATTTGAAGATTCTTCAACTGATATCATCGTAAAAAACATTTTATCAAAGCTTTATGTTCTGCGATAGGTTCATTGTGATAGTATTAGATCACAGTATCTTCGACTTGTGCTCATCGCTTCGTGAATGTGTATTAGGATTAGGATGTCGCTAAAAGTCATTGAGATTACACGATCTAAAGTTTTTGTTAAAGGATGAGATAATTTTCAGAGTTCAAAAATTCAACGACGCATTTTCTTGAATAATACAGATTGAAAATCAAACGATTCGAGATATAAGAGACGACTGAAATAGTTTGTTTTGAATTCCAAATTAGATTTATTATTGCGTCTCATTTCAACATCCGAACTTAGCTCAGCTGGCAGAGCGGTAGGCTGTAATGTCGTATAAATCTTAGTAACCTATAGGTCCCCAGTTCAAATCTGGGAGTTCGGATTTCTATTTTTTTTCTCTTGTTCTCTTCGTGTAATTGCATCATATTGAAGAACAAGATGAAAGGTAAATTATATAGGCTTTTGTATTTAAATTGTTTTTTCAACTAATTTCGTTCTATTTGTCTAAATAATCTTACTGATTTGAAGAATCAGCTTGTAGGACTACTAGATGTATTCATTTTTACTAATTGATAAATAATAGATGTCTATGAGAGTGATCAATAGATATTAAATGATTTTTAATATTGTATTTATAACTTTTATTATTATCAGTCTGATTACTTTTCATCAATAATGACAGATGATTGTATTCATGGTTCTGTTAGAGTAGGGGAGTAAGATCGAGAATATGATGAAAAATTGCTTTCTCTCTCTCTGTAAGTTGAATTTAATTTTTCAGGTTGAACTTATTAAAATACAAATCTCTGATTAAAATCAATTTCAATGAAAATTTTTATTTTTCGTATCCGTATCACATGAATGTAAGCTACAAATAAAATTTCTCGCACGAGTATCGAAACTGTAAAACTAAGTAGGGACTTAGAATTTAATATATAAGTGAATGAATGATTGCTTCATGATTATGAGTTTTGTATTTGAAAAATGTAAAGCATTTTTAAAGAATATACTTTTAGATCGTGCGAAATAAAGTCAAAATATATGAAAGCACTCATAGATATTTCCATAATAAAAGCAATTAATGGAAAAGAAAATTTAGACAAGCCATTTGTGCATTATTGCACATAACTATTTTGAATTTTATTCGTTTCAATAATTATCGCCATGATACTTCTTTTTTACTAAAATATGATTGATGCACATGAGAAGTTCAAATTTTTATTTTTCAATGCAATATTTAGACCTTTTTTTTAGTTTTGAAATATCTCTTGAATAGTAATATATAATGTAATACAGGATCCAGCCACTTCAATATATCGGTATTATACACATACTAATATAAATATCATATTAAAGTTGATTTGCGAATAATAATGCCATGAACATCGCCCAGAATACAAAATAACCATTGAATAATAATAAATAGAAGTTGAATGAATATGAGATTTGTGTAACTATAGCTAGTCATATAGTTAATGTAAGCAAATTACTGCATAATATCTATGATATACGAATAGTAGCGAACAGTACTATGATTCTAATTTAAGATAGAATGAAAACAGGTTGATATATTTTTTGTACATTGTTAAATACTACTAAATTTCTATATATAGAATAAAATGCTCTTTTGATAGAACCGAAAAGAAAACTATGATGATGATAAGGTCAGAAAATGCATATTAACTGTTCTTTAAAAATATGAATCCTCGCGCCATGCGATGTGGGCAGACGGAATTCGATGTTTTGTTTCATCTATATTCGTTTCACTTTCTTTCAGCATTGAAAAAGACAAAAATCAAAATTCAATATGAATTCATAGACTTCTTCTTTTCATTGTCGATTGCATTTCTACTGAAGTAAGACAACAATATAGTCAGTGCATATTCTATCGTTTTCCTCTCCGTTTGATTCTTTTCTTTTCTTTTCTTTATAACACAATTTTACCTATTACCGACCGTCTAACGTCATTCATGACTTCATTCAGTTAGTAGCTACAAGAAAATAAGTTGGATTATAATAGTAAAAACATCATTTAACATACGAAAATGCAATACAATAGGAGCTCAAATTCTTTAATTCGATCACCATTGTCGCTTTGGATTGCTGAAACGACACTCGGCTCAGGTTTTCATCTATTTTCTAAGATTAATATTTTATTTCTATACTTTTTAAAATGTTTCAGGCACATATGGTATTGTTGAATGTGTACGTCATATCAACACGCGTCAACGTCTTGCGCGAAAAACAATTAAACTGACAAGTAAACAAGAAGAAGATAATGAATTACCTGCGACAGCTGTACGAGAAATAGCCGTTCTGAAATCGATTCAACACGAAAATATTATCAAGTATATTTTGCAATGATAATCATTTATGGATTACCTTTTCTATTCGTTAATTTAGATTAAATCATGTAGCATTTGAACCATCGTATAATAGTGGTTGTAATCAATTATGCTTATATCTTGAATTTCTGCCTATTGATCTCAAGAGATATATGGATGCGCTTGGACCTGGTGAAAGAGTCAGTCCGAAACTTGTTAAAGTAGAATTTTCTATTGATGAAAATAAATTTTCTATTCGTTATTTTTTGTTTTGTATATAGAGTTATAGTTATCAGTTGTTGAATGCTATTGAATGTCTTCATCGTCATCGTATTGTAAGAATTCAAGTTGATTGCATTTCTTCTTTGAATAGTTCATTGTGTTATTTTACTTTTAGCTACATCGAGATTTGAAACCACCTAATATTTTACTTGATTATGAAGGTTACAATTGATTTTCCAGTTAACTATAAAGAAAATATTATTTTCTTCAAATAGGTCGTTTGAAAATAGCCGATTTTGGGTTAGCACGTCAATGTCATATGCCTGAACGAACTTTAACACATGAAGTAGTGACATTATGGTATCGTCCACCTGAAGTATTACTGAATGCACCTACTTATGGTTCGTTGTTTTTTTTCCTAATTTAAAATTTGATTTAAATAAAAATGATAAAATATTTTCTAGGAACAGCTTTAGATGTTTGGGGCTTTGGTTGTGTATTTGCTGAAATGACACTTCGAGAACCGTTATTTCGTGGTGAATGTGAAATCGATCAACTACTACTTATTTTTCGGTAAGTTCTTTCATTTTTTTTGTATTATTTTATATTCTATTAAGTTATTTGAATTAGTCTTTTGGGTACACCAACAATCTCTGAATGGCCTGAAATTGCTCAATGTCTTTACTATCAGACATGTTTGCCTAGATTTCCACTCGACGATGTTCAGCTTGCTCGTTTACCAATGTTTACTGAATGTCGACAATTTCTTAAAGTAAATTTTCTTGCTTGTTTATTTATCTATCTTTTAAACATTATATATTATAACAAAAACAGGATATTTTGATTTATAATCCAAAAAAACGACGAACAGCTCGGCAATTACTTGAAGAACATGAATATTTGACTGAAGTAGCTAGTTTTACTCATACAATGCCACAACATAGTTTTATTGAACGTCCTATACGTTCAGTTATCGATCGTGCTATTCGACAACAAACTGAAAGTATGCGTACTGTTCGTTAGACGAGAAACAAAATTTCCTGTTTCCAGTATATATTTATATAATTCATAATTCTTTATTTCATTTCTTTTTTTTTTGGTTGTTTTTTGTTTATTGCTGTTCAACATTTTTTCCGTTCAAAACAAAACTTCTTTTGCCATTCTGATGTATTAATTTTAAGAGAAAAAAAAGAAAATTTTCTACTTTTGTTCTTTTTTTAAATTTAATTTTCTGATCACAATGCAGCAATTAGATGCAATCACATATGTCAAAGAAAAGGAAAAAGAAATGACACAAGTCGGATTTGTTTAAAGCTTATAATCGAGCAGATCTTCGTAGACGATTGCGTTTTAAATTTGGATCATGTACGTTTAGTACATAACTGAGAATTGCCTTAAATGCATCATATGGGAGAAAACTATGGAAAAAACCAAAGAAAAAACAATTTTATTGAAGTATAATGCGATAATCGATTGGTTTTGTTTACCTTTTAACGAATTCCAATAAACGATAGAATTTGGGAATATAGAGAAATTTTTGATTTGTTATTACGCCTTGAACAATTCTTTCTGCACAATAACTTGCTGGAAGAAAATTAACTGAATCAGGACTAGAAATAAATCAATCAATTTAAATACATAATGAAAATATTAAAAATTACATGACGATTTCTGTCACACGTTTATTCAGACCACCTTTTAAAGGACCAAGAATAACAACTGAAATGTCGAAAAATCAAGTTTTTGAAAAGAAAAACAAAATTATATTGGTTTAACGAACTCGTTGTATTAACTCCAGAACATTTCGATCGAAAAATTTCATCCTCAACACATTCCATGTAACCTAAATGAAAATAAAACCACAATGAACTTATTACGACAGAAGCTTATTTTTTAATCGTACCAATAATTGCGAATTTCGATGCACAATAATCACCCAAATGTGATAAACCAAAGAGCGCACAATTACTAGCAATAGCTACGATATGTCCTGATTAAAACAATACGAATTAGCTATAAATTTTCCAATAGAATCTTTACCATAATGCCGTTCAATCATAGCCGGTAGAAATGCTTGATTGATCTAATGTATTTAAGAAAAAGAAAAATAAGTATGCCATCAAAGAATATGTTTCGTTGAATGCATACATGATAATGTGAAATAACATTAACATTAAATGTCCGTTTGATATCTTCAGGATTAAGATCGAGAACATTTTTACATGTCACCACACCTGTGCTAAACAATATGAACGTTCAGTTCCTCATTATATAAGATGTTTATTTATCGATATTGAAATCTACCCGCATTTTGTACAATAATTGATACATTTCCATATTTTTGTCGAATCTCCTCTGCTGCTCGATGGATATCATCGGGTACTCTATTTTAATATGATCAAAAGAAAAACAATGAAAAAAGAATTTAACACTAAAAAACTGTAAATAACATACGTTATATCAACTTTCATAGCAACCATTCGATGATGATTATACTGAGTAGACAATAATTCATAGGTTTTTTGATTTTCTACTTCGTCAGTGTCCCATAAACAGAGAAATGCGCCGTATTTTGAAAATTCCACAGCAAGTGCACGACCCAAGACACCACCGGAACCAGTAATGAGAACAATTTCATCATTGATGGATTTTCTTGGAGCCGGAAATATTGAAAAAATAATTGCATGAGTAAATCTAAATCAAATGAAATCGAAGAGAATGTTTCATAATATTAACTTACGCCATTATAATACGATAAAAGCACTCAAATAAACTGATACATGCCATGATTAATACAGCAACAGTAGTAGAATTCTTGTTTTTTTTAATGTTTCGTTAATAGACAAATTTCTGTGCAAATATGAAGATAACTAAACTATTAATGCCAACCAGCTGATAAGGACTAGTCGATGAGTCATAATAGTCAGCTGTTAAAATTTCAGTTTTTCAAAATAGTTCTTTAAAATAAGTCGAAAGCATTATTCTCTATTTCGAATATTTGATAGATAATTATATATTGATTATCAATACACGTATATAATGCTACACATGTGAAGGAAAGAAAAATTTTTCGATGGTTTCTATTGACCAATCAAAAAACTAAGTTCGGATAGTCGACGTGGTATCTTACAAATCTCTAGTAAATTTAAGTCACATATTTAAATAAAACTAATTTTACGATAGATATAACATGGCTTCAAACATTCTAGTTGATCGACAGCGATTGATGGCTGATGGAAATGAAAATCCTCCTCCTCCTCCTCCTCCATATCAAAATATAAGTAATCCTAGTATAATCCTATTCTTTGTATCAACTACATGTCAAATATGTGAATTTATTTCAAGGTACAGATTCGTATGGAACATTTATAGGTGATGTTGGAACATCAGTACCTATTACTACAGCACCGTCATCTTATCTATATGCGTTGGAGTCTCAACCACCTACAGTTATTGTTCTTGGTAGTTGTCCAGCTTGCAAAGTATGTCTATCATGATTTATCTGTCAAATTGAATCATTTTTACTTGTTTAGATTGGCATGTTGGAAAATGATTTTACATGTTTAGGTCTCTGTTGTGCGATCTTCTTTTTTCCAATTGGTATTCTGTGTTGTTTAGCATTACGGCAACGTCGATGCCAGTTTTGTGGAGCCATTTTTGAGTAAATCATGCGTTTAAACAAAAACGGGTATCAAATAATAATTTCTTTTGTGTATATATTAATATATGATTCATGTTTGCATTTAATTTATTTTCGAAAATATACAACCAAATGATTGATGTGATAAATTAATTTTAGATTGTGAATTTTATTTTGTATTTAAAATAGAAATGAAATTAAAAGAAATAGATCGTACTGCTCATGTTGCTTGGTCGCCCGCTAAATGGCAAGAACAAAAACCAAATGGAAACTATTTAGTTACTGGTACTGCTGCACAACAACTTGACGCAAGTTTTAGGTTAGTTGAAATTAAAGAATTTAATCAATGAGAAAAATATTGATTTTTATAGCACAAATTCTCAATTAGAAATATTTCAAGTGAATTTAGCTGATAGAAGTATGGCAATGATACCAATCGGATCAATAAAAACAGATTATCGGTTAGTTTATTTTGGCAAACAACGTCAAAATTTATATATTTTTTGTTTAGCTTCAATAAATTAATTTGGCCATCAGCTAAACTATTAATTGGAGCTACAGAAAAAGGACGAATATATTTAGTTGATCCAATAGCTCAAAAAATAACTGAACAACTTGATAAACATACTGCAAGTGTTCATTCAATTGATATAAATATTCTTCAGTCAAATTTATTTGCAAGTGGTGGATCTAATTCCGAATTGATGATCTGGGATTTAAACGATCTTAAACAACCAATGATACCAGGTGGTACATCGTCAACAACTCATCATATTGATGAAGAAGTTCAATGTGTCGCATGGAATAGACAAAAATCGCATATACTTGGTTCAACTCTTGGTGGAAAAACTCTTATTTGGGATTTAAAATCAAGTAATGAACCAATTTTCAAAATAAGTGATTCAACATATCGAATGCGTACAAATCGTCTTGTTTGGCATCCAGATATAACAAGTCAATTGTGTTTAGCTAGTGAAGAAGATCAATCAGCAGCTATACAATTATGGGATCTTCGTTATGGCGCTAGTCCTATGAAATTACTTAGTGGACATACAAGGTGAACTAATATATTGATTTTTAATTTAATTATGAACTGCATTGGTTTTATTTTCTAGAGGGATTTTAGATTTACAATGGTCACCAAATGATAGCAATTTATTAATGTCAAGCGGTAAAGATAATAAAATAATATGTTGGAATCCAAATGATTTGAGTGTTATGGCGGAAATTGTTTATGAAATTCCATGTAATCATTGGTGTTTTGATATCAAATGGTGTCTTGGTATGCAAAAAAAGGTTCTTCTTGAAATAAAATTCATTGTTTTGAAAATCTAGTCGACCCAAATTTGATATCGGCTTCATCATTCGATGGTACACTAAGTATTTATACATTAATGGGTGGCTCATGTCAAGTTTCTCGTCCAGTGAATAATCAATTATTTACTCAAGCATTTGGCGATGGATTAAATGCAACCGAAGCACTTCCGTCAACAATTACGCATGATGTTTTACCTATTAAATATGCACCGAAATGGATGCGACGCCAAACAAGAGTTTCATTTGGTGTAAGAATATTTTATCCATTTTCTTTTTCATAGAGAACTCTCTCTCTGTATCATCTAATCTCTTTTTTAGTTTGGTGGCAAACTAGTGATAGTTCAACCTCCAACAAGCCCACCAACAACCGAATCAGGTCCATCGTCTCCAAATACTATTAACAATCGTCGTCCACCTGTAGTTATTCAACAAGTTGTTGTTGACCATGAATTTGTTCAAGTTGTTCAAACATTCGATACAATGTTACAATCTGGTACACTACTTGATTATTGTGATCATCAAATATCTTCACTATCATTATCGCAAGATGAACAGATTTTATGGCGCTTTTTACGTGCTTCATTTGAAAGTGATCCTAGAAATAAATATATTGAATTATTAGGTTTTCGTCGTGATGATCTTTTAAGTAAAGTTCAAACATTAACAAAAGATGAAAAACATGATTTACCTATGGATGCTATCAATGGTTTACATATTCAAGATAATAAAATTAAAAAAAGTTCAAATTCTGGTAAAAAATTCTGTGTTTATTTGCATTACTATGTATTTGATTGAATCTTCTTCGTTTTTTGTTGTTGTCTAAATAGAAATAGAAACATTATTAAGTCGATGCATTATGTTAGGACAATTTGAAGCTGCTGTCGAATTATGTTTTCATGAACAACGTTATACAGAAGCTCTTCTTCTTGCTCATCTTGGTGGTCAAGAACTTTTATATTTAACACAAAAACGATACTTTGAAAAAGTTCAAACTCCAACAGCCAGAGTGAGAGAAAAAGAATAAATCATTGATTGCAATAAGAATTAATTATAATCCTCTTCTTTTCTTCTTTTAAAGTTGATTGATATTGTTATAAGTCAAGATTGGACACGTTTAATCGCATCAAGTAATATGACCAATTGGCGTGATGTACTTGTTGCCCTGCTTACTTATACAAATGATTCGACGTTTATCGATTTATGTAATAAACTTGGTCATCAGTTAGCTAAACAGCATATGGATACGAACGATTCATTCCGTACATATGCATCAATATGTTTTATTTGTACGGGTAATTTGGAACAATTCTCTGTAACTTGGTCAAGTAAATATCAACAGCAAGGAATGTCACCAATGCAATTAGAACAACTTATTGAAAAATTATTCGTTCTTAGACGATCATTAGATTATGCAACTGCACATCAACAACAACAACAGAAGAAAACAGTTATTACGCCACCATCTATGGATGGACCGTCGATAAGTCGACATTTAGCTTTATTTGGACAATTGTTAGCTAATGAAGGTTGTACAAGAGCAGCACTAATGTATTTAGGCAATTTACAAACAGTAAATTTATTTTCTCAATATAAATGAAAAAAAGTAGTCTCATGCGTTTTTCACTGTTTAGTCGGAACTTGTAGTTTTACGCGATCGTCTTTATCATGGTTTACCAATGAGCCAATTAACTGGTATACCAAAACCACCAAGTCCATTTCGTAGAGTTGATATTCCTACACCACAGCAGCAACAGCAACAGCAGCAGCAGCAACAACAACAACAACAACAACAACAACAACAACGAAAAGCAAGTTCAACTATGCCACAACACTTTCGACCTCAAGTTCCTGCTGAACAACCATTGGTGCCGCCATCGAATGCTAGTTGGCCATCAGCACAAAATTTACCTAGTGATTTTACTGTAAGACCAGGAACTACATCTATAACAAAGTACATATTTAAAGACAAAAAAGAGGAAAGATAATATTTCACTTTTTAATTTGATTAATTTAAGTCGATATCCACCACAACCTACGGTTCCATCGTATCAACCAACTCTTTATAATCCTACTACTGTTGTTCCTCAACATTATACACCAACGCCAGTAATGTCTAATTCACAATATGTTCACGGTTCGCTTTTACATAAACTATTTGCATTTCGCATGAATGCCAAATTTTTGTCTCGCCGTTTCTCTTAGGTCATTCAAATCAAGTGGCACCAACATCAACTGATCTATCCAGCGTACCACCCATCCCTTCTTCGATTCCATCTTACCAAGATTTTAAACCTACTAGTGCATGGAATGATCCTCCGACAGTTTTAATGAAAACACCAAAACAAATTTCGGTTAAAGTAAACTCAATTTTCATGCTCATTTCAATAGTGCAAATGAGTCTATATGTATATATATTTAGTCATCTGGTCCTCCGACAGATGGTCTTAATTCTGCTAATTCTACATTTCTTCCAGTTCCTAATGAGCCTCCTCAATCGACATTTCATTTTAATCCAACAATAGCAAATCATTCAACAGCATCTATGCCTCCTCCAACAATGTTAAATCAATCCACAGCACCTAGTTTTCCTCCAACAATATCTAATCAGCCAACAGCTTCGATGTTTTCTCCAACAACAACAACATCTGATTTTGCTCATCATACTGCTCCTTCAACACATGAAACATCAAGTCGTAAAGCAGCGACTCCTCCTCCGCCACCTGCACCCGTTGTTAAAGGTCCATTACCGACTGAGCAGCAAATAATACAAGACACCCTTGATTTACTGGTTAGTCGATGTCAACAAGCAACACAACAACTACCATTAAAACGAAAATTAGATGAAGTGAAAAAGAAACTTGATGTTTTATATGATAAACTTCGAGAAAATCGAGTCAGTTTAATCTTGTATCATTGAATCGTTCGCCTAAAATATTTCTTTTTTCTTTTTAGGTTCCACTAAGTGCTTTGCAAGGTATTCATGTAATCATAGGTCATATTCGTCAATATGATTATCAAACATCACTTTTGGTCTATAATCAAATAGTTGCAAGTGAAAATCTAGCCGAAACAAGTCAATATATGCCAGCTGTTAAGATTCTTCTTCAATGTTGTATTCAACTTAATGTTTACTGTCAATAAATATTTTAGCAACAGCATGAAAACTGTAGACATCTCTGTTTTTTTCTTTTTCATTATATTGCAGTGTGTGTATGAATGTGCTGTGCTAGGAATCTCTTATTTCTTGATTGTTTTATTCAATGATAATGCGACGGGAAAAGAACTAATTTATTACTATTATTACATTTTGTTTTTACAGTTATGTTTTTATTTCTGGTTCGTTTGTTTTGTTTGCTTGGAAAAATATATTATCAAACATTTTTCTTCTGTTTTTTAGTTTGACTAGCAGTGAAAAAAGAAAAATACTCGATGTGTTTTATCGATACAATAAGAAATGAACATGAAAAAATATTTATTTGTCGTATAAAAAGACAAAAATGAATGTTAATTCTATTGGATTATACACGCAAATAAAGTCCATATAATCTTCAAAAATAGTCCATTTAAAATATTTTTCACATTAGTAGTTCTTTGATAGATTCCTTATCCCTGTGGTATATTTCCTTGGAAAAAATTGGAATCGAAAAATAGATTATAGAGTTGTGAATAATACTCGGTTAATTTAATGTTCACATAGATACTTAACAAAAAAAAATAGATTAATATAAGAGTCAATAGTAAACTTTGTAAAGCTTCTTCAAACTATTTCTATAATAAAATGTAGATAAACAATTTCATTAAACGAATTGATAAAAGTTACGGAGTTGCTCAATGTAGAAATTTGTGTATTTTATGTACATTTGCGCATTTATCAAGATAAAGATAGATAAGTATTGAAATATTTCTATCTTCGAGGAAAAATAACTAGCAGTGTTTTGATTCAAGTGAATATGGCATAATTAATTGTTATGTTAGTTATTATAGTTAGATCTCGCTATCAATAGAAAATAAGACATACATTTAGGATACATTTCTTGATAAAATCCATGTGGAAAAATAATGAATCAAATTCCTAGTTCAGTGCACGTATTTCCCATTAACATATTAATCTATCTAATATAGGAAATGATTTGAAGGTTTTGTATGGGAATATTTTCACCTATTGAATAGCTTTAGAGTTGCAAAACCTAGTAGTATTTGATCATTTAGAATCTTTCATAGTTATCTTACGAAGATCTAGCATATGTAAAAAAATTCAAACTCAAAAAGTTATCAAGCAAGTGAAAATGTTACTTGGTTAGTTTTCATAGTAAATTGTACGTTCACAGATGAGAACCTATGATGGCATGTTCGGTCCATAAAAAGAGAATGTTTGATGACAAAGAATATCTATTTCACAGTCTTAAATATATACAAGAATATAAGGTAGAAATAGTCAGTATAAAATAAGTTGCTGGGCCTTTTTCAGTGAACAATTTCTTGTACTGAATGATAAAGGCATCGAATTCAGCAAAACACAAATCATGTGAGATAATAGACAAGTAAAAGTGAACAGTCAACATCAATTTATATTTCTAGGCAGTATCGTTCATCATCTTTGTTTCAAATGAAAATTTCTACTTGTAGTACTTGCAATTGGATATGATCGAATAAGGTGTATTCTTGTATTGTAACAAAAACCCTACTGCAAAGCAATTTTTTTATTCTATTTTATTCTTTTAGATAACAATTAGCTAAATTTGTTATAGCCATGGCACCAATAATTATATTCGAAAGGATTACACATTGTCTTATTAAATCAATATTATTGGACTTCTATTTTTTCTATTATATTATACATAATTCAGAATAAAAGAAACGAATAATGTAAAACAACCTTCAATTTCAAGACTGAGTGTACTTTACATATTCTGTCTAGCACTAGCCGTTTTCTTTCTATATAACATTCGCTTGCTATAATCTAGAGTACATTAAGATCCTTAGATTATATCAATATCAACAAACTTTTTTCTCACATTGGAAGAAGAAAAAGAATGTACTCAATTTCACGTTGTATTTTTGATAGCAATTATAGAATGTAATTCTAACCTTTATCAAACGAATTTGTAGTTGTTGACTATTGAAATATCGTATTTATTAAGGATGAAAAATATTCTGAAGAATGAAAGCGATTTAAGAAAAAAAGATTTCTATCAAAGAGTCTTATTCGTTAAGATAGTTAAAAATAGGTCTTACAAAACTTATTAATCTAGAGTACGAAAGATTTATTGAATATGTTTGAAATGAAAAGGTTGAACTCATAGTTTCAATTCTTTAGATTAAAAACGAAAATTGAATGGAAACAAATATTGATGATTTATCGTTTCATCTGAGTGCACTAAAAACTACTTCAAGTGAAATACCAATACTCGATAATCGTGAACCAATATCAACTTTTAGTTTGCCATCAATGTCATCATGTCCAATGGCAGCTGATGGTTCTAATCATTTACTTGTTTATCATCATCATGCGTTATTATTATTTCATTTACCGAAATTCGAACTCTTATTTTCTATATCACTGATTCCATTTATTGAAAATCCAATATCTGATATATGTTATTATTCAATATTAAATTGTTTTCTTGTATCAAGTTCAAATACACTTTATTCATTGTCATCCAGTCGACAGATTGATATAATTCATAAATTTTCAAATACAATTTGGTCAATTACACATACATCGAACTACATATTTCTTTGTTATTTATTTGGTTTTTCAATTGAACAATGGGAATTCAATTCTAGCAACGGAACTTTATTGAATACATGGCCAAAAGCTAATTTAATTGAATCTTCAGACATGGGCATTAATTGTATTCGAGCTGTAAATCAATATATTGGTATGACTATTAAACAGAATGATTTTTCTTGGAGGATTGATTTATTTGATATATCAGCAATGAATCGACTACGTCGTGGTAGAACAATTCAACAAGAAAATAATTTAAAAAATTGGATTGGATTATTATATCCAATTGATCATTTTCGATGGTTATTTGCTGATGGTGATCAAGGGTTATTTTTAATTGATCAAACTGATCAACAAGAATATAAACAAATTGATATCAAGAAACTAGCTTGTAATATTTGTTTGATTAAGAATATAAACAGTAAAACATATTCTTCAATCGTTATTCAATCATATGAATCATTGCATTTATACAATTTGCAATGATTTTCAAACTAGTTTTTTTTAGAATTTCAAAGAAACAAGATATGTTACCAATGATTTATTCGTTGTAAATAGAGATCAATAATTTAAAAAAAAGAGATCCACTCTTAATTATATTTAAACTCATCAATCTAACAGACGAATTTCAATATTCAATGATATTAACAGTATTTTTCTTTGAACAAAGAATGCAAATGCGATCGTATCATCATATTATCTAATCTTTTTCTATGGACACTCCAATTTCAATATTTTATTCTAATTTTTATAATGGAGAGTTTTTTTTTCTAGAGACTTTTTTGTATCATTTTTTTCTCCACAAGTATATTGTGGATTAAACTTTAAAATAATGCTCAAGACAGTAATCGACTAGATGATATTAGGTATCTCACTTATTCCCATCTACGAAACAAAAGAATTCTCTCTCTCTCTAGATTACAATAATTCTTCATGGATAAAAATCCTCCAAATAACAATGAATCTGCTTCTCCTTCATTAATAGAATTATTAAAAAAATATACAAGTCGAGTAGATGAGCGTGAAACCTTACGACAAGATGATACGTTTGGCTGTCAACAACAACAACAACAACAAAGTAGGCACTTTAAGCTGATGTTTGGTTTTTCGTAGTCTTTCTTCTTTTCAGTTGAAACTGGTAATATTGAAAAATTAAAAAAAACTGTAACTAAACTACAATCTAACGCAACTTCAATAAATATTCCTAATCAATCGATGGAAAATTTCGGTGAAGCAAAATCGAATATAGATTATAAAAGAAAATGGGAAGAAGCAGAAACAAGATATCGTAATCTAGAAAAAAAATATCATCAATTAGAAAGTGGCACGGTGAAACAATTACAAGATAAAATTGATCAACTTCAACGGGACGATAATCAATTCAAAGTTTGTTATAGAAAGAATGAAAGAAAAATGAAGATTCTACATAGATATATAAATGTATTCATGCTTATTGTTTTTCATTTAGTTCATTAAAGCTCGTATTGCTGAAATATGTTCTTCTCGTCAATTAACAAATATACAACTTGAACAATTAAAATTACTTGTTAATAGTAATGATTTATCAATTGAAACCATTGCAAATAAAAACGATTTTCATCAACAAACAATAAAACTACGTGATATTTTAATCACACATAATAATGAACTTTTAAATAGATTTGAAGAGTTAATGAACAAAAAGAGAAAAAGAAATCAATATGAAAATGATTCAATTGATGATAACGATAGAAATAATTAACTTTTCATTGCATTGTTGGTTTTCTGCTCTGTGTAAACTTTTGCGAAAATAAAAGTTAGAAGATTTTCGTTGTCTAATTTTCTTTTATTCTTTTGGAAAAAGAATCGATCAAAGTCAACTATTACCTAAGAACATCATTAAAGATTTTTTCTTATCAAATTTTAAGTTTATTTTATTTTAGGTTATTTTTCTTTCTAGAGTAATAAATATGAATGATTTTCGAAAAAATGACGTATATGAAGATATAGTTGATTTCAGAGTTTCTTTTTTATATTATTATGAATCTTGATGAAATTCTATACATATAGTTTTATTTTGCTACGTAAGTTGATATTGCTATTTAAAGAATATTCCTTCGTATTAAAAAATCGTATTTACTTTGAAGACAACCAGTTGAAATACTTTTTGGACATGTTGAATACAAGATGATTTTAGGCATGCTACTATCAAAAACATCATCTAACAAACGAGAGTTTATTAGAGCCCTACGTAAAAAACACTATATTGGATACAGATTACAGCCATCATTTAACATGGTTCTGATTTTGATTTTGATTTTTCTAACTGCATTTATCTAGCTTGTGTAGACATCACATAGGCATGGGCAAATTTTCTACTGAAAAAGACTACTATTCAAAACTATCATTGACAATCTGATATAAAAAATATGATGAATAAGATTGTCTTGCAACGATCAACATTATGATTGAAATGAAGTCTCATTTTTAATAGATTTTTAGACAAAACTGTAGAAAATGATTAATACTCGAGAAATGCTTTGTTAAACTGAATATTCTAACTAAATATTTTAAACTTCTAGTCTATGTCAATGTTGCTTTGGTTTATCTTTTGATAATTATTTAATATTAAAATGTATTGATGTATTCTTATAGATAATTTTTGAGATATTTTTGAATAAATTCAACAACGTAGCATTTTTGATCGTTTTTTTTAATATGAATGATTTAGATATCTATTTACTTTACGTGACATAGTCTATCTCTTTTTTTTCGCTCAACTATTAAAAATATTCGTTAATAATTATTTTTCGTTTTCTTTTATTTTACTTCAAAATTTATATTTTAATATCGCTTTATTTTAGAGAATTATTGAGAAAAACTGTCGAAGATGACTGCAGGTTAATACTTTTCAATCACAATTGATTCACTCATTTTAAGAACTTTTCTCTTAGTGCTAACTTTTTTTTCATGTCCATAAATAAACTTCATTTCTATTTAAATAATGAATTTTTTCTCTTTCTCTATTCTACATCTACAGGTGGTATATGAAAAATTAATTAACTATGAAAAATTAATAGAAATGAACTGGCTTCTAGTAAAATAAAAATCTTTAAATGGTGTTCAACTAAATAAAAGGACTGTATTGTTTATGGTCAAATGAAATATATTGATTTTAAATTTTACTTAAACTCCTGTTATTGAGGACGATCTATCAGTATGCTAATTATCATCATCAACAATCGTTTGCAACAAAGATATTTTCAGCAACACATAATTCTCATAATCCTCTTTATCAACCAAAAACAAAATCTCCTTCGCTTTTTCAATAACTTTTAATGAGCTCTAAGCTCTGTTCTAACATATATTTATGTTCAGTATTTATTGTTGTTTTTCTTTCACATGAATATGTTTACATTAGGGTTTATGTCCATTAGTAAGTTGACTAATTCATGTAAGTTCTTTTCTACGAACGTATGACAAAATAGATTGATATTGAAAAGATCGTTTCGTTTTTGATCTCCTTATTGAAAATACTCTTAAAATAGATTTTTCAAGGAATTCTAACTTTATTTTGCATTGTATCGTAATGATCAAATATGAATTTGGCGTATTGGTTTCAAATCACAGTCTAATGTATTTTCTTAAGACTATCTAGCTACGTATATCACTCTTTTTTCCTATCATTTACGTTTCAGGTTTCTTATATTATGATAAAATTGTCGATTCTTTTTTTGCACTATACTTAAAAATAGTGAATTCATTATTTATAAGTTGTATGATGGAATTTCCTGTGGAAACGGATAGATTTATTTTTCTATAGAAATATCCTAAGTAACTGCTTGAGTAGGAAATATCTAAGATGTCTGTACAGGTTAAAATTATTTCCTTGGTCATTTCACATTCGTCGACGACATTTTGTGAAAAAGAAACATTTGATTTATTTTTCACCGTTTTACTTACTCCTTGTTTGTCTTATCGATGTGTACTTCGATTGTTGATGTGTTTATCTATTCTAGATTTGTCTAATATGAATTCTAATGTTAATTATTCACCATTTATTGAACACTCATTTCGGCGACTATCGCTTCTAATTCATCAACAAGACATTCTTAATGCTACTACACCGTCGACTACTGCTAGTACAACAGGTGAAAAATCATCCAATGCATTATTATTAGTAAAAAATAAAGAGAATAAGTTTGACAATAGTTGTTCATTATCATTCTTATCTGAAGAGCGATCTCATCAACAATCTACTGATCGTAATACAACTAATTCAAATGAAACCAAGACGAAATTTGCACCAATAACAAAAACAAATCGAACTTTTATGCGTCCACCCAAAACTCAAACAAGTAGCAAGTTTTAATTCTAAATGTTTGTTCTGATTAAGATTTTAATTTGTATAGCTTCATATCGTTGTTCATCATTGCATCTGTCTGATCAATCAGAAACTTCTTTGAGTCGTTCATCGAATGCTCCTTGTTCGCCTTCTATAACGCAACAAAAATTGAATGAACTACACGTTCATATACCTGTTGAACGAAGTTTATATGATATTAAATTTGAACGAGATCGTCATAATGATTTACGTGAAAAATACAATATTCCTCCACCGTTTCAACGGAAATGGTTACGAGAACCACGCTATACACCGAAGGAACGACCAAATTGCGGTCAAGTTCAACAATCAGAAAACTAATCATGCTGTTTTGTATGTGTTAGAATCTACTTATGTAGTTTTTCATTAAACAATATTATTCTGTTGTTAGCTGTAGAATCTGTTTTTTTTTCTAATAAAAAGTATTGAAAAAGATGAGTTTGAAACAATATAAAATGATTCTCAAATTAAAAAAGAGACACGAAATGGCCTTTATACTACTTTCCCAGGGCGAAACCGACCAATAGGATCCTATCGAATTCCATGGATTCCGACACTCCGACATCCGACAATTTCCTATCGGAATCCGATACCAAGGATTCCGACAACTTCCAACGAATTCCTATCGTATCCGATATAGTCCGATAGTTTTTCCTATCGTATCCGACGGGATCCAACTGTCGGACCAATCGTCCTGGGATATCACAGGTTCAAACCATACGGCAGGAAACTGTTGGTTCCAGTGAAATTCCGACAAAAACATTGAAGCAGTATTCCGGGACCGGTTACGACTACCGTTTACGGCAAGGTTCTTGAGAAGGGCTCCGACGCCTCTTCACGGGAGAAGGATCCCAACTATATTCTTTCCGCTTCCGATTCTGTTGCGACGTCCAGATCTGGCCGTTTTTATTTTCTTTCAGACGGTTTAATCCCGCAACCAGAAATGATAGGATCTATTGGAAAACTTATTCCTTATAACTACATGACTTTAATACCTTACAATCGACAAATTGGAGCGCTCTCTCAAAAGAATCACTAGAATACAATTGTATATTCAATGTTCAAACGTATGGAATATTAAGAAAAGGTTACAACTCCATACAAGCATTGATAAAGATTTTGGCTCTTTTCAAAACATTGGACTCAATTGGACATCATAGTCATTCTTAAAGCAGTTTTAAGGAGTACGAATTTAACAGCAGTGTAAGAACAGGCTGATTGGATACAAAATACCGCGTAAGAGATTGCACAGCTCACGACCCACTGCTGACAGCAATAGTGGAGTAGAGACCACGATAGACAATTGAATTATGTCTTCAAATTGGAAGATATTATTTACCTCAGATAATCCGACGCGACAATGCATGATAACGAGGTAAACGGAACCACTACTGAGCTGATTTAAATTAATTAAATTGCCGGAGTTCAAAAACATCTGATACAAGAAAACCGACACCATAAAAAGCAATAAATTACACGTCCATCTCTGGAAAGTCTAGAATCCGGCAAAATACTCAAATCTTATAATTTTAAAGGTCTTCAAGCACACCTGTCATAGGTACGAACGAAAGATGACAGGTAGGCACAGGAGCAGAAAGACCATTCTCTCTGAATCCAACCGAGTTAGATATGTCAAAAACGAAAGCGCTTAAAAAACAAGTATTGGAATACTAAAACAATCTTCAGACTGCATAGCAGCCGACCTTCACCTATATATATATATATATATGCGTGCTCGACACTTAGAAGTTCATTCACTCGTCCATGCAGCTACTAATAAAGTGCCTTAAAGATTGCCTGAGACTCTTCAAACTGACGTAGCGATACATGAACACCCTCAAGATCACCAATCTATCCACAGGAGTGAGCATTCAAAGTTTCAACCCCAGAGGCGCAACACACCTCTTCAGGTAAGTCACAGGTAACACTTCGCATACTTTTTTTTATACCAAAACTTTCTCAAAATCATTCCAGTCCCATTTCTAATATTAGTCAATGATAATTGAAAACAAGAATCGACATAGAACTTTGAACTTGTTATAAATCTTCCTTGAGCAACATTTACAATCAGTGTTGTACTCTCCATCAACAGAATAGCATCTAATTAAGGTAAATAAAATAAATCACTTTCAAAGATCTTTATTAGTAAAATCATTATTTCGGACTTAAATCAAGCTCGAATTGCAGCGTTTCTTCGCGGAAAGATCTTAGAATATGATTTTCTATCGATTTGGATCTCCTACTCACAGAAATACCTTATAACTAAGGTAGTCACAATAAAGATCTCTAGTGATCTTCGTAGATTTTTCATATTTGTTTCAGGATGCAAAATCATGGGTTCCGTTGTACTTCCGGTTTGCCCCTTCAGCATTCTTTGCTTTTCCGTTTTGAATGTGAAGGTTTCCGCTGGCATTCCTGATCTCCCCCTCCCTGTTCCTCTATGATCATTGTATGTTCCTTAGAGTTTGCTATGACTGGATTTGAGAGGAAGTTAAGGGTTCAGGGTACGATTTTTTCCGGATGGAATACTGCTTCCACTTCCTTTTGTTTTTCTTGCAGGGTCCAGCGAGAGGACTAGGGAACCGGTGGGAAATCACCGGAAAGAAGCCGTTTCCAGACAGGTTCCGAAAGGATCCAGAGAACGAAGTCATCGACCTGGGATACTAATTTGTCGGATTTCGCTCAGCTTTGTTTTTAGGGTCAGCTTGAAATAAAGAATGTATTTGTACGTTGCCTAGTGAAATTAAAATTTCGATGGATTGATTAAAGGACATCAACTTGAAGTTGATGAGCAATTTAGGTTTCAAACTTCCAGAAGTACCGCCTGAATGAATTGAAATATGAAGTGACTTTTTTTAACTTTATCAATATTTTATTTTTATTTATTTTTTCCTGAATTATTGAACTTGTTACATTTATTTTCAAATTTTCAATACTAAGTTTCGTTCGCCTAAAAATGTAATTCAAAAATGATGATTTTGTAAGGTTTTTATCGTTACAAAGTTTCAAGATAATAAAAGAGATGTCAGCAAGCAATAGTAGCCAATAGTCTATTTCTTCGCATTTGATCTAAGATAGTGAATCATTGAAATAATTTAATGTTCAATCAAAAGCATTCTCTAGGATTATGGTGATAATCACGAAAAAACGTTTTCTGAGCAATGAATTCTATTATGATTATTTGAGAACTAAAAAGAAATGTAATGATTTTTGTTTTTTATTACAACTGCTGAAGACAGAAAATGTGTATATTCCAAGCGAATGTGAAACTAATCAGGCCAAAACGATGTCTAATTAATTTTAAGATTGCTTGTTCCTTTTCCGTTAAATTTTTTATTTTTTCGTGTACTCGGTTCGCGCTTCGCACCGCATTTTGTATACGAGTGAAACTCGAATACCATCTAGTTTCAAGTGTGAAGGAGAAGTCTATGCTTGGCAATGAAGGTTACAATTATACTTTAGAACGAAAATGTTTTTTCGATATCACAGTTGAGATTGCAAAGGTAAATTTAACTAAAATATGATTTTCACTAGACTTCTCTATGCATACATTTCTCTTCGCCTCTACATTAATTGTGTTACATTCAATTAGCTGCTTGACAAACTGTCAATGCGGCAAATTATCCTTGCAACAAATAGTCTGCGACGAATTGTCCGTGACGAATTATCCCGTTACCAAAATATTTCGAATAGCATCATATTCAATAGAAAAAAGTGGTTATCTACAGGCTAATGTATTCTAGAAACGAAAATACTTTATTGATAAAATTTCAGATATTTCATTATTCCTAGGATCTAACAGATTTTCATGAATGGTGGAATGTGGGCGAACTTCACAATACATAGACTAATATGAATGACACAAGTGAAGTAATTCATGTTCTTTGTCTTCAATAAAAATCATAACCAGAGCAATTAATTGCTAATTAAAGTTGTTTGTTTCTTGCCATGTTCTTCATCAGTTATCGAATATTTAATAATGATAATAAAGAATACCCTAGTAAACTCTCCCTAGAAGAATCCCCAGGGAGTCCCCTGACAAATCCCCGGCGACTAACGGCAGGGAGTCCCCTGACAAATCCCCGGCGACTAACGGCAGGGAGTCCCTAGAGATTTCGTTCTTTTGCGGGGACTCCCTGAGGACTCCCCGGAGAGTTATCTGGCCAAAATCGATGAAATATCTAATTACTAATAAATTCATCTAAATTTTTTAAGATTTAAAAAAATTAAAAAGTTTTTTTTTTAATTTTAAAAAATTTCATCAATTCTCCCCAGAGAAGTCCCTGCGGAGCCCCCGGGGGAGAGTGAACTAGGGATGCCAAATATTTTACAAGGATACAGGCGTGTAGAAAATTCAATTCACTATTAATTGGTATGATAAGGGCCCAGATGCATACGTTTCACGGCAAATATAATTACTCACACCTTTAGAAATACATGTTGCTCAGCAGAGACAAGACAAAAAAGTCAAGTACTTCGTGTCAATAAAATTTCTATGATTTTGGTAATTTTGTAAAGAAAACTATTAATGGGATCACACTCTATTATGATTATATGGTAAAAGGAATGGCTACTCGAAGCCCGACGATGAATATTTATTTCTTTACGGGTCAATAATTTTGGATTCCACAGGAAAGACGCGTGAAAAATCCCAGAAAATGCAGAAGTTGCAAATAATATTACAGCTAGTACATTTTTGGGCTTTCATGTTGTGGTCAACGGGTGTTTTTAGTTTGATAGCGTGAAAATTTGACCAGATTTCGCTGGAAAAAATTGGAACATTTTCAGATCAGAATAATACCTTCTTGTCAATACCTGCCTGTACTTATTGCCTTGGGCTTTTAAAAATATTTTCAACGGATAGCTTATTATTCTTGTATTTAAAGATTAAATATTTTCTAAATTAGAGTTTCTTTTCATTTTGATTCATTTTTACAGCGGGTTCTTCAATATAGGCCTACTTAAAATTTGAAAAACTTTCATTTTTTCTCTTTACGATGGTATTTTAGCCTTTATTCATTAGTTTTTTACTTTTAATTTATAAATAAGGTGAGCGCGAAGAATCATTATCTAGAAAATAATCGATCTAAATTCTCATTTTTTTCGGATACATTCATATTTCAATATGAAGAATTATATATCAGCATCGGTAACTCTGGTTCTATTCCTTTTTTTTGCATCTAGTAGAATATAGCTAGTATTGCTAACGTGAGTCTTTATTAATTTACATCAGTTATTATAGTTGACATGTATGACAACGATAGTGAAGTTATATAAGTTTATCTGATGTAGGACAACATCAAATATCGAATTCTGATTCATCAAGAACAAAAAATTCAAATTGACTAGAAATAAATTAGTAACTATATAACATTTCAGTTGACGATTATTTATTCGATCAATCGAAATCAAACTTTGTAACTTTTTTCAAGGATTTGGTTGATCTATCGTATAATTTCACTTCACTTGTATATATTGAAGTAGCTTTTACTGATAGATCACCATCTTTTTAAAGGTAAACTTATTTGTAAATTTAATCATATCCAATATTAGTGAATTGGATTTTTCACACGCTTGTATCTTTGTAAAATATTTGATATACGTTTTCATTATTCTAAATCTGTAATTGATAAATAAAAACAAACAACTATAATTGGCAATTAATTGCTGCGTTTATTATATTAATTGAAGACGCAAAATATGAATTACTTCACTTCTGTCATCCCTACTAGTCTATTCATTGTGAGTCTCGCCTACATTCCACCATTCATGAAAAATCTGTTCAGTCAGAGACCTATAGAAGTATCTGACATTTTATCAATATCCTATTCGTTTCTAGAGCACATTAGCCTATAAATAATCACTTTTTTTACTGTTGAACATAATGTCATTCGAAATATTTGTATGTCAAATAATGATAAGATGGAGAGAAATTTGCCTGTATGTTTAGATGCATTGCTTAGAAAAGAAAAACATTCTTATATATTTGAAGGATGATTAATTTAAATAAGGAGCATGTAGTATATAAATTGAGACATATCTGTTTTTCAGATTTAATTTCTTATATCCATCGCTATCATCATCAGTGATAGAAAACTTGTTGGACGGGTTTAATAATGGTTGTCTATCACTCATTTGATTAGTGTTTGGATTGCTTTAGAATGATGATAGTAATGAAATAGACTCTACTCAAAACCTCAGTAAAAACTTAGCGCTTATTACTCACTTGAGTGCTCATGCGTATGGTCGCTTTTTTTTATTTTTCTGTCGCCTACACACTAAAACAAAATATAAATGCAAGAAAACATTTACTTCCGTTGATTTTTTCCAAACCGACAAGTCGAATCGTTTATTCCTTCATTTAGCGATTATTAATACGATGCGAATCATAGCATTTATGTAGTCCGTCGCGAGTTTTTTTTTCTTTTTTACTTGAGATCGTACGCATCACATCTCGTCGTTTTGTGGCTCAATGATCTTCTGAACCGAAAATCGTAAAAAGTGGTTAAAACGTAAGATAGAATTATCGACATCGAACTGCGTACACCTGTTTTCGAAACTTCAATCAGAACTTCCGCTCACTCACAAATGTGGTTTCCAAAATGACGAAAATGAAAGAAATTTGTTGCGAGATAATTAAAGTGACGTCATGAACATATGTTAGCCACTATAGTCTATTCATTTGCAGCTCATCTAAGATAATGAATCATGAAGATACTTAATCGATCAATCGAAATCGATCCTTAAGAAAATGCATCGCTAAGTAAGAATAGAGTGTTCTCAGTGATGAATACCATTATGGCTGCCTAAAAAGTATTCGAGATTTCTTCGAATTCATGATTTTTCGTTGGAAATCCAGATTCTTGCTTCGCATCGCATTTCGTATTCGAGTGAAGCATGAATACCATCTAGTTCTATGTATTTATATTGTGTTTCCATGTATTTCAGAAATTAATGACTTCCATTAGCCATTAATATTAATGGTTAATGTTTTCTAAGACAAACTTAATTCATTAATATTAATGATTAATGAAAAACATTAACATTAATTTTAAAATTAATGTTTTCATTAATCATTAATATTAATGTCAATGTTCTTGAATGATATTAACGGTTAAAGGAAACATTCACCATTAGTATGAATAGTAATGTTTTCGTTAATATTAGGGATTATATTTTCATTAATCATTAATATTAATGTTAATGTTTTCATGAAAACATTAATTTTTCCATATTACTGAATTAGGCTTTTCTAAGGAAACATTATCTACAATTATTAATCAATTAACTGATCTTAATAGCTAATGTTTTCTCCGAAAGTGTTAATTACTTAATATGGAAAGTTATAATGCTTTCATGAAAACATTAACCATTAATATTAAGTCATTGATTTTAATGAAAACATTAACATTAATATTAATGATTAATGAAAGTATAATCCATAATATTAACGAAAACATTGCTATTCATACTAATGGTGAATGTTTCCGTTAACCGTTAATATCATTTAAGAACATTGACATTAATATTAATGATTAATGAAAACATTAATTTTAAAATTAATGTTAATGTTTTTCATTAATCATTAATATTAATGAATTAAGTTTTTCTTAGAAAACATTAAGCATTAATATTAATGGTTAATGAGAAACATTAACATTAATATAAAATTAATGTTAATGGCCCACCCCTAGAGGCACCCCTGCTTATATGATAGAATTAACTTGGAAGAAAAGTACAGAAATGATTTGTTTACTAACCATACGCAGCAGAACGAAAGAAAAAGGGTAGGCAGAAATTCACTGTCTGAAGAACAGCACAGAGAAATTTTAAACATTGTCTTGCTCAATTTTATTTTATTTTATATATATTCTGTTCTTTTATTCTTTGAATTTTATTTTAAAAAAATGAGTACGACAATTTTATTCAACCACTGCAATTTGAGTTCATTTCTCTTTCTTTTTACTGTAGCACAGTCAGCATACGATGAATGCCTGTCTGCGTGCACAAGGACTTTCATTTGTAACAACAAAAATCACAGTATTTTGTTTATGGACCATTTAAATGTGTAGTTAAAGCAAAATCAATAATGTTATTCATTATAAAAGCAATGCGAACTGCAACGCGATCGAATTTCGCAGTACTCTTGGTGTTCCTTACAATTTGTATGACTTTTATCAGTTTTCATTTATATCAAAGTAGTAAAAGTCGACAACAGACAACTCAAATTATTTCAACTGCTACTGCTGCTGAACAAAAAACATTTCGATTACTTCCCACAACCTTAAAAAATGAAAAATATACTGATAAAGGTACGATATAATAGGTTATTTCAGGCTAAAGATTTCATTCACTGAATTTTCATTGGGTAGGATGAAAAACAAAATTGTATTTTTATGGATTCAAATCATGAAAATAGAGAAGTCTTGGGATGAAAAATTAGTTATAGAGTTTTCCATTCAATATTTAAAATAATTCAGTTGAGAAAAAACTGTAACGATTACTGATAGAAATAATATTCGCGCTATGTTATTGCACTCTATTGTGTTTCTTCATAATATGCTCTCGTATCATGTGCATCGAAAGTACATGTTTATATGCGCAACCAATATACCGAAGAAATAGGAGAATACATGGATGAACCAAATAATAACGGAGAGTAAGATTGTTTACCATACGTAGTCATAATAGAAAGAACAACAACACATATGATAAGGAAAAGTTGAAAAAGCTACCCATGAATAGTCCAAGCAAGGAGAGTAGTAGATAGTGACATTCAAATACATTCAACTGGGAGAATCCGAAAAATGTCACGATTTTATTAATTATACATCAAATATACTTTTGCCCTTCCATTTCGAGATACTTTCAGAAATACGAAAAGGAAAATTTTATTATATATCCAATAGAATTTAAGGGTTATTCTGCAGTTTTTAGTTTTTGAAGGCAAAAAATGAAAGTCCTTCTCCAATCTTTTATATATCTTCATCACAAAAACGCAGTTAAAATTTGAGTTTGCTGACACGTTGATATCATTGTTGATATTATGTGTCTTCTTATTAAGGGGAAAAAGCGAAACGCGCGTACTCCTGAAGTAGAGTGTGAGTACAGTAGAGCATAGCAGGAGTACAGTGAACGCATAGAACAGATCTAATTCAGTTGTACTCACACTGTACTCTCACTCTACTCCAGGAGTATGCGAGTCTTACTTTTTTCGCCTGCGTCTTATGCAAAATGAGTGTTAACATTTATTTTAAATGAAAAAAGTAATCATTGGCAATAATCAAGAAATTGTAAATTGTAAATAAAAGAAAAATGATGAATTTTGTATGAAACACATATGATGCAGACATATCTTAAAAAAGGATAAATCTAGAAATTATGATCAATCATTGAATTCGCTCAGACAAAAATAAATCTCACTTTTTTTTTGAAGTAATAACAGTTCCAATAACTACAATTGAAGACAAGTCAACAAACAGTGAAAATATATTTGTGAAATATGCAAGCGATGAACATCTTCGTTCACTTCTTCATCAACAATCAAACTCTCACGGTCAAGTTATTGCAACGATAATCGGTGGTGATAGTTATTCATTATTTGCTTGGGATTGGTATGAAAGAATGTTAGAAATATCCAATGAAACCAATAATTGCCATTGTTTTGTTATTGCTATGGATGAAATTGCTGTTATTTTATCTCTCAAACGAAATATACCGGTGTATTATTCAACATTTTCATTTGATCGACAAATGCAATGGATCAACACGATTGAAGCACGACAACATTCACTTTATCGCGTTGGACATGCAAAATTTGATACATCAGCTAGAATTGTTCGGTTAGGTTATTCTATCATGCTTAGTGAAATGGATGTTTTCTGGTAAGCATATTTAATGTTTATTTTAAAAACAATTTATTCTTATGAAATGAATGAGTCTTTAACTGGAATATGACATCTTCATTAAAGAACTAAGACTATACTTTCTTGTCGTATTTTTAACTATAATAACGAGATTATTTGATATAATGCAGCGATTGAGCAAATGAAATATTTTTGTTTAATATTGATTTCCGTTTATTCTTCACTGTTATTCATGTAATTAAAAATCAGCAGTGAGTACTATGATAATGCATTTATAGCGTTTCTAATCGATTTGATGATTATGTTTGAAGTATTTATTACTAAATTTTGATGATAACCTTTTAAATGAAGCCAACTGTTTTTTTGAGTATTCTCGTTTTTAGTTATACCTGAAAAGTAGTTAAGAAATTAGATTGATCTCATTTTATATGATTCTCTTTAAGCTACGATGATAATCTGGGGAAAAAACAAAAATAAGAAACTATGAATTTTTTTACTTAGTGAATAGATGGAGAGTTGTCAATTAAACTACAAAATAGACTGAAAAATTGCGACGTACGCCAACAAACGATTAAAAGATCGAAATCAAAACCAACAGCTAGATCTGTTTAAATTTAGTTTTTCATTATCGGACAATCCAATGAATAAAGATGTTTAACTTTTGTTTCCGAACTATTGAGTGCATGTCTAATTGTTACAAATGTTTCTCTCTGTTAGAGACTCTGAATCAGAGTTTATTTAAAACAATCAAATTTTGTAGATTTGTAAATTCAATACTCAATCAAGAATTATATTTCATTAAAATTTATTTCTATTACAGGAGAAAGAATCCACTCGATTATTTAAAAGAACCATTCGATGCTTATGATTTACAAATAAGTCATCACTATGGTGCTCATCCACGTGTGAATATAGGTTTATTTTTTGTTCGACCAACGAATGCATCTATATTATTCTTTTCCCATGTTGCTGAGTTTTGGGTACGCTATGGTAAAGGTGGTTATCTTTCTGATCAGCGAGTATTGGATGCTTTACTTAATAATTACGATCGACTAGATAAAACTTATTTAAAAGCAATGAAACCCATGCCACCATCGTCATTTAATTGGACAACACATGATTTTGGAAATCATTTTTCACATATGATGACAGATGGAAGTGCCTTCATATTGTTCAATCAAGCAGCCAAAGCTGGAAGAAGATCCAAAAAATTTCATGGTGGCATAAAAGCAAAATTTTTTACAATTACAGTAGAAAATGTGTAAGACAAAATAAAAATTCTATTGATTAATTACATTTTTTTCCTTTATGCATCAATAGAAATATGTCGATCAATTATCGCAATCTTCTTATTCGTTCTCTTCTTATTCTTCAACACACGGAATTAAAAAATCGAACATTCATTTTCCCTGCTTTTTCGTCGAATTTAACCACTATTCCAATAACATATCAACTTGACATTAAAAAGTTTTTACTTTATTGGACTGAAGAACAAATTCGATTACCTGATTTTCTTCTACTTGAAACATCTCGTGCGATACCAATTACGACGCTTCCATATTTATCTAAGAAAACATATGAAGATGTTGACGGAATATTAAATCTAACATTAGATTCAATTCCTCTGGACTTAGTAGCTCCCTCAGCGCAATTTGAAGTTCATGTTCGAGATTCTCTTCTATGGTGTTCACCGCCTATTCAAGGTGGTGCATGGTGTATTCATCATCCTAGAGATTTCGGTGCAACAATGGAAATATTATTTGCTTGTCGAGGTGATCCATATCCACCTTGTGCAAATAAAACAGAAAAAAATGAGCAATTTCGGGAAAGACCTTACGAAAAGAATTAGAAAATTATTGTTCAGTCTATATTCACAAGCGACATATTAGCAGTTTGTTTGGTCACAAGTTTTACTTGAAAAATAATCATGGAAAACAGCATATCCGTATGATAGAATAATTATTTACTCCCGCAGAAACAACATTTGTGAAAATTGCTATAACTTTGTTTTTTCGTGTGAACATATGTGTAACGTTATATGTGAAGAGCGTCCAAATCCCATCCGGAGGTGTAACGCTCCCGTTCGAGTGTAACCTATGCATGATATTTGGCGTTATGGCGCAATTTCTTCTCATCTCACCTATTGCCTTTATCTTTCTGTACTTGATATGTGTCTTTATCTCTCATTCTCTCTCATTCTCTTTCGTTCTCTCAAATGGTTGAGTATTTAAGCGTGTGCTTTATATATAATCGGTGTGATTTGTGATATGAAGAAGTTAAATAAAGTGTAATACCATCCACACGGGCATCTCTTCTATCTAAAATCGTCAAAATATGACTATAAATAAATTATATTGAATTGCACTTACTAGATTCATTCAAAAGTTGATCTAATTCCATGTACACTGGAGAGAAATTCAGTATAAATATAATTCTCAGGCGAAGCTATCTCAACATGGAAAACAAATTTTACAACTTGAAAGCATTCATGCAACAGTAAAGTGCTACGCTTTTATTTAAGATCCAAAAATCTATGAAGAAAAGTTTTAGGTCATTTGGTTTATGAAATAAATTTGGGATAATTTCTACAGGAGAATTTATGCGATCTATCGAAAAGTGACCCATATCTTTGGTTAATTTTAAGTATTTTGCGTTGAAATTATTTTCAGTGAGTGTCCTACTCTAATAAAGTTTTCCTTGAAAACTGCACACATATTCACCGATGGAGAAGGAATTCATGTTGAGGCAGACTCAGATGTTGTATAAATTCATCTTTCTTAAGATTTCAATAGTAGACAACCAGAAAAGTTTAATTAAAACCTTTATTCAATCCTGAACAAAGGCAGCGTTTTCACCAGAGTTCGTTTACATTTAAGTCTATCGACTTCAGATTGTAACTTGTCACAATGATTTTATGAATTGTATTTACATCAACATGTTTTAAAAGAATTATGCTCATCCAAATCTTCATCAGTAGTAGAGTTTTGTATCACCAGATGTGTGGAGTACGGTAAAAGATGTGAGAATCTAATATGATTGAATATGAACAGATTAAGAAATTCACTAAACTCATGATGCATGTCTTTTATTATTCGATTTTTTGAATCTCCTAACTGAACCATAAAAACATAATAATTACAAAGAACTATTGAAGAGTGGCAGTAAAATGTTAGTGATAATATAGCATTGATTAGTGACTTTAAAAAAGCTCATTGTATGTATGCTTTTTGATTAATAAATAATTGAAAGAACAAGAAAAAAAGTCATACTATGAAGTTATTCATCAGTTTTTTTTCTGTTCTTTATAATACGGGTGAATTAATAGAGAATATTTTCAGATTACAGGAAAGGGTAATAACAGAAATTTATCTTCTATACGAATCTACTTGCAACTATTCTAAATGTAAATGCATATAACACGGTATAAGAACACTGATTCAATGTCAAGAGTTACTAGTTGGGGATTGAAAAATCGATGGATATATCAAGTTATTTCTCGTATGGAAGAGTATTTTACATCGTATATTTATAGTTAATTCAATGGTTGATTTCTTTTCCATTAAATTGATTTCTTCATTGTACCATGCAACTGAATAAAATAGTCTACTTTCCTTTCATTTTCTTCTATAATTGAAAGTTACCAAGGGAAAGCTTTGTCATTTCCGGCAACATTGAATATTGAATCAGTAAATATCCTAATGCTTTTTTTTCTTCAGAAAGCTGGAAGCCAAAGTAAATGAAACAAAACATATGCAACTTTTTCCAGAAAAATTTATCTGAAATAGTTTTACTTGATTGATAAACATAGAATGTTTTTATTTGTAATATTTCTTATCTGTTCAGCCACTGTTCATGGATTAATTGCAATTTTGAATGAATCAGTGCCATTTGGATGGACGGGGTGGGCATCATATTCATACAACTACTATTCAGCTACAAAAATAGAATTCCTATTTGGTTTTCAGACCAATACTATACACAGGTCCTATTTAGGCGCTGTATCTGCTATTAATAATAATGCACTGACGACTGAATTGTTGATCAATCCTAGTTTCAAAAACTCACCGACCAATGCGCTTGGTTGGGCCATATTATGTGAAATGGCATGTGCAAGTCGAATAATTTCCAGTTCTCAGTGTTTTAGATTAGCTGAAAATTGCTTTATGATTTATTGTAATTCGATCAATTCTTTTATTTCTATTCTAAGTCAATCTTTCATATCAAATACCAACTCGTATCATGTTAAATAATTATTATATAATTCTATGCCAATGAACGCGCAGTAGTCATCATTTTTTCTCAATGAGTATGAATTCATATTTGATCTACATACGTTACTCAATGTAAGTGATCGATGTTTATGTCAATAGGTTTCAAGTATTTAGAATACTATTAATGACATTACATATAACATCAAATCTATTCATAATATTAATTAATAAAATATGAAATAGGCATGAATTTACAAGATGTAGGTTTTCTAAGAAAAAGATGATTTAGAGTATATTGTTCCAAATCTTAAGCGTCAGATTAAATGTAAAACGATTAAATGTCAGTTATTGTAGGTTGAATTCGTTTTCTACTAGAAACTTATCAGATCTAAAGATCAATTTATCTAATTGCTTAGTACTTTTCGCGCCTTGTGTATGCTGTTCGTAGCCAAATCAATTATGATTACTACTGGAGATAATATTTCTTTTGTAGGCGAAACTATGATGTGAAGCAACAATAAAAGCGTCGCGTTTTGTTTTTATTTAATCATAACACCAAATTGATATAGTTCTACTTTTTATATGGTTAACGAATCTTCGCTGATATTCAATTCATTTGCTTCTCATCAGTTAATGATTGATATTGAGATAAGAAGCAAAATTTGGTAAATAGTTTTCGAAGAAAATTGTCTTTAGATTTCAAAATTAACATGATCATGGAAGAAAAAGAAAAAATGATCGAATATTTTTAACAATGTAATTAATGTCGAAATATATTAACATTTATGATTTGAATTATTTCAGAAAATGAAAACTAAACAATGTCTTCATTTAGGCTCATTTTTTTCTACTGATTTTCTATTGACTCGTATTATATTAATTAGATTCCATATTGCCTCTTTGTGTTAATCCAATTATTTAAACTTTGAAAACATTTTATACTCTTACAAAGCTTCTTTTTTTATTTCTACATTACGTCGTTCGAAAGGCATAAATATTTCCATGAATAACAAGAGTATGAACGTCGTAAAATCTATCATCTTCGACAGTTAAAATTGCATAATATTAGTGTAGAAGACGAATCGATATGTAACGTTCAGCTATGCGTTTTTTTTGTTGTTGTCTATTATAAAAATAGTATTGACAAGAAGATATTATACAACATGTGATATGAAAAACAAGAAAAATTAATCTTGTAAAGATCTCGAGTTAGTTGCGAAATAGGTGCTTATAGAGGAAATAACATTTTAATTGACGTAGAGAAACATTGAACAAATGAAAAAATGAAGTACTACATCATAAATCGACAATCACTAATGAGCAAAAAAGATCATCATGTACGATGAATTTCAATTTTGATCCAAAACCTAAAAATCTAACTGAAGAGACCTATGTCCGCTAAATTGATTCAGATTATATTTTTTATACAAGTTCAACGAATAGAATTATCAGAAATTCAAATGTTGCCCTAGTAGAATGTATTTCGGCTCTTGAACACATTTTTGGATTAATCTTGTGTACACCGTTTAAGGATAGATTGTATATTATTGTAACTCGGAGCTTATTTAGCGAAAGCAAGAATTGAACTAATGACATCCGATGTCGAAGACTAGACAAAATAGAACTACAGTTTTGCAAAACTTTAATTGACTAAATTAAAAACATCATTCAATTTTGGAATGACTGTTTATAATTCAAATTTTCTATGAAATGAGCGTATCAGAGAATTGAATATTTTCTCATGTCATTTTCTGTTTTCTTTCTCGCGTTTTCTCTATTTGTTTTATCTTGATCCCTTATAATCTTAGATATCTACTCATTTGATGATCTCAAAATCGTAAAGATTTGGAACAGTTATTAATAATTAGAAAAATATTAAATTAGTCTAATTTAATTTATTCATTGCCATTTAAAGTTTGTTCCAGCACATGTATATATGAGCATTGCGTCACGAATTAAGAGATAAGCAAAAAGATAATATAGATTATTAGAAGTTAATTCTACCAAATGTGTATCGAGAAAAAGGTTTTTCTTTTATTTGCTTCTAATGTATAAAAGTGCAATAGTAGCTACTGCAAAACTAAAAATTTTAGAAAGTTAACTGTTTGATTAGAAACGTGTTTTTCTTTCTTATATTCGATCATACATAAGTGCATAAGTATAGAGCGACAGCTAGAATAAGTTATTCATAGGCTTTTCAACATTCCAATGCAATAATACATGCGTACATACATACATACATACGTACATATATATATATATATATATATATATTTATTTCATCAAATGCTGTTACTATGACTCAGTCGTTTTTTAATTTGGTTTATCGTTATTGTCAACAGATTAGTATTAACGTTGACATTGAAAACATTATTTGTTTTTCACTTCATGCTAGTAAGATAAGGATTGTTTCATAAAATGAGCTGAACCCCTGGGGACAAAGTGTTTCTATTGAGTTTAATTGTTCTAGATGTGTTACCCAGCTTCTTTTGAATTGTTTCCAGATGAAATTATTTTATGTGTGTGCCAGTATCTTCGTGAAGCTGATGTTCTCTATTCACTTTATAACCTTAATTCTCGATTGAATACTACAATAACAGGCTATTGTCGTCATCTTAATTTAATGGCTGTCTCATATAAACAATTTGAATATGCTGTTTTTCATGTTCTACCTCAAATTGGTTCTATTGTTCGAACTTTCGTACTCAATGGTAATTGGGAAACAATTATTAATAATGAATTATCTTCTGTTCTTTTTGTTTCACACCTATCTCTATTATTTCCAAATCTTCAAAGATTAATAGTGAAATGGTTCACTAGTGAAAGATTTTTGTCATTCGTTGATACACTTCAAGGTTTTTCACAACTCATGGAATTAGATATTCGATTTCTTCGAGGAAATGCAGCAGGTTTACTTTTACAGAAAGTTCTCTCTGCTAATAATAGTCAACTTTCAATAGTTTCGTTTGACCAGGATTCAGTTGATTTAGATATATCCGATGAAATTAATATGATATCTTATCCGAATATTCAAGAGCTTGCTATAAATCTAACATTTAGTAAATTAATTCCATGTCTCTTTGTACTCGTACCAAACGTCCGTCGTTTACATCTGAATATTGACGAATTGTCAAATGATTCCAAGTCTAAACTAGTAGATGGCAACCTATCATCTCTTGTTTACTTGACTATTTTTCAGTTACGTTCAATCAACTTGTTTTGGACATTCGATGAAGTAGCTTATCTACTCAAAGCGATGCCTTCTTTGCAACGACTTGGCCTTGATATGCGCACAGATGATAAACGTTTAGTCACTGAAAAGGATATTATGACAATTTTACCTGCGTCACTCAGTAAAATCGATCTTTTTATTCGTTATTATTTTTCTAAATCAAAATCAGATATTAACGAAGAACATATGTTCTCGTCAACTCATATTCCTGTCGCTTGTTTGCTAGACGAACCGAGACATCGATTTCTAATTCATTCTATTCCATATGATCTGAATTCAGCTATTCTAACAGCAAGCATAAGTAGACAAATGCTTTCAGGATGGAAATATATGAAACAAATCAAAGATTTATATATTTATGATATAACGTCTACGGCTGAAATACTTCTCATACTACAGCATTTTCGTCGACTTCGAACATTTACAATTGACGCAAAGGACAAGTCGGAAAAGTGTAAGTATCTCTAATTTCAATGTTTTTTTTGTTGTTGTTGTTTTGATAGGGTAGAAGAGAAAAAAACTCATTATAATGCATTCTTTAACCACCTAATCATTTATTTTTCCTTTTTTTTTGCATGCTGATCGAAAGATGAGATGAAATTATTTAAAACTAAAAAAACTGTTTCTTTTTTTCTTTCAGTAATTGTGCCAAAAGAATCTCAATCTATCGATTTAAAATTACCATTTCTCAAACAGATTGAAACATCTGGAATATTTGAATTATTCTCTTTGCTCAACGTTGCTCCTAACGTTGACTATTTAATTGTTTACTTTGATTGTCTTAAAATATTATTAGACGATGAATTGACATGTCATCTATTGCAAACTCGTATTATTCGCCTTAATATTATGGATTGGATCGATATCGAGTCCGAACTATTGCAACGCATCTCACAAGTATTTTGTTCGCTACGTCATCTCGTTATAACTTTAAAAGATGCAACAGTATCTATTGATGAGTTTGTATTGAAAATTATTTCTCTTTGGAAAGGTAAAACACGCATTTCAATCGATGTTACCGGTGTATTGTCAGAAGAAATATGCAAAAATCTTAGACAATGGATAATTGATCATTCTCATATAAAAACAGAAGATTCATTTACAGTTGAATACAATGAAAATTGGTTTGATTTGTGGTTTTAGGATCGATGAAAATTATAGTTCTAGTTTATTTTTGTATTTTTATTCAGTCTTCTTCAGTCATATTGTGAGAATATTTTAAATTAATTAGTTTCGAACAACAATAATTTGTGATGTTCAACAAAGGATAATAACTATTCTATAATAATAAATATTCTTGTAAGTTTTTGCGCATCTTTATCTGAGAAAACAAATCGTGAAAAGCACAGCATTGTGATAAATCTTTTTACTGAACCGTAGTTAAAATAAAATAAATATGATCTTAGAGTAGAGTTTAATAAAATGACTAGCATGATAATTATATGTTCATCATTATCGGAGATCAGCTGCGTTGCACTTGCTGAACTTTATGTAACGGAAGAACTCTATTAATAAGGTCATTTTGTTTTTCGATAAATATCGCAGTCAACATAGTAGGCTATTTCTAACTAATATTATAGAAGATTGCATGATACTTCCATCAGTTTCATTCAATAGTATAATAAAATCGATGATTTAGATAGACATCAATGGGATAGAAAGGTTCGTAACCATCACTTAGATGTATTTCTATTAAGTCCAATAGATATTGTCTACTTGTAGTACAAGAAAATACTATTATAAGTTTCAAATGAAATTTTACTGTTGTAAATGATAAAATAATTACTACTATTCAATTGTCTGTAACTCTCTGATGATGCTATCCATAATTGAAGTAGAAACAGATATTTTACATCTCTACATTTGTGATCATTCCTTTAATAGTATTATTTTTAGTGAAAAGTCAAATTTGAAAAAGCCTTTTTCAAATTTGTTTGTATATTCGAGAATTATTTTTTACAATGGAATTTTATTTTTGATCACGATTTAAAGCTGATTCAATATCTTTAATAATTTTCTCTTGAATTTCTTCCAATGGTTGCTTAGTTGAGTCAATAATCTCCAATTTTATATCTTTGTCTTGTTCAAACGCTTCTTTCTTTGCTTTGATATAAGTATCCCAAACATGTTCTTCAAAATAACCACTTGGATCCGGTGGATTATAATTTCGTTCCAATCGTCGTTTGCGACATTCTTCATATGACAAATCAAAATAATAAGCTAGATCATATGTATGATGGTCTTTCGGTAGCAATGGAATGTTAAATATGAGAAAACCTTCAACAAGTAAAAGGTCACATTTCAAACGAGCAGATTGCAAATCTACAATAAATTGATCTGTATCAAGCGCATCTAAACAATCCCAATCGTGATGGTTAAATTTGTCCAGATGTATATGATGAGGATCATCAATCGGGCGAAAATAATCGTCAATATGCAATGATTCTACAGCAAGATTGTGCTTACTAGAAGAGAATAGTTGTTTAAGAGCCCGACAGATTGTCGTTTTACCACCATTGGTCACACCACCAAGGCCAACAACAAGTGCAGTTAGTGAAGAAGACATAGAATTATGCTATAATGAATGAAAGGTAAATGTTAGTTTTACGTAGTTATTATAAAAAGCACGAGGCAATAGTTGTTTTTTTTCCTTAATTTATAGTTTTTCATAATTTGTTTTCAAAGATGAAACTTTTCAAGACTGAATACTCTGCGATATAAGTAATAGCATATGTATTCATATTATGTTTGTGACAATTTCTAATAGACGAAGTATACTTGTGATCAGAAATGCCAACAAATCAGCTTTTGGTGATCTGAGTTGGTCTGAGGGTGTAGGATGTGAGTGTGGATGAGTGAAATATCTCACATACATATTCTTGGGGGAGAGGGGGGGGGTGAGTAAGAAAACAGGAATGCTGAAAAAATTTGATGATCGAAAATATTGTTACTCAAGATATTGTTTACAATACATAGTCATATCAGAAAGAATAAAGAAGGATATGCAAAAATAAAAATGACAAGACAAGGTTAAATATCATGTACGAGCAGTCAATTAAACTAAACAAGGATAGTAAAGTGGTAATCAATGAATTTCATTGGAAACGTTATGATGTTGTTAGACATTTTTCTAATAAACTATAATATTAAAAAAATTCAAAAAGAATGTAAAGCAATAAAAACAATGTCAAGATTTCTATTGCTATATTATTCTGTCATAAATTGTTTATTAATCGTAGAAAACATAAAAATCATAAAAAGTATATAATGACAATCTATCAAAACATGTGCATTCAAAATGTATCGATCTCATCATATTGAACTACGTCTTCTTTTAACCTGTTTTTATATTTATCTCAATTGTCATACTATTCTATATGTTAAACAAGTGATTTTTCATTATGCATTTTTATCATCACCATTCACACATCCCTATACGTATATACATATTCGAACTATCGTAGGTAGTTGTGTTTCTTTAATATATCGTTGTCTTCTTCTTTATGCATTATGGTGTAAAATGGCTGATCTTCTTTTAATTTCAATTATCTTTCTGACTGCTCTTATATGTCTTCGAATCGTTTTCGATTTCTATGGTTATTTTTCAGGTTACATTAAACAGTCATTATATTATCCTTTTAATACTTTCGATAAAAAATCAATCACTGAAGAAATTATTGATTTAATTTTTGCATTGATGCAACATTTCATTGGATTACTGTTAAGTACTTATATGTTTAAAGATATTATTAGTAATTATGGAAGAAGAAGAAGAAAAATTAAAGAATTCAACTATCAATTATCCCAATTGGAACAGAACTAAATCAAATAAAATAATAGACCATAAGTTCTTTTTTCTGTTAGATTGTTATATTAATATATAAAATAACTATATATGAATAATATTCAACTATGTGTTTTTAAAGCTTCTGGATTATTTCGTTCGAAAATAGTTTTTGGTACAACTGTGTCCATTCTATAAGGAGAGGCTGTCGTTTGTTCTTGATTTTGTCGTTCTACTCGTTCTTCAATAATAGTTTTTTCATGAGGAACTGGTGTGTGTGGTACACCTCGACAACGTCGTTCAATGAAATATCCAAGACTGCCAAGAACTATGCGAAAAAAAAATTATAAAATATGAGAGAATAGTAAATCCTATACCTATCGCAACTGGCAAAGTAGCGACAGTAGCATATCGACCAAGAATCGGAATAATTATATTCCAAACCATAGCATATCTAGAATTAAAATAAATGATCATAATCAATATGAGCCTTGCAATTTCGTATTTTTTTTTAATTTAAATTTGAACTCAAATAATATGGCATAACATTAGTTATAAATTGAATTGTTGTATGATTTAATTCAAGAAAACTCTGTATGTTAAAGTAATTTTAAGAAAAACTGAATCGTAAGATTGACTTTAATAAATTCCTGTGGTGATCTCTTGTCGTCATGTTAGAGATATAAATATCGCCAACAAATTTTATTAGTATTTATTTAAAAATACAAATGATTTGCTTATCTCATCATAGTATGACTAATAAAGTAATAATTGAAACTCATTATAAAGAATACGTCAAATCCTTACTTTTCTAGTCTAAAATTAACTGTGAATAACCAAGATAACGGGCAATAACTGATTTTAGTACAAATAAGGTGTGATAATCTAGCGTTTTTTCATTGTTATGTTCAATTGTTTTTTCATTAAAATCAATAGTGATTCACAGAGTATCACCTTTTTAAATAGCGTGATCATCATAATTATGCACAGCTGATCTTTGCCAATTGTCTATAATAGACTGACTACACGACCTATATGTTAACTAAATAATGATCAATTTAAATTATTTGGATTTTCTGTATTTTCTAATCTAACTTCATTAGAAACAGTGCCAATAAATGGCCATGATGTGAGATAATCAAATCTATCAATATAAGCTCGAATACAATGTAAACCACTCAATTATAAATAATTGACTAGTCAATGAAATGTATTAGATGACTATCATCAATCATTTCATCTAAAATTTCATTAAATAATAATTCATATGGATTAATAATAGGTGACCAAACGAAAATGTCACTATTATAGAAATAATAAATGTAATGATAAATAAATACTTGTTTTTCAATATTTGATGATATAGATGTTGGTGGAGAAATTAGATTATTTTTTGTATGTTTTATATAATTTTCGATTTTTCTGAAATAGGTAAAACTGAATATTTGTCTTGAAGCTTGGACGGGAATATTTGTGCGCATGCCCATCAGCTGTGTGGGTTTAGCTGTACAAAGTCAGTTTGAATAAACAATGGAATTGCGCGGTGAAGATCAGGGTTTGATTGGTATGGGCTCACATCCTTCCACACTCACACCCGCATCACACATACAAATAGTACATTTTACCTATTTCAGAAAAATCGAAAATTATATAAAAAATACAAAAAAAATTAATTTGCCCTAGGAAAGATTAAAATTTTAATTTCCCCTAGAGGAATTTTAAATTACCCTCCAACATAGACAATACTCTTGGTAGTTCAGCATCCCCTAGCGCATTGATGAGTGGTAATGATGTTTAAGTAATTTGTAATAACTATGTAATTAAAGTTCAAAACATTTTTATCAACCGCTGTCTATTATCACATAACTATTTGGTTTGAATGAATATGACGATTATATCTTTTTACTGATAGTTGCTCTTGTTTTGACCGATGACGATAAAAAAATACTATTTCGGCTACAAAATATTTGATGGCTTTATATGAAGATTTAGAATCGTTGTTCATATTATGTATATTCTAATAGTTATCTAGAATATGTAGTTCAAACGTTAACAAATAAATCAGCCATTTTTGTCATTATTTTCTTCGCAATCAATAAACTGTTCTGATTTATTAGCTACTGAGTACATTTTGTCTAGAAAAATAGCATAAAAAGAAAAAAACACTTTCTTTTGTCGTGACTAACAAAGAAAATTTGCTTTTCATTGTGCATGATTAGTTTCAACGGAGATTTTACTGTTAATGGAAATGTAAAAACAACAGTACAGTAACAAAACAAAGTTAAATGTACTAGAGTTTTGTTTCGAAGATAAATAAATATATGTACTTATGTAGATAACAAAACTGTCCTCGAAAATTCAATCTTGATTAAACGATAAAACAATCGATGAAAATTTCAATATATATATATATATATATATATATATGTGTTCATTAGTTAGATCATTGATTACCCCAACCGCCTCGTATATAATTAGGATCATATTTAATTCCATTTCTTTCTAATAAAGCTTGAAATTCTTTCGGATTACGCGCTTCTAATTCTTGTTGATATCTTAACTCACCTACAAAGAAAAAGACAATCAAGAAGTCAGAAAAACAAAAACTGAAGTAACGATATGTGTTTACCGGGTTCCCAAAGTGTTCCATTCATTCGAGCACGTTGTTTTAAATCGCTTTCACTATGTCCTTGTTCTCTAGTTTTCCAATTCCACCAAACTCCACATTTAGCACATTGAATTACATTACATACACCTTTTTCTTTTAATGTCAAATGACGACATGTTGGACACTCTCGTAATTCTCCAGATTTAATCATTTTTTTAAAATCTATTTAACAAAAATATAATATTATTTCATAGTATAAAAATTGAAACCAAAACAATACTTACCAGCATCAAGATCTCCATCGACACCTTTTTCTATTACTTGTTTTTCATTACATATAGGACATTGAACTTTTTGTTTTTTTGGTGGACCCACCTGAAGAAAACCACCTTTTCCGCATTGAATACATGTAATAAAGTTCTCATTACGAGATAACTTCTTTAACATATATGTTGTAAGAAACGAGAGTAACTCAGAATATGTTAAACCACCATCTTCAATTATATTTTTTACATGACAGGGAACTAAACATGTTTCAGCTGGACATGGAATCCATGGAAGAATATTTCCATCACGAATAAGTACTGACAAATATTGATTGAAATCTTTTATACAAACTACACGATGACCACACGCCTGAAAGTTTAGACAAAACAAATCTTTTCCTATAGAATATAGTATCTTTTAATAGTACATTTAAAAATTTTATATATGCGTAAAAAACAAAAGATCTGAGCGTTGATGTATTTAGACATGGAAATTTTCAGAATTAAAAAGTCTGTGGTAGTCATGAAATAGCTGTTTTATTTATATCATTATACACAATGAAAATTGATCGTTTATCATATGAAATTTGTAACGTAATCTTCATAAAGTAAGATATCGTTTTTTCAAATATGATTGGTGTATTTATATCACTTCTTTGAAGGAGAGTATAATTCCATAGTTGTGTATGTTCCTCTCGTACAATTATTATTCAGGTTTAAAATTTGTTAGCTATGAAATCTCTATTATTCAGAATTATTTTCAATGATGAATTAAATATGTTCACTCTATAATCTTAAATATAATTATCTACAATGATATTTAGAAGCTGTAAAAAGTTTTCTATTCGTCTAGAAATAAATTGAATTATGGTATCATATTTTACAAGATGAATATTTTCAATCTATTCGTTTGTTTTCATCTATTCAGTAAGTTTCTAAATACGGATGATTTACTTGCATAGTAACCATTGGTACATCTTCATCATAACAGATTTGACAAGCAGAAAAGGTTAATTGGCCTTAAATAAATAATCTGAAGAGAATATTTTCCAACCAATAAAATCTTTATATTTTTTACCATCTGATTGATCGTTTTTGTATTCAAGTGACTCAAAAATATCAGTCATACACTCATATAAAAACTCTTCTGCAAATGATTTCTTTTGATGTTGTTGATCGCTCAATATTAGAATATATCGATTAAAATAAGGTACTAACTGATTATTATCCATTCCTTTTTCTACAGCAGAAGCTATTTTTTGTGGTTCATCATTTTTTTGTGACTTATGAGTATTATCCAACATTAGAACCTCGTTTCCACTATCATCAGAGTCAAAGTCAGATTTCCTATTGTTGTTTTGATCCCCAATAGTTTCATTATTATAGTCCATAGGAAAATTTGTAAATAAACCATTGGTGTCACTAGGATTTTCCCCACAGCCTTCACAAACTAGAAAAATAGTAAAATTTTGAAATATAAAAAAGCTCATTTTATTTCTAACAAGACACACTTCGAATATGGCTACCAATATTAATATAATTACATCGAAAGCATTGAACAACTTGGCTCTCTGTATGCAAATCATAAATTGCTGCTGCTGCCGCTGCTGATAAGTCTGTATTGGATCCATAGTTTAAGTTAGAAAAACTCGGATTAGGCTCATTACACTATAGTTAAATAGATTAATATATATGTAAATAAGTATAGTAAAAAAAACAATGCATATACCACTTCGCATCTTGATCGTTTTATAGACTGAATCAATGTACAAGCACTGCACGCGTATGTGTCTGATGTTGTACTCATATTTATCTACAACAATAGAAACTACACATGTGTTTATTATTCTATATTATTATCCAGTCGTATGGAACAGACGGTTTCAAAAACCGAACAATATTTACAAATATAAAAGAAAAAAACTAACAGAAAAATATGTTTAATTAAATTTTTTCTAATAAATCATCGGTTGTTTGTGATTCTTCGGGTAAAGATGGTGTTGTTAAGTTTGGTGGAATACCAGCACCAGCATGACTAAAAATAATTCATAATATAAGTAATAGTATACTATTTATAGTTGTTTTTTTTTACCTAAGATATGGATGGGTTGAAATTGAATTGGCACCAGTAACATATTTTCGTCTACAATAAGAGAGAAAAAAAGATTTTTTTTTCAAGTAAAAATCTTTTTTTTGCACTATGCTATACCTTTGATGATGTTTACTAATAGTCGACAATTTATAATCCAATCGATCATCACCTAAATCAAGTAGACTATCTTGACTAGGACCAATATTGATTTCCGATTGAGTTGCTTGACGAATTGGAATTTGTATCTAATTGTATATAAAAATAAAGTTCTTTTAATTACACAAACAGATTTAGTTTCGCGAACCTCATGTACTTCATCGTCCATAAATTGATCTTCATCTCCACTTGTATCTGTATCGCTCATAGTATTTATTGTTCGTTTATTTTCGCCTGCTGTTATATTTTCAACATCATTCAATGTGGCTGTTGTATGCAAAGGTGAACGACTTCGAGCACGTAGATTAGCAAATGCATCATTGGAACGTTCATCATCAGTACCACTATTATATCCAGCCCGAATACCTTCATCATCAGAATGATCATCACCTTAAAATAAACTTAATTTTTCAAAAGCACAAAAAACAAATTTATTTAATTTTCCAATTACCAATAATACCATTCGCATGTTCATTTTCATAGGCTTCAATCTGACGTTTAAGTTTAGCTAATTCTCCTTTCTTAGTATTTAAAACTAGAACAAACTAAAAATAAGAAAAAACAAACACATTTTTGTCATTCCAAAGAAAAAGGAAACATTTGCGCTAATACTGGTGAGGGTCATAAAATTGATAGTATATATTTTTATTATCTCATTTTTAGAATTATTCTTAGTTTTTTCTGAAGTTTTACTTTATTGAATCATGACATACTCAAATGCAAAACAAAACAGTATTTATTTATTTTCTTTGTTGTCCGTTACACTTCGCAGACAAAAAAATAATTCAAAGTAAAACAGTTGTCATGTATGCGGAAGGTACAACATGGTTTCTCTGCTACTTTTTGTCTATCAACATTTGACATTAACTTCAAAAATTCTTTACTGTTGGTAAGCAGGAGAAAGAAAAAAACAAAAACAATGCATAGCCACCTACACAATAAATCAAATTTCTGTCGATATGACTCACGAATATAATTGCCCAACGTAAAAACTTTCTTATTCATTCGTTTTTTGTTTTCTTTAAACTTTGTTGCATTGGATATTATTATGAATGAACTGTTAACCGACACTAAGAGAGTAAGTTTGAATGTTCCATAGAGAATACGTCTTAGACTAATCTTGGAAGAATATTGTCAATACAATGTTATCAAAGTGACACATTTTGTTATTTCTCTCTTTTCAGTGAAAGAGAAAGGAAATCGGAACAAGACAGACTAATATATGCCATGTTAAGTATGTAAAAACACTCGAACGTAATAAAATCAATATACACATACGAACGAAAAGAGCAAGATATTTTGCATATGTATTAGTAACATAAAAGACATTGTCAAAAGCTTCGTCATAATGATGTTTCTCTCTCTACCCGTTGAATATCATCACTGTAAAAAAAACGTTTTTGAACGCAGAAGGTCATCATCGGTAAGCCAACAATTCTTTCTTTTCTCTATTGATTAGTCAAGCTTTTCTTACTTTTTTCAATGTTGCTATTATTTGAATAAAAAGAACAACAAACGATTCCTATAAAATATTATTCTCCGATTAATACAAATATCTGTTATTTTTCTTTTCTTGCACTTGTACGATTACTTATGAAGTTCGAACAATATATAAAATAGATGAAAAATGCATATTTTACGACATGACATATCATGAATAATTTTCTTTTATCGATCAGATTCCTATTAAGATACTTATTATAGACTAAATATCACAATCTTTTAATTTCACAAGAATGTTTTGATTCAACAACAAAAAGTTTCTATTTTCTTCTCTGTTCCATATTGTTCTTAAAATTACTCACAAACGTTTTCGTAAGGTACTATACTTGATGCTCTCACTAACACGAAGAATATATATACTATCTAATCAAACAGACAACGTATTTTGAGGTGAATATCAAAAAATGAATTTTCTGATAACATATTAAAATAGGTATTAAAGAAAGACTATGAACTCAATAACAGTACAATTGCTTTTCAAAATTTGAATAATTATTTTCTTTTTAGTTTCGCAGCTATAGCCATGGACAAATCACCCATAATGCCAATCATCGACGCAATAATTCAACACATTCTATTGATATCTTTAGCTTAATTGTTCCAACCAATACTAATTCAACATTATCACATTTAACATGTTCTATATGTTCATTACCAATGATGAAACCGACTATATTACCATGTCAACATTCATTTTGTTTTAAATGTATACAAAAGAATCAACAAACTCGATCGAGTTCAGTACCAATTCATTCAAACCATTGTTTATTATCAAGTATTAATCAAACAATAGTAATAAAATGTCAAAAATGTTCACAGATACATAATATAAAGTCTTTATCAGATTTAGAAGAAAATCAATCAATTAAATTATTAATAAATACACTTTCATGTGAACAGTGTCATCAATTATATTCATCAGATCAACTAGATACATGTTCACATTGTTTTGGTGTAATTTGCTCGAAATGTTATCAAGAACATGTTCAAAATCATCAAAATAACTCAGCAGAAAATAGAAATCTTTATCGAATTGTATCCACAGATGAAACAATGAATATCAATATGATTACAAATTCAGCCGAAAAAAATAAAAATAGTCAAATATTGAAACCACGAACATTGAATACTGAAGAAAAAGTTAGTATAAATAAAACATAATTTAAGCTAAATATTTGTTTTATTTTCTTTATTTTCAGTCTGTAATGAACTCAACTAGACCAATAATAGTAATAGAAAATAGCCAAATTGAAAACTCAGATCCATCACAAATCAATAGCAATAAGAAGAAAAAATCGAATAATCCTTTTCGTAGATTAATGAGTCCCTCTCGTCATCGTCGATGGCCTAACGTGACTGATAAAGATTCAATTACGAAAAATTCTACATCGCCTGCTAACAAAAAAACAACTTCAACAAAAAGTTTTTCTAAAAACAAAAAATTGACTGTTGATACAAATATTGAATCAACAGCACCAATAGAAACTACTCAAACAACCGTACCTGTTACACCTGTAGGTCAATTTTTGAATCTTCATGATCAATTTACATTTACGGATCAACATATAAAACGATGTAAACAACGTCGATCTGAATTAGATCGAACTGTCAAGAAACTGATTGAAATGTTAACAATGAAAACAACTGAAAATATTAATCAAATAACCCAATATTGGCTTCATTTTAAGCAAACATTATTAGATCGATTTCAATCGAAAACAAATCGATTTCTTATAATTGATTACTTACTAAAAACCTGTTGTTCAAAATCAGATTCCCGAAAACAAATCGATTCATATGTAGAACAAAATGATGAAATCAAAGCAGCTGTTGAAGCTCTATCAATGACATTAATGGTTGTCACTAAAAGAGAATCTCTATTAACAATAAGCTATCTATTCGATCGTGAACAACAAGCAACAATAAGTAAATTAAAACATCAACTTGAATCATTATTGTCATCGTATTCTGATGAACTTTCAACAATTAATGAATTTATTAATGTGTACGAAACTCGTTTTGCTACATGGAGAGATCCTACAGTAACTGAATTGAATATATTAACTGAAAAATGGACAGAAATTATCAAAGAAGATTATCCATCATTAGTTGAAAAAATTTCCAATGATTTTATAACTACAATACCACAAATAGAAAAAGTACTGATACAAATGCTTAGTAATATGCAAAAACGTTTGCTAAATATGGATAATCGAATAGCAAGTCGAAGGACTAGTCTTTGTTAATTTATCGAAATTTTCTCTTTCTGATTTCTGTTTTGTTCTATTATTATTATTATTATTATTAATGCAAATATGAATCAAATATATATTTACCTTACGATAAAGATCAGCTTCAAGTTTTTCTTTCGTATCTACAGTTTGTTTAACAGTCTGAAGAAGAACAAGAATAGTAATTGCAACGAAACAAAATAAATATTTTCTAATTACCTCAAGAGCTTTATTCAATTGGCCATTAATACGTTGAATTTCGAAGATTTTTTGTTCATTAGTTGATCGTAATGTTTCCATTTCATCGATAGCATGATCCATCATTTTAACCAATATCTACAATAATATCTTAGAGCATTTTGTTCAATCTAATTAAATAGTTCAATCACTTCTTCGATAGGTCGTTCTTGAAGTTCAGCACTACCAATTATTTTTAATGAATTAAGATCATCAACCATTTGTTTCCACACGAACTAAAACAAATAAAATTAATTGGGTGGGTGTGGGTGTCGAAAAGATTTCATTTAAGAATTCTATTTAACTGAACTGAATTTCTGTATATCATTCTATTTTTAGACAACAGTGAATCGTTTTAATCGTTGATAAAAAATTTCCATTTGAAAGACTATTTATTAAATCAGTCCATTTGTTATAAAGCTCTTCTTATTTATATTTCAAAATTCGATCGACTTTTTTCCTATTCATTTTAACTGATTGAAGTGTTCAATGTTTCGTTTGGTTTATGTGATAGACTAATGTGTAGTGTTAAAAGAATTTTATCGAAAAGAAAAGATGACAAGAGCTATCAAATAATATTCATTGGAGTGTGTTTATTTTTGCACCCTGATTTCAAAAACGAAAAAGCTTTTCGTTGAGAAATTAGTCTTTCCAATGTTTTACAAGAGTTCTTTGAACTATATAGGTTTCTCGATTCGTAGCTATTAATATATTCTATTGCATCTAAAAAAGTCTTTTTACTCAGTGTTTCTAAAATAGTTTTAAATAAAATCCGTTGGTGTTTTAACAACACAGAAATGCAATTTGATAAATAGATTTGGTAGAATAGTTAAAATATGACTGACAGAGAGTATGGATTGATCTATTTCACAATGTTCAATATAATAATAAAGTATTCTTTGCATTGAAACGACGCAGACTCATATCAGTCGTAGTCAATTCAAATATTTTCTATTCGATGATAATTTCATTTCTTTGAATATTACTAATAAAAGTCTGTCCAATCACACGCACTTCCTTTTAAAACTCGGAAGTTTCTACTAATACTAATATTGACTGATCTTATTGAAGCAAAACTTCATGCATAATCAGAATAGAAATTAATTCTTCAAGCTAAAATAATTCCATAACTGAAAGTACAATTGAACAACGAAAGTCACAGTTTTGACTGTGCATATAGGACAGTTTGAATGATATCATAAGTCTTGATCATTATGGAAGTGTGCAATAATACTCTTATTAAAATCTCATCTATCGACAGTATTAGAAAATAATTTGAATTGAGCCTTCGTAAAAATTAAGTAAGCTTCGTCAAAAAGAAATCTTAGGATTTCTCTCAGAATCCTTTTACATTGTTTACTAAAATTATATTTGATTACATAAAGAAAATGAATCATACTTCAAGTCGATTTTTTTCAATTATTTTACAAGTAAATACATAAGTTCTTCCATCAATTTCGGAATGATTTCCTTTGGAAAAAGCACGCTGTGTATGCGAATAAAATGTATCATGTTCTTCAGGTGGAAATTTTTTTGCTAATGCTCGAACTTGATTTTGATTCACTGAAATATATTTCAATGAAGAATGATTAATCAAAATAAATGAGTCAATTTACATGTTCCAATCCATCCAACTTTCAAATTAGTTAATTGCATTAAAATAGTATTTGTTCTTTCATCAATCGAACTTTTAAGATAATATCGATCACTATTATCATCAAGAATTTTAACAAAATAAGTAAAATCATCATCCATGGAACGAGTCATTTTTTTAAATATCTGAAAGAGCAAATATTTTTTTATTCGAATCATAAAAACAAGAGAAAAGTGAATGTGACTTTTATTCAAATAATGAGACAAATTTTATTTAGTCCAACTGACTTTAGGAATATCATTGTATTCTGTGAGTTTATCTAAATAAGAATTGAGTTCTTCAACTTGTTCTTTATGAGATTTTGCTGCTTTTCGTAAAATTTTTTCTTCTGCACGTTTAGCCATTGCTTCATCGTAAGCTATTTCAGCAGGAGTACGTAAATCACGACGTGATGAGCCACTACCTGATGGACCGTGTTGATCGATTGGATTGCTACTTATTGTTGATGCCACATGTTCCATTTTTGATGAAGGTGCTTCGATAACTTTTGATGATTTTGATTTATGTTTATGTTTTTTGGAAACTTTTCCACCTTGGGTAGTACTCGTTGCATTCCCTTTTAAGCGAAGACTACCACCAGTAAATGAATAAGCCGAAGACATAATTATCTTCTTAGAGGTTTCGAATTGTTTGGCAATTAATAATTGACAAAATAATTTTGCAACTAGACGGAAACAATAAGTCATAGAACACCTCGTGCCTCCTATCTTACCTTACACAACGAAAGCGAAAATGATTGGTTGAAATTATAAATAAATTATTGAAATACATTTTTAGATGTCGCATACTATCGAGCAAATAAAATTACTACAAACTTATAATATAATAATGATGATGAACGAATATTTCGTTAATGAATTTCTTAGACATCGATAATAGGCAAGAACCTTTTAACAGAACAATAAAATCTTTCTAGAGGAAGAAGTTAAACGTTAACGAATAATGATTATCAGATACTAATGTTAATTTTTATTTCAAAAAGTAGAAAAGCTAAGGTAAATTATCTGTTGACCAGTATACAAAACATAAATAACAACAATAAGACAGCATGTGTGTGCGTGGTGAAGAAGGATCCTACTGTAGCAGAAATAATCGCAAATGTATATATATATATATTACCACATTGAAATGAACAGTTTTCCCACTAGTTTTAGTAGCATTATGTAAAATAACAGTATACATCTTCCACTTTACGAAACGCTTTTACTTGTAAGTAGGAGTAAGATACGAAAATCATATGATATTATGACTTTTTCATTCTTTCGACAACAGAATTGGAATTCACAGTTAATAGGAACGTCTTGATTTAAACAAAAATATGTTGAAAAACGCCATTTATTGGGAAGTATTCTTGCTGTTAACTGAGGTGATTTTTACTTTCTGTCTAATGAAAAAACTTTTTCTATTATGGTCACCACAAAAGGAAAAAAAATAATCAGATCAAATTTTAATAGCATTCGAAACAATTGAGCTTTTCTTTTTGTTTTAACGTTGATTTACAGGCCAGGCTAAAAAAGTGATCTGTCAGTATCTCTGGTGTATAACATCGGATAAATTATATTTCTAGAAAAAATTATGAATCATTCGAAATAAAGACTTCAAAACATGGTTACGATAGTAGAAATTTATAGCAAAAGAGCAGAAACAACGAATCTATTGTTTCAATGTTAGCGCATTGTTTAAAAGTTATATAGAATCAATTCTTGTTTCATAGTTGCCTCTGTAATGAAAATTGTTAGCAGATATTTATTGATTATTTAAGTAAGAATTGAAGTACTTGAGAGTAAGTCGAGCGATTAAATACTATTCCAAAATGTCCTGCATCGATATATTCGACAGACCAAGGAAGTTCTTCTGCCAAAGCACACTTTTTATGGTCCATGATTGCGTCATATTTGGCATTGAATAAATCATCAAGTTTATTGATTTCACGCATCCAATTTGTTTCTGTTAGATTTGATGGAAGAGCAATAGCTATTACCTTTCCAATAAGTGGATTTGCCTCTGGTGTGGATCGAAACTTTAAATTACTTTCTCTATCAATGTATGAACAATCTTGAGTAAAAGCACTGTATAAAGCTAAATTTCCGCCATTAGAATGGGCAACAATGTCGACAACAAGAATAGAATTAATATGACAAAGAATCTATATAAGCTTCAATTTTTTCGCACTCTTAACTTGTTCTTAGTAGTTTCATCATTGTCGTTTCTTCGTTTGTTATACACAGTGATTCTTTATCCATAGAACTATAGTACGATTCATTGTCGAATTTCTGATAGCATTGATGATACGTTTTTCTTATTTCCTCGATTTTGTTAAAGATTTTTTTACGTGTCTCTTCTGTTGGTAATCCGAATCCAAGATTTATAACGAATGCAGGAATATTCGTAGTCTTTAGTACTGCTGCTAAATCTCCAAGATAGGACCATGCACCAACAGCACCGTGTAGTAGCAATACAGGACGATGACGGCAATATGGTGTTTCATTCAATTGATTAAGACCATATACGTTTGGATTCTTGCGATATTTTTTAGGTATATACCAGAGAGCATTACACATCGTATGTCCTTCCAAAATGAACACAGCGAAAAATGTTCCTGCTGCAGGTGAAATATGCTGTTTTATAGTTTCGATTAAGCATTTGTTTATATAAAATCACACGCCATACACTTTTTTCTATTGCTAAAAACCAATTCGAAAGAATAATAACAACAGAACTGTTCCACTTATTGCTGATGTAATGATAAGTCGATCGCATTATCTATATATCTAAAATATCGGATACTGAATAAATCAACCTGAATTAAGATTTTAAAAAATCCTTTGTTTTTACTGTTTATTATTTGTATTTTTTAAGCACACAAAAACTAAGTTTATATACCTCGATGACTGTTTAAATTTCTTTGTTTTAACTGATAACACAGAGATAATTATGTTTGAAAGCTCTCGTTGCACTGTGACTGAAACCAATAATAGTTTCAAACCGAATCGTAGATGTTTACGTGGCTATTTCTACCATTAACTATAGGCTACTTTATTCTTGATACTTTGATATTAGATTCAGCTAGACCAGTTATTATATAGATAATTGAGAGTCTTTTACCTATACTATACAAAAAAAAGAATCAAGCTGCTGGATGTCAAAATTGAAAAACTTGGAACATTAGCAATATGTGAATCTTTTCTATGTGAAACCTTGACTGAAAGCATATACTTGTAATCATTTATACGTAAAACAAAATCTTCATTCAATGAATTCTCTGAATCTTCAACATATAATTGAGTTGCATTCTTCATTTGTTCTTACCATATTAAAATAGAAAACAAAATAATTCTATCGATTTTCTTCACAACATACTGAGTTCTTGTATTTCAACAACAAAAAAGAAACGGTTGATCGTACATCTTTGCGTATTTTATATTTGACGAGTCTTAATTCAGCAAAAACTATTATTGAATCTCAAAATATGATGAAAACAAAAACAATTCATCTTTAATGCATACAAAAACGACTCCGATGCTTACTGAAATTGTAGTTTTACGTCACGCATATTGTCGTCAAATACTGATGGAGTATATTTTTTTTTCTTTTCTTTCTTGCTCAACTCGCAATGTTTAGGCTTCTCTTACCACTTTTTCTTTTTCGCCATTAAAGTGAGCTATGAAAGAGCCGATATACAAAAAGACTAGCGAATTAGTTTATTTATAAAAATGACTAAGCAGGTCATAAATATATTTAGTAGCTAAAATAACCCTTACATAAGAGTGTTTATTTCTCTCATGACGATCGTCTCTATATGATGAAAAAAATGTTTACTTTAAATAAAAAACTATGTTGTAGACTGATGAATTGAAATAGAATTTCATAGCTTTTATCAAAGATATTAATATTATTGTTTTTCTGCATAGTTGAGCTATGAACCCATCTAAATATGGATTAAAACATAGTTAACTATTTCCAACAAAATTTTAACAACATAAGCAGCTCAGTCAAGCTCTCGAAAATAAGACTTCTACTATTCTAAAGTCTCAACTTTTTAATATTGCAACGGAAACTACTCGATGAAAAACTTATCGGATACGAGCATAGCTCAATATATTAATAGTAATAGAACACAAGCATTTTAAAATAAAAGATAACAATGCATACAGACAAATGACAATAATAATGAAATAAAAGATAAAAAATTGATTTAAATAGATTGCGAATCGTACCAAAAAGTACTCCTTTCTCAAAAATACATATGCAAGATATATCGTTGATATCTCCTAAATAAAGATTCTGTATTTCAAAGATTTTCACAGAATTAGATCAAAATAGCTTTGAATGAAAATATTTTTAGCATAAAAAAGACATTTAATCACATTGAAAAATCTTCTTCATTTGAAGCACTCAATTCAATCTAATATAGGATGTCAATGAGAGTAGCTGAAAATCAATTATTGAACAGTAAGGTTTTCTTGAAATAACTATTTAACTAAAAATAAATAATTCCAATTAAAAAGTGTATCTATCAAGATTGATACATAACTAACGAAAAAGAAATGTATTCCAAGAAGCAAACAAATCGAATGCAACAGTTTATAGAATCACATAATACTATTTTTTTCATTTATTAATGAAAATTTTACTCAATCACTTGTATAATACGGTAGTGAAAGAGAAAACCTTTATGAATTAAGGATGTTTCGAGTAGAAGTAAATGATGACGATATATTAATTATTATTGATGTTGTAGAAATGTTTGAGATAGAAGAAGATTCCGGTTAAGTGTTTTAGAGCTAATAAAATAGGAATAATTGATTATAGTGTGGGCGATGATGATCTACGATTTTAGCACACAGAACTTCAAATTTGTAAGTTAATTTTCTTTATAAAAAAAACAACTTAGAATTAAATGATATTATTGCTTTTTTATGCTTAACTCATCATCTTGTCGTCTGAAAAAAAATCAGAATTAGATTTAATAGTCTTTTAAATCTGTTTCAGCTTTTATTCTCTCATTTGTGATAAATTTTTAACTCATTAATAATCAATTACTTTTTAGAAAATTTTTCAAACATAAAATAAGACCAACAACGGATCTTAACTTTTCAATTGAAATCAGATAATCAGTTGAACTAGAATTTGATCAGACTAATATAGTTTAGTCTAGCATGATCATCATTTGTTTTCTGATAGGAGCAGGTCAGTCCGGTAATTAAAAACACGGCTTGACTTGGTAAGCTTGTCTGGTATGCTGGCAAGCGTTTGCAGATCAAAAAACTTATGAAATATATTCATCATACAGAAAATATTTAATCAAACCCGAAGTTTAGAAGTAAAAAAACACTATATCTAGCATAGTTGTAAGCAATGCGATAAAAAAAACCTTGCCGATCTATGCTCTATACTTCAATAGACGGAACAAGCGACATCTTTCTTTTTCTTTTGGTTTTTGGCACCGTGAAAACGTTAATCATTTTGAAAAATAAATATTCGGAGAACTCTGAATGGTTGATATAATACAGGAAGAGAAAAAACTATTTTTTTTACTATTCCGACCATTCATTCTTCGCCTATTAATGATACACGGAGTTGGATAAAAATAAGAAATTTTCTCTCTAAAACTAAACAACTAAATAAGTAAAACAACACTTTTACGATTTGAATAGAACTTTCAATGTCGAACTTTTTGGGTCGTGTTGGTCAAATTACTGAGTGGGTAGTTGTATCCAATTTGGAAAATCGAGCAGTCAATGCAGCATGCGATAAAGCTCAAGATTGGTGGAAAAATCGAAAGCAACCGAAACATGATACAAATAAGTCATCAGCTAGTTCAGCATCTCCACTGCCGCCGCCGCCGCCGCCGCTGCCGCCGTCACAATCACAAGCGAACTATCCCATGCCATTACCCCAATATCAACCACAACAAGCATCCTATGCGTCTCCATCACAACCTGTTCCGACATCTATGGGCAGTAGTGAACTGTTAATTGGTGTGAATCAAATCGATGGATTAAATCAAAATGGTCCCTTAATTGTTACTCTTGAATGCAATCATCAAAGATATCAAGCGCGATTAGGGCAATATCAACAACAATTTTCATTTCCTATTTATCAATTTGATTACGATGAACTTTTCATTTGGATTCAAACAGAATATCAACAACAAACGGTTGCATCGGGTAATATTCCGATACGAGTTTTATTAAACAATACTAATAGTTGGACTCCTCAACAGCAACGATGGATTCCATTGAGAGATTATTACAATGGGCCAGTCGGACAATTACTTGTCACCATCGAATACAAAACAAATCATCAATTATTCCAACAAACTCCAGCACCTCCTCCACCTCCTTATAGTTACTATCCCTGAACGCGATCTCATTATCAAATTCATTCATAAATTTTATAAATATATATATTTATTCTTTTCAGTAGTCTTTATTTATGTTGATATCTTTTATGATAAAGGCAAGCGCAAGGCAAAAAGAAGAAAAATTTTGCGTATAGGAATAGAATAAATTTGTTCTCTCAAAACGTCTGTGCTTTTTCTCTCGCACAATGTGATAGATCTGTACAATGCGAACAAGATAAACAACATATTTGAGAGAAAAGAAAAAACAAAAACTTCAGTCATCAAGCTTGACGAACAAAGTAACGTTCAACATTAACTTGTATATTTTTTCACATGTTTCCAACGGGACATTTTTCGAAACAAAATCTTAAAATAATCAATTATATCAATGTTCACTTTTCATTATTAAATAAGAAATTACTTTTTAAAATCTTCAATTTCTTGATTGAGTACATCCATCTCATTGGTATCATTATCGTGTGGAACAGCACATCGATCAGTATAATGTTCTATCAAAGTACATAGACATTAATAGTAAAAAAAAGAATATAAGAATCGTTTTTTTTACCTGAAAAACCATTTATTAGTGAGTTTTTCTCTGTTGTCGACGGAAGTGTAAGTCCAGCACCACTATGAAATGGATTGTAAAGAGGAAAATCAGTTGAATCTGTTGATAATCCCAGTGGCTGTGATTCTTGTGTATAGTTCCAATTTGATTCATTTCTATTTGTTACAGAACTGTCACTCCACGAAGAAGTTGAGTTACCACCTACAGCATAATTCATAGGAGAATATAGTGGAAAAGGAACAGAATTGGTTGAACAAGAACGTGGCTCAGGAGAAGGTCGCTGAATACAGCGAGATGTTGAATTATTAACAGTACCAGGAGCTGGTGAAAATGATGAATTCGGTCGTTGCACAGGACCAGGTGCAAGTGTTGGGATGATTATCGATTGAGATGGTGGTGGAATTAGAAAACCACTAGGATCCCAATACATAGATGATGATAAAGTTTCAGATAGAATTAAAGGTGATGGTGAAGTAACGGTTGCACTACCAATTGGTATAGTTGTTACAAACGAAGATTGTGGCGGAGTATGACTTGGAATATAAGTTGGTGTCGTAGGGAGTAGAGTTGATGATGACAAAGCAGAAGATGCATGTGTTGATGGGCCTAAACATAAGAAACAAAAGACTCTTATTTTTTAGAACTACAGCTTGAAAAGTAATTCATACTCTTTATCAAATCTAAAAATATCACTTATAACAGTTTTCTTTTCTATAATTAAAACAAATGATATCATGCACGTATTTCTTTGTACTTTCATTGATGAATCATTTACATATGATATTTTACTGTAGGATAAGACCAATATGTTAATGAATATGGTCAAAGTTAATAGGAAACAACAAATAATCATACATGATGTCGTATTAAAATGAATAGGATTATGACGAAATATAGTCTATCATCATACTGTATGTTATAGTAAATGAACATCAATGAGTAAATGATGGTTAGACAAATACGAAGAATCATGACTGTAATACTATGAATAGTTATTATTTCTCAAATCAACATTACCTGAAGTAGTGTGCTCCTTAACATTATTATTCATCCAAAGATTCACAAGTGGTTGCACAGTCGTTGCACATGGTAATAGTGTTTCAACTTTTTGTGATTGATGGGACGCATGATTTTTTAGTACATTTTGCAGACGAGGTGGAGCTAAAGCAGTATTTTGCTGTTTATTGGTATTCAACATAGTTTCCGAGGCAAGATTCGATGACACAATAGTTGTCGGTGTCACTTTTTGTTGAACGAAATATGAAGGATTGACCGTTGTAGTTGTCTTTTTAGTATTGACTGTTGTCTGTTGTTGTGGTCGATATTGTTTGCCATTAGTCGGCGGAACAACGGGCAGAATAGGTACAGCAAGTAGAGATGGCACAGATGAAATTGCTGGCTTATGTTTACTTTGCTTACGTGAAATAGTGATCCAGTTGACTTCCTCTTCTGGTAAATCAAAACTTTCTGACGGGTGATCAAAACTCGTTCGAGGTGTATCAGTTCGTTGAGAAAATGAAGACGACGAGGATGATGACGATGATGATGATGATGATTCAGGAGTAGAGACCAGAACAGAAGCAATAGATGCTAATGAAGGAGGATTAGTTGTAGCGATAACATTAGGACTAGTTGATGATTCATTTGAAGAATTAGCTACTTGTTTTTGTTGTTGTTCAATTTTTAATTTGGCCTTTTGTTTTCGTTTTGATAAAGGTTTTTGAGTTTCCACAACAGGAGTTGATAATGGAATAGGTGTCACTTTCGTAGATGATGATGAAATTGAAGCACTTCGAGATGGTATTTCAGAAGAACTAAAATAAGAAAAAGATTACAATATATTTCTTCGGAAAAAAAACAACAATATATACGTCATTCGTTCCGCAGTATTGACCGTATTTTGTTTTTTTCTATGTGTTGATTGTTGTTCTTTAGATTGGCAAGAATTTATTTTTATTTCCTCGCTATTATTATTCACTTTTAATTGTTTATCTTTTTTCTTTTTGTTTTTTTTTGATGCTGCTTCATTGTTTGTTGTTATTATTGTTTGATGTTCATTATGATTTGATGAAGTTGTTTCATTTCCATCAATAAATCGAACTAGATCATCAATATCATTTTGATCACTAATAAGAAATTCTTTTATTTTAGAATTCTTTTGTATTGCTTGTTTTTTATTTGTTGTGGAACTTTTTTTCTGTTGATCTTTTGATAAATTTTGTTGTTCAGTTAAATTTTGCACATTTCTTTTCGTTAATTTAAGTTTTAAGCGTTCTTTCATCTCCACATCACGTTGATTAAAGGTACCTGATATTGTTGTACCCATAACTGAGGCTGTCGTGCCCGGCAAAGACATACATGTAACGCAACTACTTATCGGCCCATTGGTTGTATTTGATGTTGATGACAAATGAAGACACGTTGATGCTGCACAATTTCGCCCATCAGTAGATTCACAACAACAAAATTCGCAAGGTTTATTATTATTGTTTGTTGAATTCTTTTTTTGATGATGATGGTGATGCTGCTGCTGCTGCTGCTGCTGTTGTTGTTGTTGTTGTTGTTGAGCAAGTAATGTTTGCAATGCTTCAGTTGTTTTTGACGATACTGAATGCTTTACTGATGATGACGATGATGAATCGAGACATGTCGGAGAATGAAACGATGATAGTATTGAATGCAATGCTGCTTCTGATACATCTGTATTTGATGCTGCATGACGAAGAAGATGATCTAAATTATTGTAAGCTGTTGATGATGAATTTGAATCCGATTTATTTGATGAATTAAAAAATGAATGAGAACTATTTGTAGAATCTAAACAAGTTAAGATAAATATTTTATTTTATTTCAAAAAGTAATGAAAACAAACTAATTAGTGTTTCATTGATAGTTGAACGTTGTTGTTTAGTTTTTTTAAATTGTTGATTGTCTTTTTTTCTTCCATTATTTAAATGTTCTCCATTTCCAAAACTTGTTAATTCATTAAAAAGTGCTTCAGCTATTTTTTGACCACCATGTTCAGCAGTTTTCGAACCTGGCTTACGTGTTAAATTGATGCTGAGACGCGTCTGACCTGTAGGTGTTGTTGTTTTGGCTGCTGTTAATGTTGTTGTTGAACAATTTGATGATGAACACGAAGATGATGATGATGACTGATAACAATCATTTGTATTTGCTGATGTTATTGAACCAAACGTTCCAGCAGTAAATGAAACCGATTGAATTTTAGCTGAAAGATCAGCTATAGAACGTGGGAGAAGTAAATCAGCAGCAATAGATTTTTTGGGAATTTGAGTTGTTGTTGTTGTCGTTGTTGTCGTTGTTAACATTGTTGTTGCTGATGCAGTGGAGGATGAACTTTCTTTACGACGATGAGATGATTTACTCGATTTAGATTTTGTGGACGAAGATTTTTGAGATGATGATGATTCGGAAGATACGGTGACTAGAAAAATATATTATATTTGAATATTAATTGATCATCGTTTGACCACTCAAGTTTTCAGTAGAGAAACCTTTTACAAAGAACTGCTGTTCTTACAAATAAAATTTTACAAGTATTGTCCTAAAATTTGAAAGATTGAGCCTATCTCCCAACTATCTTTTGCGTTAGTCACTAAACACAAGAATTAGATCTTTTTTCTCGATTTCTATAGTTTAATGATTATTTTTCAGTTGTCCAAACTCTTGATATGTTACTATAAAACGTAGAATGAATACGGGATATCTGTGAAAAAAATAAATGATACATTAAAGTTTTGAACACAGTAAGCTCGAAGTATCAATCACAACTTAAAAGTTTGATGAATAAGATATGCAAATAATTAGAGATACATGCGAAAAGTAGTCAGTTCAAATATTGACACTACGAGCCCTTCAATAGTTATGAACAACTCCCTAACATATATTGATTTCGAAGTATCCATTGAGTAGAATACCTACTATGTGTGTATGTATATGAAGCTTCGAAACTCTTCGTTCGATTAGTTTTCGTCATTGAACTATTATAGTTAGTGTCTACTAGCAATAAAATAGTTAGCTATCGAATCTGCTGTCCGATAATATTTCACATTACACTATTATCAAGAGTTTAAACTATTCATTCTTTCTAAATAAAAGTTAATAGCTGAGGAAGTTTTTTAAGTTAGAAAAATACTTTTTTGTTTAGTCATAGTAAAATGTATGCAAATAATACGAAAATAAAATGGATTAACTCATTATATCTAGATGATTTGTCGAGTTGCTATTTTAATCAAGACACTCAATAGCATTAATAATCGTATGAATAACTCACTATTCGTGGCTTGTTCGTTATTCTTAGTCGTGGAATTAATGTTGACTTTAGCATCATTTGTTGTTATTTTTTGCTGTTGTTCATTCGCAAATTGTATTCCTTCAATAATGCTTTCAATCCATTTTTCATCATCAACTGTTGTTGTTACATTTGTCTTTTTTTCATTGAATCTTGATTGATATATTTCACGTTGTATTCTTGCTAACGGTGAAACACTATCTAATATGCTTGCCAATAATTGTTCATTTAAATCTTCTTCTAACATTAAACGAGTTAATTCTTCTTGATCTTCGAGAGTATAACCTGATGATGATGTATCATTATCCAGTAAATAATCATCAACGGATGATACTGATGATGATTCGTCACCACCAATACCAGAGCCTACTGATGAACCATTCGAACCTTGTTGTAGAGGAACAGGTGCTAATGATGAACTATTTGACGATGGAATATCAACAGCTGTTGTTGCCGGACTATAATGAATGATTCCAGGAAAATATTATTTCAAAAGCAAAGTTTATGTTTTGTTTTTATTTAAACTAGTTCTAGTACGATCATATTTAGGTACAAGAATAAAGCAGGGCTGACAGAATATTAATTTATACGAAAAACACACATTTGCTTCTTTATATTTGTAAAACAATTAGTTACAATTATGTGACATCAGGAGGTTAAATGAAAATTTTTCTTTTATATAAAAATAAAAGCAGGAAAATTTAAATTTTATGAAAACCAATTAAATAACGAATTATTGCATCATTTTGACATGACATAAATATTGAGACATAATACTTCTTATAAGAGATAATCGGCAAAGGTCAGTTTATATTGATTCTAGATTTTCACATTAAAAAAATGCGCATTTATCGCACTTAGAAACATGTGTTCTAACAATTCTTAAATATAAGTCTTCAAGTACAACAATAGTATCAGAGGTGTTGCAATACAAATTAAGCTCCTACCAATCAAATTAAAGATCACACTAAGCCATTCTTCGTACTGACGAATTCAAAAGATGTCCAAACACATGTACTTTTGTTTACTGCTTTACGTTGTTTTCTTTAGCGAATTTATTTGAAGGGTTTTAAGTTCTTGGCTGAACTCTACGCCTGTCAAAAATTCGTAGATCTTTCACTGGCTTTCAATATTGCAAATAAACGATAGTTGTTATTAAAAATTCGAACTCGCTATATGGTTATTCACAGACCACGATGTATCTTTGAAGTATTGACTAATTTTATGTCGATGATATTTTTCTAGTATAGAATTTGCTTCATTCAAAGAAGTTATCGTAATTAAATCCTATGATTATTGTTGATGTTTACTGAAACGGTTTAGATGATATATACGAACGATTCGATTAGATATCAAATGTATCATTTTAGTTTTCTTCATTTGACTATTTGAAGATAGTCTTTGTTAGTCTCACATGCAAAAAGAAACTATGTGCAACAAGGAATTTACAAAAAATTAAAAAAGCCAGCATTACTAGGATTTTTTTTCGTTTGAGGCGAACACGCATTCAACTATATTTTAGGATAGCAATGCTTTTGAGATTTATATGTCATTAGCTAGTATGAATAGCTCACGAACTAGTTATCACTCTAGAATTGAAGCTAGTATTAGTTGTCGAGAAAATGACCGATTATTGAATCTATTACTTAAAAGTAATCGTAGCTATTTATAATAATTCCGATCAAAGAATTAAATAATATGAAAACAACACAAAAAAGATCTTTGAATACAAACCTGTTCGTATTTTCTTGCGATGATGCTGGTAATTGTTTTGGCTTTTTAACTTTTTTACATTTTTTCTTTTTCTTAATTTTAAGATTATTTTCAAATTGATACCCATGATGCATACAAATATTAAGTGGTGATGATGTCATTTTTGCTTGAGAATCTTTATACAAACAGTCTATTTCAGACATTTCTTCATCAAAAGCTAAAAATCTATTTAACAACTGTGTATATTCAGCCGGTGAATAATCATTATCATCGTCATTGGATGGTTGTAAGAGATCAATCATGGTTGACATTGAATGTTGAATTTTTCGATCCATATATATTAATTTTTCATATAAATGTTTATTATATAATAACCATGTTAAATGAAACGATTTCATATAATTTTCTTCCTAAAACAAATACAACACAATGAATTATTTCTTTTTCTTAAAAAACAAAACTGTAAATACGAACTAAATACGAAACAATAGTTGAAACATTATTTGCTGCTTGTATGAACATATTATATTCGTCCAAAAGAAATGAAATAAATAACTGTACATCATGAGAAGTTTTTGAACACGTATGAAAACGTTCTAATACTTGATTTCTTATTTCACGAACATATTCTAATACAATTGATTCAAGTTTATTAAATAAAGATTGAGAATTAATGTCAGTTAGTCTAAAAATAGATAGAAAATAAAAAAAGTATGCTTTGTACATTATTTTACTTTTTAACATATTCTTTTGCTTTGGATATATCATCAGAAAATTGATTTTCTAGAAAAGAACAAATAAAAAAGAAAATATTTTGATATTTAATAAAAAAAACCTGAAAATTCTTTGTCGGTTGCACGATAAACACATTTAATAATATGAGAGAGATCATCCCAAAGTTGACGAGAATTCAAATCATCTAGATCATTTGTACATGATTGACACCAACATTCATCATTATTATCATCAGAGCTTGTATCCGGTACGATAATCATTCGATCAGATTCTTCTTCGAATTCCTAATTATCAAAATGAAAAAGGAAGATAGAAGAAAAACTATATAATCACATGAAATCAATAAATCATACTTGAGATGTAACAGTTGAACTACTTGCAGTTTCTTTTTCCTCTAGTCGAAGTTTAGCTTCACAATCCGCACATGTATACAATGGAAGCTTAATAAAATATTACTTTTTTTCTTTGTTGACATGGTTATATATAAAATGTTCAAATCTTTGGAAAAAAAACCTTTCTATCGACTTGAGTTATTTTTTTCTACTAGGATTGACCGATTTCTACAATAAATTTATTTCATAATTTAGCTGAAAAAGAAACTTATCAGCCTTACTCTATAGAAACTAGAAGATCAACATGTTTCTATAGTAAGTCAAATCAAAATTTCTATTATGTAAACTCGTATTTCTTGAATCTATCGAAATTGAAAATACAGAACGAATGGGTTATTGCCTTTCTTTTCTTATTAATAAATCAACCTTTTGAATTCACTATAAAATATGCTTTGCAGCAAATGTAAAAAATTCCTGTAATAACTTTTCATCATAAATAAAAAAAACTAGTCAACTATTCACATATATTTAAATCATAACTATATCGAAGATTTATTAAAGTGAATTAGGAACTCTTTTGTAACAATGATGTCATTTTAACATTAATTTTTATTCTCTTATTTTATTGAGATAGTTAAGCTTTTAGCTTACACTTTTAACTACTCTCAAATAAAAAATACATAAATAGGTTTTTGTTTCAAAACAGGAAAAAACCTCAATTCGATCATATTTTCTATAAGTGAAAATTATTTTTTCCAAAGATTTTTCTCATTGTAAAACTTTTTCTACCTTCGAAATAGGATTCAATGGTTTTTCATTTGTATCTAAAAAATAAAATAAATTATTTTAGCCTTTTTCAAGTAAATTTTTTCTTAATTTAATCTTACTATTATCTTTTTTTAAATTATTATTTTCATCATTAATATTTGGATTCAATGCTTGACAAAGAAAACATTTCAGACGTAATAAATATGGATTGGAGACCGACACGGTCTATTATGTATCGAATTAAATATAGAAAATTTAGATAACTATATATGCAAAAAAAAGTTACCTTTGCATTTCGTCGTTCTTGTAAATCCATTTTGAATATATAAAGATTTGTAATAAAATAAAACTAATGCTACAATACGAACCCTAAAAGAAAGTAAAATCATTGAGTCAACATATATTGTTAAATTTTATTCTAAGGCTTTTTCTTTATATTCAACATGCTTCGTTCATAAGTCATGCACGTATATATAACGAGAACAGGACAAAACCATAATTGTGACAAATAGGCCACCATTGATTAGTTTTGACAGATGGCTTTTTGTTACTTGAGTATTCGAAAGAAAAGTATTTAATAAAAATCTATGAACACTTTTTGATTTTAATGATTTAAACTAAGAAATAAATTAAAAAGCAATGGTACATGTGAGGGTCCAATGACATTTTTAGATTCGTCAATAAAACAAGCCAATGAGAAACAAGGTTGGGTAAGTGGCTTGTTTTTATACGGATTGATATTGTTGAAATGGATGACTGGTTAAATGCTTATAGGTAACTTCGATATTTATACTCAAAAATATAAATTTAAATCAGATTCAAGCGAGTTTTCCATTGTTCAAAGTAACAAATATACTAACACTAGAAAAAGAAAACGTTCTTAAAATATGCATGATAAGCAACGTCCATGTAATCTTTTTTTTGTATATGACAATATCCAATTGAGTCTCAAATCTTGTATATAAGAAAATCAAAACTTTAGTTTTCTTTTGTAGATCAAACAGTTTAATGAGGATGTAGCTTTTTAAACGAACAACGAATGTGTTATCATTATATATTCTTATTAATTTTCATCAATTTATCAAATGGTGATCAATGTAAAATAAATAATCAAACTGAGTAAATAAAATTTATTTTTGTTTTTAAATTAAAAAGAATCAAAAATATACTTATGATATTTTTCTTATAGGTATTTTATATCAAAATCGGGTCAATGTATATCTTGTTTATCTCATTGTAATTATCAAACAAATGTATGTTTACATGCTAATCTATTACATCGTCTTTGCTCATCGATTTATTTTGCTCGAAATATTCGGGAATGCCAACAAAGATTAACACCAGAAATCGTTCGATCATTTTTACTTACAAATCAATCAAATATAGTTCATGATGATAAAGATAATGATGAACCGGTTAGCCTTTATTTACGAAATAAAAATTACTTTCTCTGTTATGTAAAAATTTTATCGCTAGTTTCTTGGCGAAGAATTAAACTAAAAGATTGAAATGAAAGTTAAATTATTTCTCAAATAGCGAATTGAAATTTCTTTTTAATAACTCTTTATTACAATTCAGTATTACAATTAGCAACGAAACAAAGACAAAAAGAGAAATAGGTTACAAAAACTCTTATCTTGTCTTATCGTAAAAATAAATAATAATAATAATAATAATAATAGATACTGTAGTGAACATATTTTTAGTATTGGCATAAGATCCTGTCGCTCAATAAGCAAAACTGCTATAGACAATTTATGCGAATATTTTTTCTTTCTTTTTGTGTCCCAAACACTACAGTACACTTTTTTTTATATACGTATCGTCATATTTGTTCTGTTCTATGGATAAGAGAGGTACAGAAAAATATATTATTTTATTAATGACAATTAATTTAACAATCATACGATTGAATACTGACATGATAACAAACAAAAAAACTAATTTTTACAGTTGACTCGCCGAAGTTTATCAGTCTTTTTTCTTTACTGAGTAATTCTTTCAATATCACCTTTGATCCAGCTGAAAAAAATAAAAGAATTTCTTAATCAATTGTAAGGAAAAAATGATCAAATGTGTTAATATTCATGATGCATTTTTGACTGTTGAAGATTTTCTCACGTTTCTTCGATTTCATCATCAATAAAAATATCTGAGAATTCTTCAATTTTTTTTGTATTGTTAGAAACGAACGATTGACAAATATCGCTTTACAAGATTAAGTTACAGCACAGTTCATGAACTTTTGAGCAATAAACATATTTGTAAAAATAGAGCAGTTGTTACTCGAGTAATCCATCATTTTATACGCAATTATTCGCATTTGGGTCAAATAAAACTTTTCCGCCCGCATCTCAATGTTAGTGATGATCATCTACTAAAAGATAAGTATACAGTAGAAGCATTCTACGGAACTCTAAAAACTATCATACAGATAAAATTGATAAGGTATGATTTTTCTTTAAAATCCAAATTAGCTATATTTTACAAGAAAAAAATAAAATAAAATACACAATTTTTGATAGTTAGCACATGCTTAAATGTCTTATTTAATCGTTTCAATTAGTTTGCTATTTGACCCCCACATGATTCATTTATTAATAAACTTTTTGCACAAAAAAACCTCATCGAATATGTCCCAAAGGCACAATTGTCAATGCTAGTTTTTGGGTTTCGAATATCAATAAAATTCTTCTGTAATAAATAGTTCTATTTGTATTAGGTGTGCCTGTTTTGTGGAAATTCTACTCGTGGTCTTCGATGCGAATATTGCCGTCAGCGACCAAATGGAAAACAACTTTCGCATTTAATTGAATTGAAGACACCATCAACAATTTGTTTTGAATGTTCATGTTTTGGACAGACATACGATTGTCGAACAAATAGTAAATAAAATCTTAAGAAACAGAAATAGATTCAAAAATTTTTTTTTGTCGTTTTTAAGTAACCAATGGTTGTAAGTGTCTTTCACATTTATTGGATCCAAATTTGGTTGATTTAAATCTTTATCAATGCCTTTTAAACCGAACCACTGTAAATAATCATGAACAAAGTCAATGTCGTTCAAGAATTCATCAACAATGTAGTATTTGTAAACGTGGTTATAATGGTGTTACATCTGAACGCGGTCATCGATGCTATAAGTTTGTTCTTCTTTCTATCCATTATTTGTTCTGCCTTGAATAACCATGTTCTGATTTTTAAAGAGCATTACTAACTGATACAATTCAATGTTTTGATTATGGAAATTCTGTAAAATCATGTTTAAATGGTAACGAAATAATTAGAAGTGAAGATAATAGAACAATTTCATTTGAAATAACTCCAAGTTATCGCAATCTTAATATTCGGTTAGAAAAAAATTAAAAGTTTACCGACTAAGTGAAAATTTTACTTTTATTTTTAGAGTTTTAATTGGAATAGAAAATGGTTATGTTGACGTAATATGTTCAATACGCAATGCTAATTTTATTGTCAAAGATAATCATCATGTTTACTTTGAACACCAATCACTAATTGATACTGAACCAGTTATTCGTGATTATGATTTAACAAATGAAGATTTAAATTTTGGTAAAACTCGATTTTCTTTTATTATGCTAAGAATATATTTTGAAAAACAAAGTCATAGAATATTCTACTCTCAAGAGAGATAATAGTCGTATGTTTTTAACAATGAAATCGTCAGGGAGAAATCTAAGTAAATGACTGCCATCGAAAAGGTTAGATCATTGAAGTAAGCAAAAGAAATTATAGGCAATTGATTCTCAAGATTGATACTATGCTAATATAAAATAATAAGAAATAGACTAATCGTACTGTTAGATTAAAAATTGATCGATTGATTTCGGCATGTACTTTCTCATGGGTCTTACTTCTAAATATGACTTTTAAAAAATTCCTTGAAAAGCTATTGTCTGCTCAATTCCTCAAATGAGTTTTGACTACTCTATTTCAAAATTTGTCGGATTTTGTAAATTTTAAGAGAAAATTGAACATATGAAGAATTTGTTGTTCTAATATTCAAAACATTAAGATAATTTTATCGTGCAGCTAAAACCAATTATAGCTATCTTCTACGTAAGCATTAGTGACATCTTCTTTTTCTTCACTGTTTAAAAGATAAACTTTCGAGCTATGTGTGATATTGAATACATATAAATTATATGTTTTTTATCTTTTTGCATAAATCTGATTAATCAGCAAATATTTCGAGGATTATTACATTTAACGTCTATCAGATGCTACATAAAATATAGTCGTCTGCAATTATGAGTCAGTCAGAGAATTCTATACTGTGAGCATTAAATCATGCAATATTTTGTCTTTCATTTATTGAAAACATATTAATCATGAATTTCTTCGATGCATCTTCAATAGTACCTTCTTGTAAGGATCAAGAAAGGAAGAATCATTAAAGATTGATAGAGATCATGACAAAAACAATACTAAATTTTAAGCTGATAGGCTCACAGTTTATCTGTGATATTTTCAAGTTTTGTATATTTTTCTCGTGACTCTTCTATGACGCATCTTACAATGATTGCATTGAAAACCTTTTTTTTCTTTACATCAATAGGAATTCTTTATTCCGATCCAACGGATATCATTATTCTTCGAAATTTGTCATCTCGTCACCGCTTAACATTATTAATATCGCCAACAGATATTGATTTTACACAAGATAATCTTCATTGTTTATTAATTGATCAGCCCATATCACATGTACGTTTACCAGATCTTATTGACCCACAATCACAATCTATGTCATTTTCACTTTCTGATTATCGAGCAATACACTTAACAACAGGCTCAATGTTACTATCATCCAAAACTAACGGCTTTATTAAAATTTATCAATCAAGAATGAATATAGATTTATTCGTTTTCTTTAGCGTATTTTTTTCTTCATTTTTTCTCTTTCTTTCAATTGGAATTTGTTTTTGGAAAGTTAAATTTGCTTATGAAATTCATCGCAGACGAAGAACACTTAAACATGAATATCATAAACGTATGGCAAGACCATTTGCTAAAGTTCAATTATTCATGAAACCATCAACAATAGTATCAAATGATGAAGACAATTCTCAACAGGTTTATTTTTTATTTTATCAATATTTTCAATAATTAAATTGAATCACATTTTTTTAGCTTACTTTTCCACAGGCAACATCATCCGTCGATATTCCACTACTACTCCCATCGACTCGCACAGATATTGATTATTCAGCACATGTTGTATCTGTTGAACCACTTCGAGATCAAAATAATTGTTACACAACATTACTTTTTCATTTACCTGGAGACCTTTCAACACAATATCGTCTTTGTGCTGGTACAACACTTGCTCAATTACCACAAGATTATGCTAATGCACTTTCGAATGCAAGAGTTGAAGCTGAATTACAAAAACGAAATAGGCGACGGAAAAAATATAATGGAAGAAGTGGTCGTCAGCGCAAAGTTGTTGTTAAAAAGACAACAACAGATACAAGACAACAACAACAACAACAACGTACAAGAAAACAAAATCATCAACAGCAACAGCAACAGCAACAGCAACAGCCAAGAACAACACTAGGAACTTAAGAAGCTTGTTTTAGAGTCAGATGTGTACGCGTGTGTGTGTGTGTGTGTGTGTGTGTGTGTGCGTTTGTAGTCTCACTTATTTTATGTTATCTTATTTTTGTACATTAAATTATACAGAAATCAGACATTTTAGAAATATCATTCGCAAAATATTTAAAAATGCTGCATATTCTAGATTAAATTAATGATTTGTTTATTCAACAACATTTGAATTTATATATATTCAACTAATTTCTTACTGAATTAATTTATCTAGCTAAGTATCATTTATTATTTCAATGATAAGTCACCTATTTACGGCTTCATCAGTTAACATGAAACTAATCGACTTGTTTTATATAAGATTATAGTAACAGTAGACATTATTGAAGATAAAATGAAATAATAATAATATCCGTATTTCTCTAGGCTGCTAGAAAGAGAAACATTTCTATCCTTTAACATCGATGCAACGTCAACTATCGATCATTATTTTCTTCAGATGATATTTAGTTGGATAAAAGAATATTTAATTAGAATAGAAATAGGCATTCATAAATTTTATTGGATAAATTCAATAGATAGATGATTTCATTGATTTCCATATGGCTATTATTTTTGAAATAAAAAATTCTAACTAAATAAATTTATAGAATGGAATTAACACAAAAATCAAAGAAAGATAGTTAAACAGTCTTTCGAATAAACTTGAAGAAAAAATGTTGTTTTTTCGATTAGATAAACTCCATGAATCACTCATTGACTTATCAATTATTAACTTTGCCATATAGTCTTTTCATAAATATACTTAATTACGAGTGAACGGTTCTCGAAAAACGAATTCATTACTCTAAAATAGATCCCAAAATAGTTCCATTTAATTAAACACTATAGATATTTTTTAAAATGGAAATCATACTTCTATTATTGTTTTAATGTTTGCTGTCTTGCCGGTACAGTAACAAGTTTTCAATGTTTTTCTTGAATCATAATCTTTTCATATTTTTTATTTTTTTTCATTCAGTAAAATGGTTTTAGACTAAGATAAATGATTTTTCCTGTTTTGTTTTTAAAATTCCCTCTAGCATCGTAAAGTAAACTTTTCTTAAAATAAAACATTCATTTTTAAATTGAAAATAAAATTAGATAGTTGCTCCTATTTTTTATGTGCTCAAAAGATATTTTCATATTATTGTTTACTAAGATTATGCAAAAATTTTTAAAAACCGAGAGTCGTTTACTTTGTTCATAATGATTTGGACAGATGAAAGTTCTCATTTTCTGACATATAGATATTTTAATATTTCAGATAATAGATAATAATGTCAACAAATGAAGGCAATGAAAATGACTCTTTTTCTGTCGATGCTTCAAATTCTGCCGCAAATAATGATGAAGTAAATACTGGTTCGGTGCGTTCTGGTCCAAGCAATGATTCCGAAGGTGGCTCAAAGGTTGTTTTTCTTCTTAAAGCAGCTGGTGGTGCACCAATTTTAAAAAAGAAAAAATGGGCATTACCCAGATCAAAAACCATTGGTCATATTGTTGAATTTTTAAAAAAATACATGCAACTTGATGCACAACAACAGCAACAACTTTTTCTTTATGTTAATCAAGCCTTTGCACCAGCTCTTGATACAACAATTGGATCGGTTAATGATTGTTTCAGTAGCGAAGGAACACTTGTCTTACATTATGCATTAACCCAAGCATGGGGATAATAAAATAAACTCTATTATTTACATGTATCATTTTTATGTACAAAATAAATAAACGAGAATATCGTCTAAAAATTCTAATATAGAAAATATCTTTGTTCGATAATTAATTTGCCATATAAACAGTTCATTTGTAAATAATACGTATATTGCATATTCTAGATTGATGTTGTGGTGTTTTATCAGTAAAAATATTATTCAAAAAAACATACGTATTATTCCTATTCGTTCAATGTCGTCATCGTCATGTTCGTCGAATGAAGTGTTTACCAATGAACTTGTCAGAAAGCGCTTAATACCTTATCTTGATAAAACACCAAGTTATGTTGATGAACTCTCGCAAAGCGTACCAAGATTAAAACGATCACGGCGAGCATCTGTTCTTATCCCTCTTTATTGTAATCAAGTAACAAATCGAATAGAAGTTTTACTCATAAAACGATCAGAAAAAATGCGGTCACATACAGGAATGGTTGGTTAGTAATATTCAATAGTTTATTAAATGAAAAATCTTTTTGTTTTTGTATTCTAATCTACAGCTTTTCCTGGTGGAATGGCTGATCCAACGGATCGTGATCGAGTTCATACAGCTGAACGAGAAGCTGAAGAAGAAATAGGTCTTGAACCAAGCAAATATTCATTAGTTGGCTGTCTTTTACCAATCACTGATTCTCGTATTGTTGTTATAACACCTGTTGTGGCTTTACTTGATTCGCCGAAATTTGTTGATTTTCGTTTATCTCCTGATGAAGCATCAGATGCATTCTATGTTGATTTGGAACAGTTTCTTTTAGCTAGTCAAAATTATAAAATGCTAGAAATCGGCGATGATTTTGTTACACATCATTTTAATGTTGACAAATATCATATTTGGGGTGTTACTTCTTATCAATTAATTCTATTAGCAGCATTAGTTTATCAACGAGCACCAGAATTTCCAGTTTTTCGTCATGCACAATATTTAGATTTAAAACAAATAAAACAACAGCAGATGGATTTTTTTCGGCTTTGTGTTGATTATCGGAATAGAAACGAAAAAAAAGAAAACAGCAAAGAGAAAAGTCGTTTATAAATTTTATTAAAAAAAAAATAAGCAAACGTACTTCGTTTGTTGTTTAGTTGAAATCAATGTACTATGTGTTGAATGTTGCTTTAATTATTTTATTACCGAAAATAAATAGGTAATTAACTTCAATTAGTTAAAAAATAAAACATGAGAAGAGGAGCACAAAAGAGGAATCTATTTAACCATTTCATTTCGGCATGTTATCTACGAGGTGACATACAGAACGCAAAAGAAAAGTTCAGAAATGAAAGGATTAAGCAATTCAACTTATTTCAAAGTTACTGATTCTTAGTATTTATTTCTACACTCTTATGAAAAACAGTGTTATCTAAACATTTTGCATGAGAATTTTGCCAGTAAAATTTACATTATTCAGACGAAATTAAGATTCGCATGGTAACCTGAGAAAGAAAAATTCTAATTGAATATCGAACTCAAATTCCAAAGGTGCGCGTGAGAAAATAGTTCAGTCACATACACACAGCCACACCCTTCGAATGACTCGGAATGAAAATTTTCTCCTTTACGTGAGTTCTTATGATAATTTTTTTTATAAAGCTAAACCTGAAGCACTGTAAAAATGATGCAATGTCCCATTATTGCTAGAGAAACAAGAATGAGAAAAACTATAAAAAAAAGTCTTCTTTCTATTCCAAACAAAATTTTGTATGATATTATGTTATACTTGATAAAAAGTTGAAATCGGTTATATACGTAAAGATCGGTTGCCTTCTAGTTCACCGAACTTAAGTGGATTAGATAAGTCAATATCGGATCATGCCAATAAGAACATTAATAATCAAAAAGTCAAATCACAAGAAGAATTGAAGGAACAAATAAATGACCAAGGTGAATGAATCCGGCAGTGAGTCCTATCGGATTTCATCGGATCCAACAAAATCCGATCAGATTTCTGGTCACGGACCTACTAATTAGGGGTGTCAATTTACAGCTTATTTAATCTAAATTTAACTTTGCAAAAATTTAATTTAATTTTAAATTAAACTTTATCAAGTTAAATTTAAAACAAATTTTTATTTTCAGAAATTAAATTTAAAGGACCCTGTCGGATTTAGTGACCACATTTGAATTGACAAACTCTTAGTATTGTTTTGTAGAGCGGCGAAAGGCGCATCGAATGGTATATGGGAAGTTGTGTTTTTGTGAAATTTTGGTTTAATTGTAGGGAATTTAGTGTTGATAGGGTATTACTCAAAATTGCGACTAGTGACTCATCCGAATGGACCCTATCCTAAGTTAAAGAAGTTTATGAATAGATATTAAACTTATACAGTTTGTAGAGATTTTTACGGGCTACAAATTCATATATTTTACATCTCTGATTGATTCATCGTTGATACCGAAAAGCACGATTTTTTATTTTGAGCACATCATATGTGACGAGTGATAGGTTTCCCTGTATCGATCCGTATCATCTGTAGAAGATGTGATCAGACGTCAAACTTTGTCAGAAATTGCACGAAAAAACGATCTACAAAATGCACTAATTATAAGCTTTTTAAAATGGTGACAAAGCCTCTAAAACTGCGACGCATTGACGATTACTGGCAAAATTTTTCGTGAAATTTTTCTTTTTTTTCTATGATTTTGTAACTTTTATAATTTTTTTTCTGGTTCAATCACGCTCCCTACTTGAATCTAACACGACAATGGAGTTCAGCGATCAAATCTGCATGAATTAAAAAAAATTCTAATACAATACTACGTTAGCATATTTTATGTTTTTCTACTATGACAAATTCTTATAGTATACATATAAGCTCAAAGAAAAATAACTTTTTGAAAATTTAATATCATATATAGATTGTTGTAGTCCTATTCTTAACTATACAATTGACTATTAACAGTCCAATCTATCTCTATTTTCTTCTGTTTATTCTTTTGAAAAAAAAAACAAGTTCAATGTCATTGAACATTATATGTTTGTGATATTTTCTTGTGATTAGTCTTCAGTCTTCTCAACAGGTCATGATCTGCTCTTTGAATTGATCAGCTCTAGTGTTTGGTGTCCACCCAATATGGCGAGCATAGCCAATGTACCACAGTATTGTTGCCACATGGGCGCAACAGCCGATCTTTCGTTTTCCACCTTTGCACTGGCAAAAATGATCTCTGATAGGTTCGTCTTCATCGTTATTATCAAATTCAATACATATAAAATATCGAGTGTTCCCTAAATGACGGCTATGAAGTCGACATCGTATAAGTTGGTCGTTATCTGGAGACATTTGGAGTTCGAATTCGTTTTCATTCTCAAAATAATGAGCTTTCGCGTACGGTTTGTTCATCTTCAACTGATATGTACCACACGTGTAATTACGAAGAAAATCAAGATCCAAATGAGGAAAATCGAAGTTTTCACGTACGTCGAATATTTTAATCCAATTTTTTCTGAGCGAGAGTTGACCACTAGAAACCAGCGTTTCGATATTGCTTGCTGTTTTAACAAGCTAAACATTCGTTGTGCCATATCTTCATGTTCTACCGACTTGGTATCGTATATAATTGGTCGATATTGTAACGATAAATAAGACTCTGTTGAGTCTATATCGTAATGACAAACTGGATAGAGGTGGGGTAGCTTACAGCCACTCATGGCAATGATGTTTATTCGCTTCTTCACATATCCAGAGTGTAACAAGTTCATACATAACACATGTATATATAGGAGAGAGATAGAAAAGAGGCAGAAGATAGATATATTATAAGAATGGAAACAGAACAGAAGGAAGAGGAAGGAGAATCATCGAAGCGTGCCATCAATAATCGTCACACCCTCCCACTCAGATTAGACGCGCTCCTGAGCGTCTGTACATGATAGATAAATACAAAGAAACAAGAGAAAGAAAGAGAAGCAACAAAAAAATTTCACTATTTGACATTAAGCCATAATTACCATCAACAGCAAGATCTTAAATGACGGAATAGATAATACTCGATTCAAAGATAGATATTATAAACATTTACGGCATCACATTAGTACACAAAGTCACAAATTTACGACAGCACATCAAAGACACAGTAATAACGAACACTAATCGAAGTTTGTAAGACATTTAAGATTGACATTTTGAACACGTCTATTATAACAATTACATTTTGAGTCGCACATATAACAGTTATTAAGCATCAAAAGGGAACAAAAAATTCATATTAATAATTTTAATCAGGGTACATCAAAAGATTTTTTTTCGCGGCACAAACCGAACAAATATTTTTTTGTAAAATTCACGAGGCACATATTAGAATCTCATACATAGATCCCATGTTGCGAATACCGGGTCGATTTTTGCGGTAAACCGCGGTATTTATCCGTTCTGCGGTAATGAGAGCCGGTAGTCGGACCGGTAAAACCGCGGTTAACCGCCGATTTTCATGCGGTTTTTATTACATGGGATTTTAGTTGCCAAAATAATTACTGCTATAGATTCTATAGCTTACAAGGGAAATCGGAGCTAGTGCGTAAACGATAACTAGACGATTTCCTTGTCGTTCTTCACAATTACAATCTCTTTGCATATCACGTAACACGTAACGATCAGAAAACAAGAAAAAAAATAAAAAATGCGGAAACATCGGATTTGCATCCGATTGTTATGTGTACTTCAAAAAGCGAAAATGTACATCCATTTTTTTCCTGTAAGGCATAGATCTCATCAAGATACATCCCTTCTCACTAAATTACAAGGAGAAAATACAGGGATGCTAAGTTAGCATGGACCACACTGTATGCAACTCTATCCAGTGATCACTGACTCTACTCTCAGCGTGATATAATATCTTTAGAGATCACAGAAATTGAGCTCAGATCCGTGTTCNCGTTTTTTTGAAAAATCCCTGTACTCCCCCTCAGGAATGGTCTGGTCAATAATGACAATTTTTTCGATAACTCAATCATTTCTTGACGGATCCTTCTCATCTTCGAACTCGACTGAGACATTGATAAGGCTTAACTGTGTAGAAAATTTCATCATGATCTAACTCTCCTTTCGAAAGTTACCGTGTGAACGGACGGCCGGACACACTGACCGATTCTAGAGTGTACTCATTTTTTGAGTACACAACAAAAATTCACACTCAGATATTTGATTTTATCAAATGCGACATGTCAACTTATATAAAAGAACAGAAAACTTAATATGCCCAAGGGGCGATCCAGAAGAAGAAAAAAACTTTGACGCGTTTCATCACTATCTTATAATTTTACAGATAATAAATTTTATTTTTCCCAGGACAAGGATTCCTGAAGCAGTATTCCGTGAATTTCCGGCGAAAACCTGCAAGAAACTCGCGGTTTCCGACTGAAACCCACCGGGAATTGTCCGGAATTCGATGCAGGAATCCGGAAACCGTATCCGGCTACCAATTTTGACAGGTTCCTGTCGATTCCGGTCGGAACCGGATAAATCCGGTCACCGGACCCTTTCACAGGAATACTGCTTCCATGAAATCTCTGGAATACCACAGAACCGACCGTTTCCGGGACCGGAATGTTCGGCCTGGGTATCAGTACTTTCTGTTGTCTAGATATATCTGACAGTTACGCATGGTTGGTCATTGAAACAGTCAGTTGGTGGTGCAAAGATGGTGAATTGATAATTGATGAATTGAAATTGCTTACGGCCGATATGCAACTATGTTCATTGTTATCAACACCAGCTTGTAATAACAGGAACGGAAAAAATATGAATGAGATAGAGAAGAATGAAGAGATTTGAGAAGAAGAGACATGAAACGTACAGATGTTACAAAGGAAAGTGCGCCACACCTACGCACTGCCGACCCGAACATAATCGCCCTTTAGTACGTTTACTAATGTTCTGTAACACTGTTGTTTGCTTAATACTGGGGAGCGTTCAGTACTATAGTCATCTAACAGTGCCATGCCCTTTAACTCTCTTCTTTGCATACCTTCTTAACTTTAATCAATAGTATTTGCCGCCCATTGTCGTTGAATTTCATTTTCAACTGATGAACCATGATGTTGAATTGTTATTGGTTCTCTTAAGGACCGATTTCGATTTAGAATTTGCCAGGATTCAATAGCCAGGGTCGAGATGTAATGACCAAGGCCTGTCAGGGTCGCCATGTAACGATAAATAAAGGACCCTGTTTCGGGGTTGATTTATTAAGACAAACTGAATAGAGGTGGAGTAACTTACCGCCACTCTCGACAATGATGTTTATTTGCTTCTTCACATATCTAGAGTGTAACAACTTCATACATAACACACGTATATATATAGGAGATATATATATATATTAGAACAATGGAAAGAGAACAAAAAGAGAAGGAAGGAGAATTATCGAAGCGTGTCATTAATATCAGCACAATACCCAGGCTGAGACGTTCGAGCCAGTTCCCCAGGTAAACACAGGAAATTGACGGAACATGGAAGCAGTATTCCGGAAAACGGATCTGGCGATCGAATTTATCCGGTTTCACCCGAAACCGACAGTAACATTGCAAAACTGGCAGCCGGATTCGATCACCGAATCACGGCGTTGAATTCCTGCCATTTCCCGTTTAGTTCTCACCAGAAACAGTGTTTTTGCTGTTAGTGTCCGCCTGAAATTCGCGGAATACCACTTCAGGAATTCTCGCCTGGGCGTACTCTGGTTCAAGCAATTTCTGTTAAGTGTAATTACAATTTTTTTTACTGCAATAGATGATTAAATTATTAAAATATTGAACAAAAAAGATTTAAATAATAACCCTTCTTGAATTAATTATAGAACTTGAATTATTTACTGAACAAGAACTACTGAACATGTGATAAAAAATTTAGTGAATGTTGTATCGAAATAAAAACGAAAAAAAGCACACAGTAAAGAGAAAAGTCGATTGTAGATTTCACTTAGACAAATTCTTTTTTTTTCTCTATAGTTTAAATTCGTTTGTATTTTCTGTTTGATATTAATTTGATTATTTTATTTAAAAAAATTAATTAAGAATAAGAATCTGATAAGAATGAATAACTTAGAATCATTCTCTGTAAATGCTTAAAAAGACTTTATATTGGATAGTCTTTTATAAAGAAGATTGCTTTTAAATAATTCATTTTCTACTTGATGCTAATAATTCATACACTTCTGCAATCATTTTATTTAGAATCTTCAAGTAACACAGTTATTTGAAGAGAAAATTCACTTTTGTTATTGTACTAGCACTCTCTCAAAACACTTGAAAATGCTAACTGATAGAATAAAAGATAGCACGTCTGTTTATTTACCGATTCAAGAAAATATGAAAAACCTATAAAATTTTAATAATAACCCTCTAAAAATTTACTTCTCAGTTAACTTAAATTTGTTTCATAAACGAAAGCTTATTTCTTGTATTAGAAAGAATAAAAAACTTATTCAAATTATAAAATTTGCAACGAGACAAAACGTATGATAATACAATTTGTAATATTTTTCAACTTATATTTTGATACAATTGATGAACGTCTAATTTTGAAATCTTAAATTAGCAATAGTGAAGATACTCTAGGAATAAGAACAGGAAGCATTCATCTTCCTATAACAAATCCAAGAGTAAACTTAGTTGTAAATAGTCACATAATGTTCCATACATAGGAGTATAAGAAACACGGATACAATAGCATACAATAGAGAATCGAATACAATTTGTATTTGTTATATTTTCTCAATGTAGAAAAAAATGAAGATTATGTCTTACGTCAGAGTCAGAGATACTTATTGTATTTGTACTCTTGCGAGTTGGAAAAAATATTTTGTAAAACTCAATCAGCTCTTAAAAATTCAATAGAAAGATGACATATTTATCCCTTTTTTTAAAGGAGTGTTCATTGTTTCTATTTTTATTAGTTTGAAACTACTATGATATCGATTACTGCCAGTATTGGATACGTCTTATTAGTATTGAAAGCAGTGTGACTGTCCAAATGATACAAACAAACAAACACGCGATGTTTTTCATCATTCTAGGTTTCGTATTTTCCTCTGTGTTGTTTCTACAGTCATAGCGGTGTGATTTCGCTGATATACTAGAATATGTAAACTTACCAAACTTGCATGTACAACAATTCGAGAAGCATATAATACAACAAAAATATCAAATTTTAAAGGATCATTGTTGCTTATTACAGCACGATTTCATATAATAGCATAATACAATATGAAAAATGACTTCCTACCGATTTAACCGATTTGTTAATTATTACTAATTACGTTTTAAGACACACGAAATTTCAACTCTGTGAGTTTCGTTATTTCTATGACAATAAATTCTTGTAGAGAGAAACGGATTTAAGGAATGAGCAATACTTATTTTGTGATAAAAAAATCTTTGTTCATATGGAATTTACATGACTTAAATTTAATTAAGAAATAGAATCCTTTAATCAATCTAGTAAGCATATGAATTTAAAAAGGAATCATTCATTGATATTTGTTTTATTTTGATAAATGTCTCTCCATAGAAAAAAAGTAAACGTCATAGTTCGAAAGTAAAACAGAATAAAATTACTGTAAAAACATAAACAACCTATTAATCTTGTTTAATCGATGTTTAACAGAGAAATACTTAGTCGTAATATTGTTAAAGCTAAATCTCACTAATTAATGGTTTTTGGAATTTAAATGAAGAACACAAATTTTTCTATGTATTAAGTGGTCTATTTATATTTAGTTTTCTTTTTCAATCTTGTAATTCATCATTTACGTTTCAAACAAAAGGCAACGAGTGCGACAAATATGAAAATCGTTTGTCTGAATGTTAAAATTGCTAATACGCAATATCTATCGATATAAAAAAAATCTTTTTGCAAATACGACACAATTCGACAACAAAACAAAAACATATTTCTTCCAAATAATCGTCAATGCTACGAGGTGGATTTCAATTAATATTCAACAGTTATTTTGTCGTAGAATAGCGAAACAAAATATTATTACCTGTACTGATTGCTCTGTATAAATAATAATCACATCAAAGAGAAGGTATACACCTTGCACAATGACTAGTGAACATGGACTAAATCTTGAATTTCTATCCAATGAGGTGTTACTGGAAATTTTGAAATATTTGGATGTTTATCAACTTTTTGCAACATTTTATGGGCTAAATCGTCGTTTTAATGATCTGATTCAACAATGTCATTTACGTGTTTGTTTGGATTATTCAAAAACTAAACTAGAAACGTGAAGTTTAATAGCATTTTACAATAAATCCTTGTCGAACTCACGAATCTTCTCATTAGTAAAGCATATTCATCGATAAACGATTTTCAGTTTCTAACTTTTCTAACCTTCGTTCAGTCGCTCTCTATAAAATGAATGGATTTCTTACTCAAGTTATATTTGATGCTCTCCCACTGATTAATCAAATAAAAGATATACATATTGAACATTCAAGCTTAATATATTTTTTAACAGAACCAACCTATACGGAGTGTTTTATTAGGAAATTATCATTTTAAACTTAAATTAGTGATTGCTTGTTCATTTTATGTAACTAGAGAAAATGCTTCTCTAATTATGGATCTTCCAATTGCTTGTTTTTAAACTTCGTTGTATTGTACTGCAAGAGTTTTGTTGGAGAGCCTCGATATTATGGAAATTTTCCAAAACAATACACCAAATCTTCGAGCATTGTGCATACGTACCCATACATCTACAAACACTGTACCCACCATCATTATCTAATTATGTGTTAAAAATTATTTCTGAACTAAATATGAATGTAAATACTTATTCTGTCAATATGAAGTTTCTTGGACGTTTGTTTCCTTTTTTACGATGTCGGCATATGGAATAGGATACTTTTCGAAGATACCCATCGATCGATGGTTTTCCGTGGCAAAATATTATTCAGCAAAGTTGGTCTCCAAGGAAAGAATTCACATTGAATTAAAAATATGCAACACTTAATGAAGAATTTATAAATACATTTTATCTAAACAAATGTTGAACGCCCAAAAAGATTGTTCCAATTGTTTGGAAATCTCATTATCAACCTTCGAAAGTGTTAAAATTTTTTGTTTTAATTATAAACATGGTTAAAATAATCTTTTATTGTAAAAAATATTTTACTTTAATTTAATAAATCTATTTTCCAATTAAAAAAATATACGAATGAGCTTAAAATAATTCGTAATATCATTAAACCAGGTTGAACTAACTAGCACAGTCGTCAACAAACGTATACGGAGGGGAAAATAGTCGTTTCCAATCCTCTTGTACAGAATTCACGTAGGGTCGCGTATAACTAGCGGTGTGGTAAGTCCGTAATCGTCAATCTTAGTATATAAAGAAGTCAATGCCGACTAGAACCCATCGGGTTCAAGAATTTCTGGATGCGATTGATTATTTTTTTTTTGAAACCGAACCCGACTGATTAAATTCTTTTAGACTCAAACGCTTTTTAATGACATTAAAGATCAACCCGGAAATCGTTTTTTATCGGTTTCTAAGAATGTTGCATATGCATTGTTTCGTTCACCTATTTTTTATTATGAATAAATCACTTTCTTTATCAATCGTATTGTAATCAATATATTTTTCAATACAGATAAACATGTATACATAAAAAGGATTTTAATCTCCGTCGATATATTTCTTTTAATTTACTAATCAATATCTATAGTAAAAGAACAAAAAGTATACATTCTTTAAGATGCCTATAAAATTTAATAGTAGTTGAATAGCATGAATCTCTATAATTCTAATTGAGCAGCTCGATCCGTTGCTGCCGTCACTGTTTCCATTAAAGCTGCTCGAATGCCAGCTTTTTCTATCATCTCAAGTCCATAAATAGTTGTTCCTCCTTAAAATAAATATTTTCATAAATAACAAAAAGGCAAATTAATTTAATATAAACTTTACCAGGACTAGCTACTGCATCTTTCAATTGACTTGGATGAAATCCTAAGTTTTTATCAAGTAAAATTTTTGCTGTACCCATCATTGTTCTTACAGCCAAGTTCAGTGCCATTGATCGACTTAAACCTGCTTTAACTGCACCATCGGCAAGTGCATCAACCATAATAGAGAACTAAAAAAGATTTGCCCTTCAAAATCATATATACATATCTTTGCATTACAAGTATTACATAAGCAGGTCCACTACCACTTAAAGCAGTGACTACATTGAGTAGACATTCATCAATTTCACCTTCACATGAACCTACAGATGAGAAAATCGTATTTACTATTGATCGATCATCTAAAATTTCCATAAAGTAGTATATCATAGATGATGATTTCTAAGTCAAAACGAGTTTTTATTTCTTACCATCAGTAGCATACTGTCCAGATGAATAAACACTACAGCTGGAGTTGACTAAACAGGCTAGATTGGGCATAACACGAAGTACTCGACTTTTCGGTTTAAGAAACTAACAAATACAAAAAAACATGTTCGATGTGTTTGCAAAAAAATCTTAATTTAAGCAAACTTTTTCAATGGTTGTTGTCCGTATGCCAGCTGCAATTGAAACAAGTAGATGATAATGTGGAAGAAATGGATCTTGAATATCTTTTAAGACTGTCTCAACATCTTTTGGTTTAACAGCTAAGATAAGTAGATTACTTTCGCTTACTACTTCTCGATTATCACCTGTTGTGACAATACCTAATTGAGACTATTTAAAAAAACTAGATATATTTTTAATAGGCAAATTCCATAACTGACAGTCACTATTTTTCGTTGATTTTCATCAACATCACTTGCAATTATTTTATCTTTTGACGAAACAATATTATTTTCGATGAGACTTCGAGCAAGTGCTTGGCACATTCGACCGGCACCAAAAAATCCAATTTTTAAATGAGATAACACTATAATGAAATATTTTTTAATTTTTAAAATAACATTATTTTATTTCTATTTCAATATATAAAAAAGCAGCATAAATCTCCAAGATTTGATCTATTTCGATTTATTCAATTTCTTTTTTCACAATACGTGAAAGATACTAATTTTTAGCATTGAGTTTTCAATCAATGACAATTCATTTAAACATCCATTGAAATATACATACTTTTGCTGTTCACTGTAACAAAAGATAAGACAAAAAAAATGAATATAAAGCATACACGTACACATTGTAATGTGTGTATGAATTGTTATCATATTTCTTTCAACATTGTCATAGCTTTAAATCAACTTATAGCTACTAATTCAGTGTGGTGAAATCAAAAAGATAAACTTTTCTTTTTTCATCTTACATATTTCATTATATTCATTCATAAAGAAATTGCCAAGTTTTATCTTCGTTTATTTATTTATGAAACATGTAATGCATTTTTTGTTGACGTGATTTCAACGTTAGTTGTTGTGAGTGTCTTTTGATGGTTGACTTGCTTGGCTTTTCCCATTGAGATCTATTTCATGCGACAAAATTTCACGTGATTCTTGACTAACACTTAGTGGTGCAAGTATCTAAACAGTTAACAAAATCACTTGGAGTTTTTCGCAAACTTTATTTTTCGTACAACTTAGCATCCATATACTTATGTTTCAAACCACGCGATACATATATATATATATATATATACAACATGAAGAACCGCTTATTTTCGTAACATTTCTATGAGATAAATATTATGTACAGAAAATAGTTGTACATCAAGCGATGCATGAATTCACAAAAATATTAAAAGATACACACAGAAAAGCAAAAATCTCAATCATGGTTGCAATCGAGAATCCATATTCATGATAATTATTCTGATATTTAAGCACAGTAAAATTAACGAACGTCTTATTATTGAATGTGATCCTTTTTTCTATTTTCTAAAAATGTTATTTGTCGTTCTATTAACTACATAGAAATTTTATTAGTCTTAGAATAGTATCATTTTACAATTTATCGATTACTACATCATACAAATTAAACATTGTGATGCATTTATATTCAATTAATGATGAGATTAAGTATTCTGCTTAATTTTTTAAATTAAAGTGTCCTATTGTGAGATGATAATTCACAGAACGGTTTTATAATTGTGACAATTAAACATATTGATTGTGTTAAGATGAATTGTAAAGTTATTTCATGAAAAAACACAACACTTTATTTCTTAATATCACTGTTAATTCAAGAGATGTAATTATCGATGAATTTAAAAATTCGACATCCGCTAAATAGAAACTGGAGGTTGAATATTTTTTTAATCATTTTATATAATATAAGTTAGTATTTAGAAAAAGAAAAATTTTAAAGTCGCCTAAGTGTTGCTGAGCTGAAAATGGAAGTATGCACATTTTTTAATGTTATATTAAATGGTGACATCTCATGTAAAAAGAATTCGAAAAGCATAGCAGATCAAAACTGAAAAAGAAGCAAATTACTTGTTAGAGTGCAAACACAAAATCGCGTCTAAGCAGTCTTGAAGTTTTTTGTTAAATTTAAACATTTTAAATGGATACGTAAAAATATGAACAATAAATTACAGATATTCAGCAGTAGATCAAAACCCAAACATCAATGACATGTTTCATTAGGTAATTAATCAAGTATCACTATAATACGAATATTAGTTATTTGTAAGGTTTCTCTTTGAGTCTGATTCAGATTATCTATGCAAGAAAAATAATCCTTATACTAATTAACAGTAAATATTCACATTTTTTTTGTCATCTCGCTTTTCTCTTATCCTTTATATGCAAGTTCTACATGCTTATTTATTTATTCTTCATGCCAAAGTGTCCTGGTGATATTTATAAGTTTCCAACGAAGTTATCGATACACCAACAAGAACTTTAACACTATTTTGTATCAAAGTAATATTTTATTAGAAGACAAAATCAATTATGCTATCAAAAGCGTGATGACAGTGCTTTCCCGCTGATATTAATTATCTTCATCATAAATCATTGTTCTTATAATATGCAAAAAGAAATTTCATCTAGATTAATTAATTAAATGTTTACTGTCTTTATGTTTTAATTCATCAGTTCAGGTTGGCCAGAGTGGCAAATGCTACGATGGGTTGTAAATAATGTTTTTTCTTCCATTAAAATCAAGAGAAAGTATTGATACGAAAGAGTCAATTTCATTTCTATTTTGTGAATGCCAAATAGTGCTGTCAAGTTTGTAGCGATCGTATAATGAAAGATACGAGATAGTACACAAATCACTTTTGGAAAATCGTATGTATAATTTTTGCCATTCAAAAATTTCTTGACACTTTCTCTTAACTTATTCTTTTCACTCCATCTTTAATTCCTATTTTCTGGGTGATAAAAAGTCAGCAGATGATACTGCCAATTCTTAATCATTATCGAGTATCAATAATTCTTATCTATCATTTTTGGATTTTTCTCTTATTCTATCAGAATACATACGGTGACTATTGTTTTTAGGCAAACCATGATGAAATCACATCGTACAATCACGATGGTTTGAATTTTACAAAATATAGACAATCGAGAAACAAAGCAAATTCTTTAAAAAAAAAGATCGGTGCCATTCCCAAGATTTTTTACATTGCTACTGGGCATTATTTGGATCATTTCTTTTCTCATAATGTTCGCAATTGCACAGCAAAGCTTGAAAATCTATTCAAGGCTACTTTTCACGTAACTTTTATGAACAAATTTACTTAGGGTATACCAAATGTTCTGGCCACAAGATCTTGAGTTCGACAAAATCCATAGTTTTGAAAGTTTTATTGCGCGAATATATATAGTAATATGCCTGCTCTATGATACGGCATATATTAGTCCTATATTGGATTTAATTCTAACAGTCGTTTCGATAAAGTCTATAATGCTCATGATTAGCAAAAGTTTTGAAGACATCAAATAAATATATAAAAAGAAGAACATATTTCTAGTTTCATTTTATTAGCTGTTCAAAATAGTCACGGAATGTAATATTCTCGAACATGACGTCATAGAACGTTACACGAGAGGCAAATAAACAACATAGAATATTCCAGAATGTATCCGAACATTCCACAAGGATCTGTTAGCTATTGGTATAGCCACTATATTATAGATTTTCTCCAAAATGACTGTTAGAATTAAATCCAATATAGGACCAATATATGCAATATCATAGAGCAAGCATATTACTATATATATTCGCGCAATAAAACTTTCAAAACTATGGATTTTGTCGAACTAAAGATCTCGTGGCCAGAACTTTTGGTATACCCTAAGTATTTTATCTGTACTGATAGTCACATTTATCTTTTTTTTGTTTTTGTTTTTTAAAAGAAAACGGATGCTGACATTGCGAATGAGATCAATGAACTTAATTTACAATTACAACAAGGTGCCATTACAATTATTGAATTTTTTTCAAAGGTGAAAACTATTGAAGGCGGAACAAAACAGCATTGAAACGAAACCACCATTAATCTCATGTTTACATTAGAGTCATTTTTTGTGCACCATTGTCAGATTCTTTTCTTTATGGATTCTTCAATCATTTTCATGCTTCTTTCGTGTGTGTCTCTCGTCTTGATAGTAGCTATATGTACTTCGAAGTAAAGTTTTGAACCAACCCAGGTTGATCAAAACGGACTTGTTTACGGTCTGTTTATCGACCGTAAACGATGTCAAAACGGCCTATTTACGGCAGTAAATAGGCCGTATTTACCCGTAATACCTGGCGCAGTAATACGGCACCGTAAACGCGACTGAATTTTCATGGTTTACGGCTGTTTGTGCTCCGTACTCTCATGATAATACGGTCCGTATTACTGCGCCAGATATTACGGCAAACTTTCGCCCGTAAAATAGTCGTAAAGTAACCGTCAATGGCCGTATACGGACCGTACTGTTCGACCTGGGAAGTATCATTTGAAATCAAGAATTTTACTTCATTGTAGTTCTGGATTTGTGAAACATTGAATTTTCAATGAAATGACTTATTTAGTTCAGCAAAATCATTTCCATGGGACTCTTATGGCTTAAACTATTGTAATAAAAAGTTTCATTTAATCAAAATAAAAAACGCGAAAAGATATGTTTTGTTTTCAATAAAATTTGCTAGATGCGTTTTTATAAATATTATCTATTACTGTGAAACTTTTCAGGAATATGTACAGAAGGGAAACAAATACAGAGATAACATCAGTGTTTCCAATAGGAGTTGTACCAAGCAGGAGTAAAATGTACAGAACATTTGCTGTCTCTTATGTACATTCTGTTTTGCACGTTCGTCGGGAAAAAAACGAAGTATTGATAGTATACTTTGCTAAAGAAAATTGCACTCTTATTGCAGAATTAAATTCAGTACCAGTAAATTTTTCTTATCATTCTAATACGACTACGAAAAGATGTATGACAATGATGATGATACTATTCGAGAACATCGATCCATTTTTTAGTTATTGATATAAGTGAAAAATTATTTGAACGCGATTGAGTTATCGTTAAAAGATTAAGGCGTTTTCTTCTTAACATCAGATAGTTTTGTTGATGAACAGACTTCATATTCGTCCTATATTTTCTGAATCTCGCGAGGCCCTCCTATGATTTTCTATTTTCGAGTCATTTTTACCATAATTCCTATATATCTGAAAAAAGTTAAGAAATTTCACTAAAAAATCTTTTTGAACGCTATGTTGAAGATTCAGAGAAGTACAAACGCATATACACATGCTCTCGTTACTTCTAATTATAAAGAAAAAGAATGAGAAATAGTGACATTATGTGCACATGTTTTATTCAATTAAATGATTGAAATTCAATACTCATAATTCAAACACAATTTAATTGAGTTCTAGAATCTATCGGTTCTACTTATATGAGTCGATCGCAAGAAATAAACAAATAATATATCTGGTATATTTTAATATTTGAAAATATTTTTTTTAGATTCTCATCGATGTTATGGATGACGAAGAGTTTTAGATAGGGATGCATCTTTATTCCGATTGAAATCCAACTACTAGTACGAACTTCAACCTCATCTAATATTTAGAAACATGAATACTATTTTTTTTCTCTTTCTAAGTGTATTTTATTCGATTTTATAAAGGAACTAAAATTTTTGCAGAATAGAATGATTGTAAAAAATATTACAGAAGTTACTTCATTCTCATTCATCTTATGACTATTTCAATTAGATAGAGAATGCGAAATGTAAACTGTTTTGCCTCCAGTAAAGTATGTTTTATTCAGTCATAATTGAGATAAACTTTTAAATTCATATTTATATGATGTTTGCTGATTGATCTCTCCTATATTGTCTTCATTCTGATTGAAAAGAAATTATATATTCAAAAATGTATCAATGAAATCTGGTGTAAATTCAAGGTCATGCAATAGTTGTTGATTGCAATCCGGAAAGCGCTTTAACTTCTTGATTGAGAAACTTGAAACAGAAATTATTTGAGACATTACTGAAATGAGGGCACTAAAGTCATCAAAAGAACTTATCTTAACCGAAATATTAAAATCATAGATTTAATAAGTCAAAAAATACAATGAAAACATTCTATACAAATACTTGTTCCTTTTAATATTGTTCTAGAATTCGATTATATGCAAGGTTACACAAAATGCTACGTTGCTATTTACTTAACAAATATGGTTTCATTTTACAATTTTTATATAATTGAAATTTACATACCAATACTAAGACATCCATTTTCGGTTGGCCACTGAAGGTTTCATAAATATTTCCTTGTTCAAATAAGGTAAAAATTTAAGCTATTTATAGATTCAATCTGAAAAGTGATTAACGATACTCATGGATACTAAAACAATCATGGACTAGAAAATGCTTTATTTTTCATGGTGATTAGAATTCTACTGGCTATATGAACTGAGTATAATTCTAAAATTATTGTATAAACACTGAAATATTCCTATCTAATAAGTATTCTTTATTGATTCAAACATTAGCACTAGTAATATTATGCAATATTATACAGCAAAGAATAACTTAATAATTACACGACAAAATTATTATAACTTTTATATGCAAATTTCTACTTAACGACAAAAACAGAAACGACGATTAGTCAGAGACCCATCAAAAGATAAGCAAATTGATTTAATCGATTTCAAATTGTTATAGTTTTAATTAACCAGTAAATCCTTCTGTCGGTTGAAATTCATTTCGATTTTGAGCATTCTCTCTGCCGTCAAATTCAAATTGTTCTTGATAGCAACCACAATCTTTTCTAAGTAATCCTATCGTATAAAAAGGCTTTATAGGCGGCTGGGAAAACGATTTTAATTACTGAGATCATGTCTGAGGTTCGAAAAATTAGCACTAAACATCAAAAGCTGTAATGAGAATTTATACGACGTTACGAAACGTAACTACGAGAACTGCCTGTCTCTAATAATAAACAATGGTATACTTGTTCTCGATTGCTATGAAATCGTAGAGAAACAAACAAAATACCAGTTTTCCAGTATTTTCATTAGTTGTTGACTTTTTAACGATTAACTATTTATTTCAATGCTTGCAGCATGGTCTCGAAAATTACAGCATATGACAGATTCAAATGTTTATGAAAAATAACATTGATAATTAATAGTTTTATCCTAATGTATATCGTTCTTGACCGTTAGTGTAAATTATCCTACATAGTAAATTGATTTACATGAAAATCATTACTTGCCAAGATTTCAGCAGAGATTATTCGTATCTTTATGTTGACTCTTATTTCTATGTTTCTATTTTAAATCGACTAAGTTATATTGAAATGTATTTATAAAGTTCTTTTTATTCAATAAAGCATTGAATAGATGAGAAAGCACATCAACAGTGGAAAAGAAAACTGAATCCGAGTAGATGAATTGAATTATGAACGATGAAAAACAGTATAAATAAGATATCGATCGGTCAATATTTTACTATTATGTCAGATATTGTTATTTATCGGAAATGATATTAAACAACATCGTTGTCCTTTTATTAAGATGATAATCACCCCCGTTTCTTTCATTGTTGTAGGCCGTATAAGGCCTATTTTCACACGATCAGAGTGATTTTGATCAAGTTGAAATGTCCGTTGTTTCAATTAGATTTTTGCAGCTTGTAGTTGACTTGAAGTTTGCTTTCTTTCATAGATATTACTACTCGATAGGCTGTTTTATATGATATGATCATAAAGCCACCCCATAAAAAGTGTATTAGTTTTATTATTATCGTTGGCAAAAGCAATCATCGTACACTTGATACATTGATTAGCTAACAGGAGAGAAGCGTTAAAAACAAGCCTTAATTATATAGTCTATGAATTACGACTTCGTTGAATTATAATTAATATCTGAATGTCTGGACTGAGTAATTATATAAAAACAAAATTAATAGACATTAAGCGACCTCTCATTTCGTTTTCGTTTATACGTACGTGTTGATTGGCTAGCTAAACACTCACCACTGGACGATGTATCAGTCTGATCTGACTAACTTACTTTTGTGTTTTTTTTCTTTCTTTCTTCTCCACTTTCTTTTATTCATTTAAGTGAATCACTATATCATTCCCAAAAAAACAACACTAACATGTGTAATAATCATCAAAGTTCTACTTGAACTTTGCCGATTCATTTATCATCTTCTAGAAATGATGCAACCTTCACAATTGATTCAAGGTAAAATTAGTAATTGTTTGATTAGAGTATAAATTAGAATTAGTAATTATAAAATAGGAAAAATTTAGACAGCTAACCTATTGACATGATTGACTCAATATGTACTCATATTGTAGAGGTACTAAATCTACTCCTAGGTATAAATATGAACTTTTGAGAATTAGTTTGATTTTTATGTAATTAACGAACAGATCAAATTTTTTTTTCTATTTGACATGTCAAGAAGTTGTATAAAAAAAATTTCAGTTACTTTAAGAAACCTTTCGTATTCATATTCAATTTTTCATTTTGGTTATATCGTTAGTTGTCTTATTCAATTTTTGACAAACGTTTATTGTTTCGCAGATGACTTCCTTCATCCGAAAATATGCAAACAGTTTTGTATTATGCTTATTAAGCAAATAAAGGGTCAGTTTCGAAGCGATAACCTTCTCTTCTCTTTTTTCTCTAATCGTTGATGCATCTAACTGTTGTTTTTTTTTATCGACACCCCAAGTTTATATTTTCTTCTCTTTCTTTGCCTTGCGTCTCGAATAGCTTGTGTGTGTCATACTTAAACTACTCTTCGCACACGACGCCCTTACTCCTACTACACATAGCCATTGCACATTCGCCACTCGCACAAGGTCGAGTATACTAAAGTGTATGCACGAACTATGATGGTTTGATAATTTTTTCTTATTCCTCTTTTTTTCCGCATATATTTATTTAAAACTCACGTTTCGTATAGTAATGATGTGCAGTTCAATAATACCTTGTCATTTATATTTACGACTTCACTGACACAAAGATGATAAATAACATCGATTGTCAATCAGATGAGACAGACGAATATGTAAAAAGTAAGTTGAAAGTTAAACAATTATTTTTTTGTAAAGTTGTCAAGCTTCCGAATCATGATCGGTTCGATGACAATGTCTAGTTATATAAACAGCGAATCATACAAGTAAGAACTCAAATGTGAAAGAGCGAAAGTGACAGACTTGCGTATATATTTATTTTAAATGATATTAGTCTAAAAGAACAGAGCAAAGCAGAACTAGAAGCTGTTTATAGAATTGACGTCAGATTAATATTGGATTAGTTGCTAGGTATACAAGAGTCTCTCGATAATTACATATGTAATAAGATTAATATAATTGAAATAGTCTAGAGATGTTGAATGCTAGAAAGTACGCTGTTCGTGACGTATAAACAGGCAACTGACTCTGATTAATAATAATGTGATATTGAACACATTTAATTGTTTTAGGTGAATCATTATGTCATCATTTCATTGTTCCAATTGAAGAAGATTCATTAGGGCAAACTCAAAATAATTCTACAAAAACATCACTAATTAGATTTCAGAGCAAAAGTCTTGACGATCTACGACTGCGACGAGAATGTCAACATAAACAAGCCGATGGTAATCATGTTACAAATACCACACGAACAGAAATCGACTTATCTACCATTGGATGTAATTATAATAATAATAATATAGAAGTTAATGAAATACAATTCTATGAAGATAATGAACGCGATCTGCGTGGGCAAAAAAGCCAATCAGCACCAGTATCACCAACCAAAGTCTACGATACAGAATTAGCTACGTTTATACAAAGTGAACACAAATTAGTGACTGATTGTTTTGTTTATAATGTTGATCTATCCGATACCAATGAAACAACCCGGCAACCTCAGGCACGATCAGCAATATTTCTTGTATGTTCATTACTAACAATTTTTTGTTATTTTGTTCAAAAATGAACTTAAATTCTCAATGTATAAATCGATTTATTTTCATCGTAACATTTAGAGAAGATTCATTTCTAATACGAAATCATTTGAAAAAAATATGCATTACGAAGATTTTTTTTAAACGATGATTGCCTTCAAGGAGAAATATTTAAGCATGAACAAGAAATTTTCTTTTTTTGTCTGTCAGTTGAATGGTTCTCAAGGTTTATTTTACTTACGATTCAGTTAAATTCTAAAGCTATAAAAGTTGAAGAGAAATATCTTCTCACCTTTAAGGCAAAATTGTGCAATATCGATGAGATGAAGCCTTTTCGAAAACATTCTTTTATAAATGTATGATTAAATTCGATTGTTTGTATCTCATTATAAGAAAGAAATCAACGTAGTATTCATGTGCACTTGTTCTTTCATTTCGACATTTCTTTTTCTACAGGATGATGATTGCGTATCAGATGATATTGCTTACGAACCGCCTGCCAATATTATTCATCCGTCATTAATCAATAGTTGGTTAACAATAACTGAAGAAAACGAAGAAGAACTTGAACAATTGAGACTCGATGATGAAGAAGAAAGTCAAAAGAAACAACATCATCTATTGAAAATAAATGATGGATCAATACCAACTGTAGCATTGCATGATAACGATGATCGAGCTGATATTCTAGAGAATGACGCTGAATCGTCAATAATAACGATGGATAATACCAATAATGTAGAAAAAATTCAAGATGATAATGAACGTCTTTCAACTATTTATGAATCGTTAACTCCACAACCACGAACAGACGACGAAAATGACGAGGAAGACACATATGATGATGCATATGACAAACTAATTGTATATGATATTGCTAATGTTGAATCAGTCAAAAAAGTAATTAAACATCATTTATGCATATATGTATACAGTTTATTGATTTTTTTATTTTTAGTCACTACCAGTGAATCCAAAAGTAGAACGAAATATATCTTCTGCTTCTACTTTTACTGCATCGCATCATTCTCCAAGTGTTGATCGAACCTGTATTCGTACCTGTTATACAGTTGCATCGTTACAACCATTACCTACATCAACTAATAATATTTCTGCTTCAAATTTATGTGGAACAACAACAACAATCACCTCTAAAGTTTTCAAGCCTCCGTTATCGAATAAAGATGAAAAATCATCGTCATCGCCAATAATTAATACTCAAAATAATTCTATAAACAAATCATTGGCTTCTCTTCCAATTAAATATGAATCACCATCGAAATGTTCTCCCATGTCTCTCTCAGTTCCAATGTTACTTTTACCAATGACCACCGAAACAAATGCACGCATGATAGACAATAATCAATTAATATCTTTCGAACATGTGAAAAAAATGAAAGTAATTCAATCTTCTTCAACAAGCCTGTCAGATTTCATCACACAAGCACCCAAATCAACGTTAAAGAGTACAAGTCAGTATTTCATAGCAGATCAATTTTTTCTCTCCATCACATTCTTTGACAGATTCAGAACATATGTTAATCATACGATTGGTCAAACGAATGTCTGTCAAGAGTTCCTATCCACTCCAAAAAATAAAATTGTATAATGCAACTTGAAAAATGATTTCGTACATGTTTATGAAGCCTTTTCAAAGTATTTCTTAGATAACGATAAATCTTTGCACGAATTTTCACTTAACTTTACCTGCCTATGAAAATTTTGCAAGAATAATTGACATTGATAACAGTGAATTCAAGTAAATGTTACAGCTTCATACATTGTTCGAAACAGACGTTGTGATATATTCAAAGTCAAGATTCATCTCTAGCAGAATCTCACAAGTTTCATTATGCGAAGAGATATCGAACTGAATACAGTTTCAAACAAAAATTCCATAGTTATATATCATTCGAATTTGAACAGAATTTTTAAAATTTACTTACATCAATTTTCTTGTGTATCGTATTGTAGATATGATGTTGAACTATGATTATGCGAGTGACGTTATCGTGCTAAATCTTCTTTCACTCAACACGAGAATCAATAATAAAGTATCAGTTAGTGTTAGATAAATTTTTTTATAAAAGAAAAAATATTGGTTTTTACCCGAAACCAGGAACAAAAGTTTATACGGGAATATGATTAAGAAACTCATGCCATAAGTAAATTTCAATTTTGATTCATTATCTGCATGGTTCTGACCAAAATATTTAATTTCTATATTAAATGTTAACGATAAAACAAATCCTTCTATGAATAATTATCAACTACTTATTGATTATTATAGAACAGTTCCATTGAATATTGAAGGAAATCACAGTTTACTGTTGAAAGAAAAATTTAGAAAAGCCGTGAAAATTTCTCGGACGATGAGATAATAGAACTATAACTTCATCCAATCAGTTTTTGAAAATCTAAGTTTGTTTTTGCAAAACATTATATTCTAAAGGATAACCATAGATCCTCTCTATAATAAAAATTCTATGAAGCTTAAAAAAAACTTGGATGATCTAAAAGAAAATCTTCTCTCGGTAAATATTTTTGTAGCACAACTTATGAGCACATGTAGAAACTTTCGAAATAGAGATATCTCAGGTAAAAGAGCAAACATTTGCCATAGATTTATAATTTATAGATGTTTTCCTGTACAACTTATTAAAATATTACTTTCTTCTGTCAATTACCATGCATCTCTAAGAATGTTAATAATATTTATCGATCGATGATAGTATTCTAGACTCCATTGTTTTCTTTTTATCTCTTTGATATTGAATCAGATGATCAAAATATTGTTTAAACCCACAAAATGGCTGCACTTAGTTTTTAATGTGTTGACTGTAATATTTCGTTTTATAAATCTATGTAAAAAACAATCCGATATTATAGTTTAAAACAAGACTCTAGCTTTCTATCAGGTTTACCAAAGTTTAGAAACAATAGTGCCTTTCCTTTGTTTTGTTAAAAACGTTATTTAAAACAAATGATGTAGTAACTCGTAGATTCTGATATTTATCAGCGAGATGATTGTAGTGTTCTCTGGGTTTGTAGTCTTTATACATAGCTAGATATTCGTTGTTGTGGCTAATGTTTCTGTTCGATAGATAATATGTCGATTCCTCCATGATATAGAAGAAAAATTAAAGTAAAAATTCGAAAAACGTTTTGCTAAACTACAAAGAATGAATATTCAACTCAGAAGGTACTAATTACCACTCTTTTCTTCTTCATTACAGTACATTATGAAGAAGTACCTAGTGTCCATCATTCACTGACAGATTGCTCGTCCATTCATCGAATATCTTGTTGTACATCGGCTATTGAAGATGATTATTCAACAAGAAATAAATCATCCGATGATAATCAACATCGACCATCATTTACTCGTCGTATTCTTACAAATGGTTTACTATTATCTAATTGCTCCAGTAGTAATCCAAATCATCGACGCGCACAACCGCCTCTTACATTTAATCAATATCGTCATTATATTAAACCAAGAAGTGAAGAAAAACTATCTTCTCCTGCTGCTTTTTCTTCATCATCATCATCGTCGGAATCAAATTCGCCATCAGGTGAAAAATTCATGTCCAGATCAGATGTTATTGTTCAACAAAAACATCAACAAAACCTTTCTCAACAACGTAAAGCAACTAGTCTTAAAACTATTGCTGAGGCATCAAATCATCAATCATCAAAAATTCTTTATCCAATTGATTTTCAAACAAATCATATTGATCAATCTTGGTATCAAAAACATTTATCATCATCTCATCAGAACAAAGTTCCAACATCAGATTCGGGTATTGTCGTTGATACGATCGGCACACGATTAGCATCAAATTCAAGTATTGACGACGTAAGTGTGGTGTATTTCATCACCTTTTCTTTTCTCTTTTTTTGCCTAATTGAATCCGAACATGTAACTGAAAATAAAAGGAAGTCATACAGGTATGTTTTGATCTTCTCTCCTCTATGGCAAAAGTTCAGTCGTGTTCTCTCGCCATCAATATTGAATTCACTAATTGAACTGGTTCGTCTGTCCGTTGGACACTACAGATGTGATGTCCGATAAGACACAGGAAAGAAGAGAAAATGAGAAATAGGAGTTGCCCTTGATTGCTCTATTCACACATATATGCTTTGACCGTTTGTCCTCTATTTCTCTTTCTTTTTTCCTACTCACATACTTGTCCGATGACCGATGAAGTGGATGATTGCTGTTTAGAATGATGGTGATGGTATTCCTACTGATAATATTACGACCAGTGGCAAGTTAAAACTATACAAAAGTAACTATCGAAAAACGTTGGCAGATTTGTCTATAATCAAAAAGAATATTGTCGATATTGAAAGTCGTCTTAGTGAAGCGATGCGAGAGGTAAGATCATACTGTAGTATATGTCAATGAATTTATATATATATATATATATATATATATATAACAACCTGATCTTTTCTTTGTATTTCTTTTCTTTTTGCCTAATTACCTCCTTCGGGTAAATCACTCTCAACATATTGTATATCAATGTTCATCTTCTAAGAGTACAAAATAAAACATTTCTTGAATATTCATGTACAATATAGGAACTATTGTTCGGAATTGGCACGTACGTTTCTTTTTATTCTTTACAACCATCTGTTTCTCAGTTTTCTTCGTTACTTTCTACAATTGATCTAAAGAAAAATGCATCATATCACAACAAGTTATTTCTTCACGAATCGAAGAACGTAGAAGAAAAATGATTACGTCTTTTTTCATATGTATATGAGTATTATCGATAGGCTGGACATTAATGCATAGACCATAAGGGAGAAAAAAATAATGATGAACGGTGCTTCTGTCTGTCTGTCTGGTTTATATTGCTGTTACATTAGATGATGATATGAGCAATGATGTCGATGAGTGTTATCCATTTCTTTTCTTCTTCTCAATAGTCTAATATAGCAACTATATCTTCAGATGTGCATCAGAGAAAACTCGATACAAGCAATCGATCATGACAACTTTCTTTACTCAACTAAATTTAATCTTCTTTGTCTTCGTCTTCGTCTTTGTCGAACCTTCAAACTTCATTTTCTTAATCATAGATTAAGCTACATAGTTAAATTATAGTCACATACGTATCATTACATGAGAACAACTTTTTTGCGGATGAATCTGTATAAGAATACATTCTCATCGATTTATTTACCAATCAGTCGTTTGGACTCACACCCAAAATTAGATTGAATCTTTCATTTTAAAATTCATGTCACCTAATCAAATAGTGTGAACAAATTCATTTCAGAATTGTGTCTGACAGTTGTTTTTTTTTCTCATCACCGAGCGCAAATAAGGTAATTACTAGAAAACAATCAATATTCTTTCAAGATCGATAGACATACAGGTTTTGTCTCTTTTTTTCTCTCTCTATCCTAAGCTATCGCATCTAATTTATAGATCGCGTGCTGATATGAGAATAGACATGTTGCTACCAGATGTGAACGAAAAAGATTATGTGTAGTATATGAATTCTTTGTCTTCTTTTTTCTTCTCATAAGACCAAATTAAAATAGTTTTTTTCTTAAATATTCACACTACTATGTTTTAGCTTGACATCGAACGTGCACTGATAGAAAGTGAACACGACTTGGTGTTTAAACAAATTCTAAATGCAAGCGAAGGTGATCAACACAAAATTCGATATTTATATAATGATTTACAATTATTAATTGAACGAATAATGTCAGAAAAAAATTCTGTAAATAAGAAGAAAAAAAAAACTTTCTATATAGATATCAATTGTTCATGGTTTTTTTTATTATTTTAATCTTAGATGCGTAATGAAATTGAATATACTCAACAAACACTTTTTAAACTTGAACATGAATTACGTGAGCTCGAAGAACAATATCGACCGTCTGATGATAAAATTCTCAAGTGAGTGTAGTAATCTTTCTTTTATGTTCTATTTAATCAATGATTATGTTGTTCAGAAAGAAAGAAATTATTGCTGAGACACGTAAAAAGCACGAAGATCTCGAATTTCAATTAATGGAATTAGAAACACGTTGTGAAGCTGAACTTGAACAAGTCGAAGAACATTTTCAAAATGAACAAATTACTATTGAAGAAAATGCAACAATCCGACAAGTAAGCAAAGAAAATTTCTTTTCTCCTTCGATATCTAAAAGGAACGAAAAACCAAAATTTCATATTTCTGAATAGAATACTTTACATGATCTTGATCATCAACAAAATGTTATATTACATCAAGTGATCAAAGAAAAAGAAAAACTTGAAAGAGAAAAACAGAAACTTAAATTATTATTTAAACAAAAAAAACTTGAAGCCAATGAATTAGAACAAAAAATCAATATAATATCAGCCAAACATGAGAACTTTAATGGAAATGGTTATCATCATAATCAATCAATAAATCGTAAAGATCTTCTTATTGACTAATCATAGGAATTCTTTTTTTGTCTTGAATTTTAGATGTCTGGTTTAATGGTAATACAAATATTTATCATTCAACTCCATCAAATATTTATAGTTCGAAAAATTCTTCAAATCGTATTTTATCACCAAAGTAATTTTTCATTATCATTCTTGAAAGAAATTATTTCCTATTTAATATTAGAATGAATTTAAAAGATAAGGAGCAAGAAAAATTAAATGAAATCGAAGAAATGATTGCTGTTGCAAAACTTGAAAAAATGACAGTTCTTGAACAACAAGTAAGAAAGTTTCATCAATGAATATTCTTAAATGATAAAATATCTTATTTAAAAATACTTCAAAGAATAAGTCTTTAAATTGCAGTTGGTTGCATATATAGACTTCATAGGATATATACTTTCATAGCAGCTAGTGTTCTCTAATTTTGCAACTTTGATCTATAAAATTTATATTACTATCCAAGGTGATATCTGAGCGGTAGATACACTTAATTACAAAGAGTCATGTGTTTCCTACAGAGTACTTGCCGCATAGTTTAGTCTACTATGTAATAATATTGTCAAAAAGAAGTATTTGCTTGATTGACGTTTGGAGTTGTCTTTGTAATAGATTTTCTTTTGAGAAGCCGAATCTTAGTAAAAGATTGACATATATTATAGAAATTGTTCTAGACGTTCGAGACTTTAGTAAAACGATTTAGTTAAAAATATTCATGCATTAGAATGATTTATAAACGAATTAATAATTTAGTTACGTGAACGGTATCATGAACTTCTGCATTGCCATGATGAACATGTGAAACGTGTTGAATTAGAACAAAAACTAGCTAATGAACTTCAAAATCGTGAATATCTTATTCAATCTCAAGTTAAATTACGTGAGAAAAGTCGTATGCAGGTATAATTATATTTTTGTTGTTTTTTTGAATTCATCTCTTTCTAAAAATAAAAGGAACGTCCATTGACACGTTATTTACCAATACGTTCACTTGATTTTGATCTTCGTGCGCATATAGAAGGTGCTGGCCATTTATTGGATTCTTCGCATATTCATGTAACATCAACATCATGTCGCGGTTTTCTTCTTAAAATGGGTGGAATGAAATTCAAAACATGGAATCGTCGTTGGTTTGTATTTGACCGTAAACGTCGTGCACTATTCTATTATCAAGATAAAACAGAAACAAAACTACGCGGTTGCATTTATTTTCAATCTATTGTTGAAGTTTATGTTGATCATTTACAATCGATATCATTAAGATCACCTGAACCACGTGAAGCAACATTTATAGTTAAAACAATTGAAAGACCATATTATTTAGTTGCTCCAACAGTTGAATCAATGCGTATGTGGGTTGATGTCATTATTACAGGTGCTGAAGGAAACACATTTGCCGGAGAAACTTAATACAGTGTCAAGACATAAGTCTTTGAAAATCATTCCGTTACATTTGTACTATATGCAATGAACAATTTCTCGCTCTCTTTCTCTCCCGTTCTGTTTGTTAATTTTTTTTTGTATTTGTGTGTTTTTTTCTCTTCTTTATATTTATAATAAGGTATGTTCAGCAGTAAAAAACTAACTAAAAAAACAAAAAAAGAAATTGTCATAAATATCTTTGAAGTACTGTTGAGTAACAATACTATTTGAGAAATTTTCTGATTGAACTTTGCGCGATAATGTCGAGGACATAGTGTACATAAATCATAAAAAATGTCATTTGGTTTGTGTTTTGTCGTCTGATATTTATTGACAAGTTTGACATTTTGCACTATGAATCAATGGATAAGGATATCAATTCACCTCAATGATCGATAACATGTAAATGAATATTATCAAATAGAAAAGATTGATCTGCACAATAAATGCAATGTTGTGTATGTTTATATTTAATTTAATTTTGTGAAGATAATTAAAATCGAACTGATAAATATTTCTATTCATGATACAATACAATCATTTTATATTGGTTATACTTTCTTTCACTAATAATCTATTTTCTTTTCTTTTTTCAAAGCTTTAATATAATCGTATCTATACGATTTATACGACGAATAGAATCCATGATATTGATGACTTCTGTTATATAGTTTTTCTCATCAAAATTCTGAATTAATCCGTATGTTTCGATGATAATAAGAGTAATATTCATCTTGGGAAAACAAAACTAAAATAACATTGTTTCTTTTGTAATTATTCATTATTACTTACCCATGGGAATGTTTGATGAGAAAGAAGAAAAATCAAAATTCCATAGAAAATATTTCCTAGTTCTCTTCTATCGGTATAAATTAAGGAAAACCTGTAATATTTTCAAATCTAAGAAAAATACTGATGTACATGTCAGACTTGATTGCAGTTTGATTTATTTTTAGTTCGAAAGGTTTTTTTACTATGGCAGAGACATCTGTCTAAGTAGAACTTTGATTTGTCCTTTGTATTTTGTGCCGTATCGAATGCGAATGAATGAAAATGACATAGAGAGAGAACGTTTACCGACACAAAAAAATAATGATGGCAACTGATTCAGCATGTGAATCATTTATTAGGATGTGTAAAAACTATCGTATCTTCAGTATTCTATATAAGGCTATTCAATGCTTCTAAGATATCATCGTAATCTTCGTTTATCTTCAATATTTATTGATGAAATCATGAAATTGATGAAACGTTATGTAATTGTTATAGGCGTTTTTTTTCTGTTTTATCTTTTTGTATCAAATAAAAATCGTCTTTTTCCTCGTCTCGTTTTTGGAGAATTTCATCTTCTATCAGCTGAATCTAATCGTACAATCAATATACGCCAATCACAATTGTATCAACATGAAAGTTCTAATGGTGGAATAATAACACTATATGACGTAACACAAGACAATGAATGGGATTTTCAATGTCCAAAAACAAAATATAATGAAGAAGATATTCATGATGTTAAAATATGTATCTATGATCCTCAACATGATGAACATGTCAGTGGACAATTAAATGATCATGGAAAATGGGAGCCAGTTGTTGTAAGAAGTTTCCTTCGTTTATTACGAACATTACCAAACACGCGTAAGGAAATTTTAAAAAGTCAAAAATTATTCATTTTAAAACTAACGACTTTATTTAGATGTTATTGATATTGGTGCTAACCTAGGTTTATATACTCTATTAGCTACTCAATATGATCGTCATGTTATTGCTGTTGAACCTTTATATGATTCTCTTATTCGTTTACACAAATCGATTCAGCTAAATGATGTTCAACATCATGTGACACTTGTTGCCAACGCTATTGGAATAAAACATGAACGTTTATCATTAAATATTGTTGATAAAAATTTAGGTGCTTCTTATCTATCATATCTTGATGAATTAGCACCGCCAGTAAAAAAAATTGAAAATATTGTTGATCAACAACATGGCTTTCCTCCTCGTGTACTTGCTGAAGTTGATACAATAACGCTTGATGATTTAGTGTCAATATTTCCAATTTTTTTTAAACGAGCTATTTTGAAAATTGACATTGAAGGGTTTGAAGCGCTAGCGTTTAGTAATGCATCATTACTATTTAATCGTACAGAAATTCCAGCAATTTATATGGAATTTGGAAAATTAATTGAAATGAAATATTATCGTGGTATGCAACAGAAAATTGAAGATATGTTAACATTTTTAAAAAAGAGAAATTATGAACCATTTGAAGTTAATGATATTAATCATATTCTATATGATAATTGGGAATCATGGCCATGGGATGTTGCATTTAGACGATGCGACATATGTCGATGTCCAGAAATGGAAAAACTTGTTGGATCTGCAGAATAAAATAAAACTTCTATAGTAAGTACTGAATGAAAAGTAATTCAATGAATTAATAATGTGAAAATAAAAATATTTTCTATTATTCGAAATAATAAAAAAATTTAAATTAGTGAAAAATATAAATAGATATGAAAGAATATTGTTGTTTAGCGAAGTTGATTATTTGTTGTTCTAGCAAATTTTTAAATAACATTTTATGCATTTGACATTTTTGTGTTTTGTTTTAATAAGAATATTCAAAAGCAGATACTATGTATTCTATGAATGAAACTTCTATTTTCTACTTGTTTCGATATATCTTCTTTTTTTCATCATTTTTATGCTATGATGAGTAATAATTCTATACGATTGTAAAATTTCAGCGTAGACTGACATAAATTTTTCTGTTCTGTACTATGAAATTATTATCATATCTCATTAAATGGTTCTTTGTTTCTCCATAGGGAATTTGAATTGCAACTGATGTGTCTTTTTTTGTCAAAGAAAAATGAATACTTATGTTCTATATTTTTTTTTCATTTTGATAGTTTATACGGAATTTCAAAACGTGCCTTGTCTGCCAATTTTCTATTCCAATCAAATGTTGAAATGTCAAGTTAGATTTTGTTTTTGTACATATTTTTTTTTCTCCATATAAACGTGCAACGTTTTGATTTCTTTTTGTATTCGAAGTTAATTGATGTGTAGATTAAATTTTTGTTCTGTTAATGTAAAATTGTTTTGTAGATTGAAATATGTCGACATCTTCCATTCCAATTGAATCTCTTCAATTAATTTATACTGTACAACATCCATGTAATGTTGTCAATACTGATCGTGCTATTGAAACACTTGGCGGACGACAGCGTCTTGTTGATGCATTTACACATACGACAACATCACAGTTAACATGTGCATTCACACCATCAAATATCTATGAACGACCACTTCGTGCTGATCGGCATAAATCGACTGGAATTCTTATTCGTTTACGTCGGAATAAACGTACAAAAACTGTTACATCAATTCATGTTATTGGTATTCTCGATACATCTTATTCATTTGAGTCACTTGCTGACTTTCAATATTTGCCAATGATTAGAAAAGATGATAATCAATATGAGTCATTTTTAAATCGTCTTGCACTAAATCGACAATGTTTAGATAAAGAAAATCTAGAACGACAATGCCCTTTAATGTGTATTCCAGCTATATTTTCACGATTTTTCGATCCGACAGATTATGCTTTCCGACCAGAACCGAAAGCAAGACCAAAACGAACAGCAACAACAATTACACGTACGAAGCAAGCTATCAATAGTAATAAATTAACAAAAAGAAATGTTCGCTCATCATCAGCACACCATATCGGATTCGATACTGCATCGGCGCCAACAGGTATTAATGAATATTCTAGAAAACACAATTCTTTTCAAATTCTGAATTCTATCAGTTTACTATGCCATTGAAACAATATATAAAAGATTTTGTTTTCGTAGCGAGGACAAAATTTGCTATGTCATTCATTAAAAAAGTAAATCCATAACGACTAAAACCAAATACTAATTGAACTTAACAATTTATTCGTTATGAGAACGCTTATTCGAACATACACAAAGATTTATTCATTGATAGATGGAATCTTTAAAAACAACAGAGAGAATCGCTCGACAAATTAGCTGGAATTACAACAGTTTCCGATCCTGATCGAAAAAAAAGCTAATAATAGACGAAATCCGATTAACTAAATGATAAAATGATGTCTTAAATCTCGTTGAGCTGTATATACTGATAAACATAATGATAATGAATAGTTTTCAAGAGATATGGTATTTATTCGAATACGGAGACTTTCATTAAAAGAAGAAAATGTTTTCTTACACATTCAATTATAGTGCAATTAGAAATAAACAGGATTCAAATCATTATTTTCTGCCGAAAGATATTTCTGTCTCGATGATTTTGTCTCAAACAAGTTTTAGAACAGTCTCAAAGAGTTCTAATAAGAAATTGATCAAGATGATAAAAAGATATATTGATTTTCCTATTAGGTCCAAAATCTTTAAATGATCTCTATACAAATGTTGATCAATCTATAATAACGCAACTACGTCGTCTATTTGAACAACGTCCAGTGTGGACACGAAACAGTCTATTGTATCATCTTAAAATAACAGAAGTTATTTTAAAACGTATCATTCATCATGTCGCATATTTTTTTTGTAATGGACCGTGGAATCGTTGTTGGCTCAAATATGGTTATGATCCACGTTTAGATACAAAATCAAAAATTTATCAAATTGTTGACTATCGTGTACGCGCTATTCTTGATCCAGAGAAAAATCTTGTCAAATCAAGAACATCAAGAGCTTATCATCGATCATCGTTAGTTTTTTTTTGATTCCCATTATTTTTCATGTTGTTCTTTTTCTAAGATTAATTCCTGGACAAATATCTACAACAGCAACAACAATTTCAGCGTCAAATACTAAAAATTATGCAGTAAGTTTTTAACAATATTGATTAGTATTGATTATACTTATATGAGATACATAGGAAGAAATGTATATGTTTAAAAGAACAAGTTTACCATTAGCACGTTCGATTCATTATCAATTGATCGACATACAACTTGATGAAGTACAACAAATGGTTCACTCCAATGATGGCCTCGTAAGGAAACGAAGAATTTTTTCTTTCTTGCTTTCTTAATAAAGAGAAACAATGAAAAGTTTGTTTTACTACAGCAGTGTTTTTCTTTCTCCTACTGACAAACACACCTGTCGACTTTTGATAAAATAATGCGAAGAAAAGAATACGAGTCTGTATGTCAAGGAAATAGTTTTTATATATGATGAAAAGAAAAAGAAATTGAGAGTATAAATAAGAAAGATTAGATTTATTTATGAAAAAAAGAAAAGAAACTTCATACTAAACGATAAAATACAGAACGACATAAATCTATGTTTTATCCTGACATATAAATTTGAAAAAAAAACTCGATTAGATGTTATTTTAAGTTATTTTGTTATTGTGGAAGAAAAACATTATTCTAAATGGAATGGAAATGAAACACAAATCAAATCGATTTGTCACATTCTAGTAACTATGGTTGTTTCTTCAGGAAGTAGACTCAATAGTTAATTACTAATTTAACTGGAAACGTAATACCCTTATTTTTCAGATATTTTCTGTATGTGCAACATTAGAATCAAATTAGAAGTGAAATTATGATGCTAAACATGAGAGTACAAGTTCGACAGACGCAAATATATGAAATTATTTTTATTGTTTTTTTCTTTATGTATCTTAGATTTTTATGAGATCTGTTGAATCAGGAGTCAACTAATCATGACTGAAATGAATAAACTACATAGACCAGAGAACTCTTCATGTGTTATATTCTTCATTGAAACTCTATTAAATTCTATACTAATAATATAAAAGAAAAATAGATCATGTTGCTCGTACAGTGACGTCATTCAAAGGATAGACGACATATTTCATATTTTCTAACAGAGAAATAAATCATTCATGTGTGAAAATATCATTAGAATGAGTTCATATTTCTACTTTTTTTCAATACGATCTTTCATATCTAAAATATAAATGCTATCTTTGAGAATTATTCTTTGAAAATAAGTCGTATGTGTTTTTTTCATAGAAGAAATTTTGTATGTTTGCTTATTTTATAGGAACTTGAGTGTACTGAAGCTGATGGTTGGTGTGTCACTGATTATCAAAATCGTGCTCGAGAAATGATGTCAGCTGCTCATGAGCAAGTTTATCGACAATATCAACGTGAAAGAGGTACGAGAATAGTTCTCATTTTAATTTACTCATTCATTTTCTTAATGAAATTTGGTATAAAAAATAATAATTGATAATGAAAAATAACTATATTCTCTGTATGTTTTATCTTTTGAATTTTTGAATTTCTAGAACAGAATGCTACAGCAGATGATGATGATGGAAGTCAACAGTTAGAAGACGATGAAGACAATGATGATGGAGAGGATGATGATGATCAAAATGAAGAAACTAATGAAGAAGAAGACGATGATGATGATGATGATGATGATGACGATGACAATGACGATGATGAAGACACGGAAGAGGACTCTCATAATGAGACGTAAAACTTCTTATTTTTAGCTAATACGTATATTCGGTGAGAAAAAGTATCAAGAATCTAATGAATGCTGTCATAAAGCTCATCTATATAATGATGATAAAAATAGCCTTAGTTTTCTTTTGTGTAAATATATTCAAACACAACATACAGCGTAAAATAGAAATGGAAGGAGCGTAGGTGTAATTATTATTCAGTATATTCTTTTACTAAAAAATGCTTCAACCTTCAAGTTTCATTATCGAGTAACAAGTAAATTTCTTTGAATTTAGAATCTAAAATTTAAAACAACAATATATTAATTAGCATGATCAAATATGAACCGGTCCGATATTTACTTACCTAGCATTACATATCATCACATGTGTAATGAAGCGTATAAAGATGAAAGGCTATGATTAAACGCTAAAAAGAATATTTCATGCTTATATTTAATTGCTTTGTTTTTCTCTTTTAGATGGGTCTAAGTTCAACAAAATCTTCATTAACAAATGCTGAATATTCTTTAACACTCTCTTCACCCAATGATTTCTATCGTAGTCTATCGACAATACAAGGTGAATTTCATTTAAATGTTAGAAAAAAACTACGTATAGAAAAAGAAATTCGTATTGATTTAATTGGTCAATTAATTGAAAGTAAAAAATATGCAGCACGTTCAAAGAGGATTTCATCACAAATAAATAATAATAATAATAATAATAATATATTTTTAACATATTCCTGCCAACTTTTAACATCGCATGAAAATGGAACAGCTAGAACAATAAAACAACAAACAGTTACTTATCCGTTTCGTATTCCATTGGGAAGTAATTTACCTCCATCATGTGAATTTAAAGAATTTTCTATTGCTTACTATTTGGAAGTTTATCATGATGGACGTTTACTACCAAATACACACAAAGAAATTACCTTGGCACCACCTACACCACAAATTACTGTACCTATACCATGTAAAGTAACAGGTAAAAACAATTAGATGATATTTACGTATACTAAGTTGCTGTACAATTCAAAATAATATTTTCAAAAACAAAATTGAATCTCATTGCAGTAGCATCTTACTCTTCTTTTTTTTCTTTTTAAGTAGATGGTAAACTCAGAGCTATCAATATGTAGTACATGCAAGCGTACTCTAATGTATCATTAGAACTTATTGGATATGACATTATTCGTCTATAAACTTAATGAGTACTATGATTCTTAGGTTTCATAGGATGCTATTTCAAATTCTCTTAAGGATCTATATTATTAATTGAGATTTTATTTGAAAAAAAATCGTTTTTTGATTTATTTATTTATTAGGTTCAAATGACATAACAATGATATGTAGTTTACAAAAATCATTTTATTCCGGTCGAGATTGTCCATTAGTGCCTATATCAATTTCATTAACAAATCCTAAACAAAAACAAATCAAAGCCGTAACAGCTCAATTAATGCAAACCGTGTCATTAAATGGAATAAAAAGTGAAAATGAAATTTTTACTGCTGTCCTTAACGAAATCGCTGAAAATACAAAAGAAAATGAACTTAACGCAAAATGTGAAGTAGTTCTACCTGCTAATTTACTTACAACATTTGTACCCAATCAGAATGGTCAACCCGATAATGTTCCATCTGTTGCTATAACATATGAATTTCGTATGACAGCCCAAATGAAAGGTGCAACAACTCCTAATATTCGACTATCGGTGCCTATTGGTATTGAATGAATATAGATTTTTCTGTGTGATATCATACATTTGTTTTTTCTTTTGCTGATAATTATTAATCTTTTCTTGTCAAAGAAGCATCAAAAACTTCGTTTAATATATATTAGTATAATGTGTGATATAAAAACAACAATGATGGTGAAGGTGTTCGTTTTAGCTTGTTTTTCTTTGTACAATAAACTCTATCGTTCTACTCAAGATATACACATGTTGCTTTGCATCATATAAATGAAAAAACTGAAAAAGAAAAACAAGACAGAACAAAAAAAGAAATGTGTTCAATGACGTTCAACGCAATTCGTGGTCGGATGAATATCTTTGACTTTAGCCAAAAATGAATTGAGATAGGTAAATATACATTTGTCATCAGGTTTGTTACCCATAATAAGCATATCCGACACATCAAGTAATTGTGGCGCACCGGCACGTTCTTCGGCAATACTAAAAGCAAGCTCAAAATTTTCCTTACGATTAGCAGACGACAAGCTATTGAAATCAAATGCGTCAGGAAAAAAATGATGTGTTAGAGCACAAAAAGCAAGTCCATCTGCCCATGATGATGAAAGATTTGTGACCGATACGTTCTAGGGTTTAAATTCAAAGAAAGAAAAGATAATTTAAAAAATGAAACAATTAATAGCTCACTGGATAACCAATAACTTGTGCTTGACACCAGCGAAGAAGACCTTCTTTTACATTTGATGTTGAGCGAACAAGTGGAGTTCTAAAACCAAATAAACATATTTTTTCCCTTTCTGTTTTTCTTTCTTTCTGTAAAAAAAAATCAGTATTTGATTACTTTCGTTTGTAGGTCGATGAAATAGTATTATTCATTGTCGGGGGTGTTGATGGTGGTGATGGTGTTATTGGACTATTATTAATTGTCAGTGCGCGTTGAAGCGGTGGCCGAACTGTCGATGTTATCGTAGGCTTGTTAGTTGATACTGCTGAACTCGTAGTTGATTCGGTTGGTACTGCTCGACGAGCAGTAACTGATACTGTAGGGATTGATGTACGCTTAATAGGTATTGTAGATGGAATAGTTGGACGAGATGATGAGACTGCAGCATTAAATTGATTGACCATTGAACGAACACGATTTTTTCCCATCGAAAGTGACGAATCTAATTGAATAGAATTCGAATTTAGATTCATGATTGTGCATGAAAAAGTATACGTGTGCATGCGCAAATATGCAATTCAATTTTATCTTAAGACGGCATTCTTTTTTTTCTTCTCTGTTCTTTTTTTCCTCTCTTTCGTCTTATTATAAAAACAGTTATAAAAAAAAAATACGAATGTGAATAATTTATTATGAAACGAATTAGAAATACCTGTAGGATTTTGTGACTCAGTCATATTAGTTCCGTTGACTAATTGTTGTTTCTTTCCAGTACTTGATATTGATGATAATGGTGATGATGATGATGATGATGGCTGAAATTGAAATAAATTTAAAAAAAGAATAAAAAAGAAATTAATCAAACAGTATATTATTTCACTCGTTTCAAGTACTACCTTCTTACGTGCTGATGTATACACATAATATTTGTATATGTATTCTTACCTGTTCTGGAGTCGTTTTACTGAAAATATTGTTGGTCATCGGAGATGATTGATTCGGTGTTCCTGTCGATTTTCGCATAGTTAATGTGGTCATTGTTGTTGTAACTGCAGGTGTACTATTGGCAATCATTGATTTCATTGGTTTTGTGATAGTTGAAGAAGGTGGCTTTAATTTGCTTGTATATGTAACAACTTTTGATGGCTGTTTTAAGCGAGAGCCGTTCGAGACTGTTGATGTCGATGTTGTTACTGTTGTTGTTCGTTTGGGAAGTTGTGAAATAGATTTATTAGTGTTTTTTGTAAGATTAATATTTGTGCTAATTGGCGTTTTTGTTACAATTAAAGGAGTTGGAATTATAGTAACTCTGCTACTACTTAGAAGAACAGTAGAAGCTGATGATGCTGTATTGCTGGATGATGATGATGATGATGATGATGATGACGACGACGACGACGAAGATGAAGATGATGATGTAGTTGCAGTACTACTTGAAGATGATGATGAACTACTGATTAAACAATATGATGTTGGAGAATGCGTATGAGGATTGATAGTGACAACATCATCAATTGTTAGATTGTCTTTATGAAGATAACTGTCGGAGATAAAACTGTTAGTTATATGTGATAATGGTTCAGCGGAATGGTAACTAAAACAAAGATAGGAGAAAGTAAAAAAGAAAAATAAGAGATAAGAAGAGGAACAATGTGTGACATATTCACGTGGACATTATTTATAAGTATATGTCATAAGAGAAGGAAGAGAAGAATATTGAAATAGTATTTACTTTTCGTGTGTTTTATCTTGGTTTTCAATGATGAATGGTGTTGGTGTCGTCTGTTTAATTGTCTGGTTAAGATTTGTACACATTGGTGTAGTTAATGGTGAAATTTTATTTTCATTAGTTGAATATCTATGTTGTGATGGAGTTTGATGATTTACACTTGTATCTTGACATTGTTTATCTTTTGCTAAATTAAATTGTTCTTCAGTTGCATTTTCTCGAATAATAACAACTTGTTGATTATTCGATGGCAAACCGTTTGCAGATTTATAAAATGTTTCAACCGTATATGTTGTTTCTTCTCGAAGATGATTATCTGATGAAAGATTTTCATACACTTGATTTTCATACACTTGATTTTCATCATTTGAAGATGTTGATGTACTACTAGTTGAATCTTGTGATACTGATGATGATGATGATAATCCTAAAGGGGATGCTGGAGATTCATAAGGAATATCATCTAGTTCGTATGTAGTTATCGAAGGTTCAAATTGCACACGAGGAGATATTGTAGGATGCATATCAGTTGTCGATGGTAATAAAGAAATATTTGATTGTTCCTTTTTATATTGAGTTGACTCACATAAGATACTTTTAGGTAAACTTTCTCGGTGTTCATTTTTTATTTCAGATGATAATGAATCATTAATATTATCTTTAACAGTTAAACATTTTGATAATGGTGATGAACTATTGAGATTATTGAATTTTTTAATAATATTAGCAATAGAATCTGCTTTTTCATTTATTTTACTAACAGTTGAAATAGATTCTAATTTTGGTATTTGAGATGTTGATGGAACAAATGTACCTAATTCTACGGGTCGAACTAATTTCGGTTTACAAAACATCGTCGACGGCGAAGCTTTTCCTTGTGGAATGGAAGCTTTTGGTATTTGTGATGATAACGAATGAGAATCCTGAGATATTATTGGTGCTGTTAGACAAACGGTAATACCTGATGATTTTTTTATTTCATTATTTGAAAGATCATTTATACCACGTGCTACTATATTAGCGTATTGTGAAATTGTATCTGGTGGACTTGGATAAATTTGTTTTAAAGAATCTTTCGCTTGTTGAAGAGCACTTATTGTTGATGCATATTCTGTATTGAGACGACGAACACTTTGAGTCCAAGTTGACATTGATGATGATGATGCCGATGATGATAATGGTCGAATTAAAGGATCTAGAGAACTTTGTGATTGCTCATGAAATGATGATGACATCAATGACGCAGATTCCAATTGACGACAAACCAATGGTCGGTAATTGTATAAAGAAGTCGACATTTGATTAATAGAAATGTTTCCATTATTATTTATATTCGTATGAACAGATGATGGAAAATTTGAATAAACATTTGTTGAATATTTTATGTTACCATTGGGAGCAGATACAGGCGAGAATTGATATGTATCTATTAGAATGAATAAAAAAATTTTAATCATTTACTTATTGTGTAGGAAAAGTCATAACATAGATACAGAAAAATAACCCTAAACTTAATACAGTCAGTTCTATAAACATTGACACAGTTAACTCATTGGTAATGAAAATCAAAAAAGAAAATCTTTTTCACTTGTAGAGAAACTCAAATGCTTTCTACTATTAACATCAGATTGCACACTCAATAGAAATAATACTAGAGATTAGATCGATGACAATGTATCACTGAAATATTTGCAATATATTTAACAATAATGAAAAATTATTTGAAATAACTAAATTGATCACATCTTTACTACGTTCAATAGTAGAACGATAACTTGTTTGATTTTGATCAAGAATTACAAGAATTTTTTTATTTTTTTTGATTGAAATTGGTACAGAAAAGAAAAAAAAAGCGTAGCTATTATTACGCCTAATAGTTTGTCTATGAATACTGAATGAAAATTACCCATAGTAAATGTTATATAGATCGAAATTTTCGATGAATAGGAAATTTTTAATGAATTTTAGAGTTTTGACACACTCATGAGTTCGTCGACACTGAATCGGTCAATAAAAAGCAAATTATAGCTCTTCAAACATAAAATATTGAATGTTATCATGTCACGCTATTTATTCATTCTAATAAATATTTTTCATTTTCTCGAAAAATTGCAAATATAGTATATCATACCGTATTTTGTTTGCATATCTCGATGTTTATCATATCGAATTGAAAAGCTTTGACTCCGTTCATTATATTCTTTAGGTGATGGAATCTTTTTTTGTGATAATATTTGTGGAGCATAGCAATAAGAAGATGTGAATTGATGATGATCTTGTTCATTATGCAGAACTCGATGTACAATCATATCTTTTGGATTTATATAATTTGGATTTATAACACGAATAACTCTTGCTTTTGCAATATCATTTGGAGGATTTTTTAATTTAAATGATGAATCATTGGTTGTTGATGATATTGTATGATGACTATCGTCAATAATTGACGATGAACTTGATGAAGACATTGAAGAAGGTAGAGGAAGTATCGAAGAAGTAAGTAAATGAATATTATTATTATCATTGTTATTATTATTATTATTATTATTATTATTGCTATTCGTTGTAGTAGTAGTAGTAGTAGTAGTACGTCGGTGAAATGATGACGAATGATCACTGCTACTACTGCCACTGCCGCCAATATGTGTAAGTTCTAAAGAGCGAAAAAATGCTCTTGCTTTTTCAACTGCACCATTAGTTGATGCTGAATGTTGAAATTTTTTTAAAGATTCTAGTTATATATAAAACCGAATTCAGTTGTTTATTTTGCTGAACATTAATCAATTAAACTTACCAAGCTTAGATTTGAACCGACTTTCAGTTTTTGACATCTTTTTTTCTTGTTTTATGTCGCTCTTATTCTTCTTCGCAAATAATTGTCTATATTGAGGTTGTTGTTCGGGCCATTCGACCTCGTCACGTTCATCCATATCAACGGACGACTCTTATTTTACTCACTGAATTGAGACATGCACATTTATATTCTTGATTTTTCTTAATAAGACGATAGTGAAGATGACAAACTTTATCTTTTTTCCTTTTTTACTCTCTGTATCGATGAGAAATCGATAGATGAATATGAATAGACGAAGAAGAAAAAGAATGAATGAATATATGAAAACGGCTTAATAATATACATGTATGAGCTAGTAAGAATAACGATGACTGATATACACACAGACATACATCTAAGTTATCCGATCGAGAAAAAGAAAAGGACAAGTAAAATCCAATTGCTCATTCACTTGACAACATGCCTCTATATACACATAAGGAAGCATAAATGAAACCGAAAGCGAAATGACTATCAATTTAGATGAGACACGAGTTTTTTCTCTCCATCGACAATGTCAAATAGGTGAAAATTGAGTGGATAAATTATAGCACTTTTCAATAAGTGAATTAAATGAACTGCTGCCAAACTATTCAATTCGATTTTAAAATAGGAAAAAAACATTATTTTTATTTGATTTTTCATTTGAAAAACTTGACATTCTATATTTCAAGTAAAGTCTATCTAAGTATACATATTATAGACTATAATCATAGAAGACATGACTAAATATACATTTCGAACAGATAAAATATCTATACATTATTCATCTTTCATTTCATTTCGTTTGATTAACAGCAAGAAAATTTGAAGGCGGAGACACAAAGAAGAAGAAGAAGAAGAAGAAGAAGACATTCATAATTCATAGAAGATGTTTTTCACTGTCGTCTCGAAAACGAGTGTGGGAGGATCTAGACATTCGTTGACCGATGCCTATCTGATCATTTTGTTGTCATCGTCTATCATAGTAATTGAACAGAGAGCAAAGAAATGATGATGCAAACAAAATAAAAAAAAAGTAAAAAAGAAATTGATTAAATCAAATAGCCTTGCTCAATATACTCAATTGGTTGCTTGCACTGTATGAAAAAAATATCATAAAAAGAATTATGTAATCGATCCTATTTAACGACAATAATTTATGCATATGTAACTTGACTTATGCAGATCGAGAAAAGCGTAAAACCTCAAGTGATCAAACAATCAATATATTTGTGTAAAATTAATTCAACCGATTCGAGTGAATGGATTATAACATATATATATATATATGTAACCATTATATTTTGCTTCAGGGTAGAATGATCTAATATAACTATTATCGAAATACATTTATTTCATAACAATTTCTATTCATTTTTATAAAATATTAGAACAAAAAAAAGTCAATATAAGCATATTTTTCAAAACGAAAAAAAAAGACTTCATCGTGAAGTATTTAACTCGTTTGTGAATATTTTATTATATGAATAAAAAAAAGTCGCATCGAAACCTTGTGCAAACACAAGAAATGCTTAACTTAATGAAACGTGATTTTTCTTCTCAGTTCGTTATTTGCATCAACAATTTTAACGTGATTACAACGCACACCTTTTTTCTCTGCCGTGTATATGTTCTTGAAAACAAATATGCGATGCTATTATTTTTTTGGTTTTATATTTCACATTCTCTCATCTTCTGACCATGCCTGTGTATGAATGACGATGAAGCAAAAAATTGTTACGGCTTCTCATTTCATCTATAAATACAGCGGTTCAGTTGTAGTATATTATTATTCTTTAATATTCTTAGCGAAAGAATCGCAATGTCATCCTATAGACTGCATTACTTTAACGGCCGTGGACGAGCTGAAGTATCTCGTTTAATATTCGCAGCTGTTGGTCAAAAATTTGAAGATATACGTTATGAACAAAATGAATGGCCAACACATCAAGCTCGAATGCCTTTAGGTGAAATGCCTGTTCTTGAATATGAAGGATTTAAAATACCCCAATCGTTAACTATTGCACGTTTTCTTGCCAAACAATTTCAATTAGCTGGTAGAGATAATTTTGAACAAGCAAAAGTCGATGCTATCATTGATACAATTAGTGAGTTTGCATTAAGCTTAGGTACAATTTCTCGAGAAAAAGATGAAACTAAAAAACAAGAAGGTATGCGTAAGCTTTTCACAGAAGACATACCGTATCATTTACAACATCTCGAATTATTGGGCAAATCATATGGCGTTGGTGGTCCCTTTTTTGTTGGTAATCATTTAACATGGGCAGATCTATATTTTTATGATGCAGCAGAAAGTCTTCTTCGAATTAGTGGAACTGTTTTGAATAGATTTCCATGGTTAATATCAAATCGTCAAGAAATTGAAAGACAACCAAAAATCTCAGCTTATCTCAAGAGTCGACCGCAAACACTTTTTTGAACAATATATATATATATAATCATAATAAACAATCGTAGATTATTGTTTTTCGTTTTATTGGAAATTTCGTTTCCAAAACAAAATACTATTTGATTATATTTTATAAAACAATAATTTATTTATTCATATACTTATGAAAAGAAAAACAAAGAACAATAAAATGCTAATTGATCAAAAAAATTATAAATCGAAATCGAAAATCTTAAACTACTGCTTTTAAAAATTATGTATTGCCGTGTAATACTTTTTCAGTGTCTAAAATATTTATATTAGTAAAAACATCGACATGTGTTTTTATTTCTTCTAATGATAAAACATCATCTTTTGGCGAATCATCTACAAGTGAGAATAGTTTTTTGACTTGCATACCGATATGTACACGATTCAGTGGATTAAATGCTTGCTATAATTAAGAAATATGATAAATAAATTTATAAAACAAATCATATCTATACCGATAATTCATCCGCGGTCAAAAAATCATCTTTATCTAGATCCATTTCACGAAACTCTTCTTTTTGTTCTTCTATCCATTTTCTATTCATGTTTTCCCATGCACTGTCACCTTTATCTAACAATATGTTCGCTAGAAATGAATAATAATGAATCAAAAATGTTATCTGTATTTTTACATACGAGATACAAAGAAAAATTCATTTTTGCCGATTTTTTTATCACCATTACGATCTAAAATAATTCATGAAAAATATTTCAACAAACAGAAGATAAACAAAGAAGACAAACCCAATAGTGCCATAAGGTCCTCAACCATATATTTGTATAAACGGCCAAATACTTCAGGATGTCGAAATTCTAGAAATTCCTCCGCATTAAGTTTATTATCACCGTCATCATCAACTTGTATCCAACGATAGTGAATGTTCACGAGTTCTCGATGCACTAATAGAATAAAATAAAAATCAAAGATAATAAACTTAATCTTAGATTAAAAATCAATTTGCTTACGAGAAGGCTCAGCCATATCCAGAATATTATTAATATTATTCAAATCTTGTATATTCAATGCACTCATATTATGAAATTTAATATACAATGCAACATATTCATGCCACATTACTATACCTAAAGTAAATATATCGTATGAATTTATGAAAAAATCAAACATATCCTACTTTACGATATTAAAAATCCTTGAAAATTTTAATTGATTTCTAGTTGCTAAGATGCAGCATAAAAACGTTCAAGATTTTCCTCAATCAGAGAACACTCAACTACGCTTGACTTCTATATGATGTAAATTTTCTTATTTGAATTCACCTACGACCATACGCAGTTTCAGAGAGAACGAGATATATATAAATTTCTAAATTCTATTCTTTTTTATTTTACAGTCATTAGTTTTTCGATGCTATTCACTTAATCTGAATATAGCCTTTGAGATTTTCATTCCAACTTGTGAAAAAAAAGATTTTCAATTCTATTGAATGAATAGGACGACAGTCAGTAGGATATGAATCGATCGAAAGAGAATACTAATAAACTGGAGTACCACGATGCACAGCGAAGATAACAGTTGTTTTAAAATGTCAATTCGACTTTTACTTTGAGAGACACATTTTGAAGTTTATGTTAAAGTGAATATTCAAAATATCTGTATAATAATACATAGAAAATTGAATTTCTTGTTCTTACCATCCTCATTGCTATCGATCAATAGAAATAGCTGTAAGTTTCTATCTCGAGCTTCGTTCAAATGCTGTTGAACATTTTTATATACATAATTAAATAATTCATCCTGCGATAGACGTTCATTATGATCCAAATCAACTCTAAACGAATGAAAACAAAATTCATGTGTACATTCATTAAAAATAAAATTTCTATTCTTACTCTCGAAATATTTCTTCTAGTTTTTTATTTCGCTTGTTTTCGTCATGTTGAATGTCCGATTCGAATAATTCATGATTACCAAGAAAAATTTCTTTATGAAAATCTGGATTTACTTTTCCATGTCGATCCAATGGTACACCTTCAATATGTTTATCATCTTTTAAACTATGAATACCAAAATCTTTTAAATTTTTTGCTACTTCTGTCAAGTTGAAATTTTCTGGCAGTTGAATTTTTGGTAAGACTAATGAAATATTTAAAACTGACGTTAAATTATTTATATGAGATTGCAAGAGTACTGCTTTTTTGTCGGAATTTTTTATACTATTTTGATTCCCTGATTTCTAAATAATCATAGAAATTTTATGATGCTTTGCTGAAAACAATAAACTTACCACGTCGAGAACCGGTAAAGCATTTAATACAAAAATATTTAGTAAAAATAGATGTAAAAGTTCTATTGATAGAGCTTTCATTTTATCTAGAAATAGAGTGTCCATTAGTTTGCATGAGATGAAAATATATCTTTTAACATCATTATACATGATTTGATGTAAATAAATATGTAGGTTTCATCGTTTTACGTTTATTTTTTTTACAATATTCAGTTTATTATGGACGAATTATTTCATCATCATCATTATCATTATTATTATCATCACCGTCATCACCTTGGATTTCTAAAATTGGTTCTTCTGTTTCATCGATCAACACTATTGATAATAACTCCGGTGTTCGACTGATACATAGTACTTGTATTCTAAAACAAAACAAAACAAAAAATATAACTCGTCAACATAAAACAAATTGAAACAAAAATTATTCAATTACAAAATGAGAATCAATGCCATTATTTTTGTAGTAACAGCAAAAATAAAGATAAGACCAGGAAAAAAATCAATCGATGCTTGATAAATTTCCACACACGCAATGGTACCAATTACAATATCAAGATTTTGCATTAAAGCAACAAAACTAAATGCTTTGCCTAAATTAACATTTATTATTAATATTAATAACAGAACAAAATTAAAATGTTTTTCATGTCATACCTTTATCATTTTCAGGAACTAAACGAGCAATGATTGCTCTTAAACAAACTGAAAAATAAATACTGAACATTGACGATGGAATAGCTAAGAAAAATAAATTATTTATTTTTATCGAAATATTTTTACTATTTCTACCTCCGAAAATCATCGCTTTATTGTTTCGAGCAAAAGCAAATAACATCGGCCCAACAAGCGATAAACATAAACCAATAATAGCTATATAAAGATCATTAATCTTCCAACGCCGTCTTAACACTGCTAAGAAGATCAATGCTAAACAAGTCGCTAATTGTTCCAGTGAAAAATATGCTGCATAATGTGTATCATCGAATGTCATGTAATGCAAATATAAATAGATAATCGATCCTGAACCCATTCGAAATAGATCATAGAAGAAAAGTGAGCATAAAAGTATGAGAAATGATACAAGTAAATGGTTTTGTTTTAATCCAACAATAAGATCATGAGTATCATAGATTGGTCGTACAATTTTTTGACGTAAACTACTTGTTGATGCTTGAGATGATGATCGATTTTGAAGAAATACTAGACTTATAAAAAGTGCTAGAGCCAACAAAAGCACATGAACAAGTAAAATAAGCCATATTCGAGTATGTAATTCAAAAACAAATGTGCAAAGTACATAACCAATTACAACACCTATGTTTAAAGATGCTTCAATGATAGCGATAATTTGAATATGTTGTTCTTTGTGCGTACATGAATCAGTAGCATAGCCAAAACATGAACTAATTCAATTGAAAATAAAATGCATTATATATTATTTTAATCTTAAATTAACTTACGAAATAAGAATTAAGGCTCCACCACCAAAACCATTTATGATATTAGCTACTATATATAGTATTAAACATAATTTTGTTCCTTGATAAACACTTGCGATTGTTATTATTAAGCCTGTTAGTATAGCATTACATATCGTTAATATAATAGGTAATTTTCGATTTTTTGTATCAGATAAACTCCCATAAACAGGTGAAATGATGCAAGCAATAATTGCAAATGAAAGTGTTCCATATAATGCCCATTGTGAACTTTCTTTTTGAATAGATTCTTCTAATGCTTTCAGTGATTGATTTTGATCAATTTCAGCACAGAATGACTCATTAGCTCGAAGAAGACAAACAGTAGAATAGATCAAAGAATTTGTTGCACAAAAAAATAGAAACAATGAACATAAATATAGAAAACAAATTAAACAAATAGGAAGAATAGCACGCCACAAACGTGGTACAGTTGGTTCAACCATGATTCTTTTTTACACGTCACTTACATATATCAACAGACGAAACAATGTTGCTTTCTCAAGCGTGGCTTATATATCATATAAGAAAGCAAATAAGAACCAGTCATACTTTACTCCAGTTATTCATTGATTTACTATATGATCGATCAAACAAATTACGAATAAAAATAAAACGATGATAGAGGGCAGTCAGTCTGTAGATTTTAATTTTTCGTACATCGTCTAAAAATTTAGCAATCACTGAAAAAAAAGAAAGTCAGTTACAGATGAGAGAACGATGTCGTTTATTAAAAATATTCGAAAAGAACTAGAATCAAACTTGAATTTGACGAAACTGTATACTGATGAAGAACATATAAGAGACACAGAGCGATCTTAACTTTTGAGAACGATATTTTTATTATTATTAGCTAGCATTTTATTGCTCTTTTCCTGATTTCTCTTACTGCTACATTCACTATACTGTCAACATGCTTGAAATTTTTTGTTTTAAATAGTTTTCTCAAGTAGCTATCATCTATGTTTTTAATGAACTATGGATATCTATATTTAATATACGTATGATATGATTCATAGGCGGCGAACCCATTACGCTTGGGGAGGCTCAAACTTCCCCTAAAAAAAGGAGAAGACGGCTTAGGGAGGTTTATTTAATTTGAAAAAAAGTTGTAGATCTCATCTTTAATGTAGAAACGATTGGCAAAATTTCGATCAATTGTTCTTTAATACGTAGTCTATTGCTCATGAAAATTAACAGAATGATAGAAAAACCTGCTAAAACAGGACACATACGACGCAGAACTTTGATCAGCGACAAGTATCGCACGAATTTTTAAAATGTATGCTAGGGTGATTAGTAGAAAATGTTTTTTTAGTTATATTTAGTGTTTTTTATCTTTGTTTTTGTTTGCTCTACTCTCCTGAAATTTGTTTTAGGATTTTTGTGTTCTTATTGATCATATTCTGAAACATAAATATTACAGTAATATTTTTCATTATTTTACAAGTTTTGAGAAAAGTAGAATCATAAGTAAATTATCAACAGACCACCTATTAGTATCAAATTATTTTTGTTTTTAATTTCACATCTCATCATCTGGAAAAAAATGAGCTTCCCGTAGATTGAAATCGTTCCGCCGCCGTTGATATATATATATATATATATATATAGAGAGAGAGAGAGAGAGAGAGAAGAAGAAGAAGAAGAATGGTACCAAGCCTTAATCAGGGCTAATGTAGAATTGAATACTTTGAAAGAATTTCTTCATTTAACATCAAGTTATATGTCAACTCTCTAAATTGTGCACATTTATATAGTGAAACATTTTGAATGGTATCGATGGTCTCTACGTTAGCGAGATTTTATTTCATTGAAAACACTAAACAATGCATGTTGCGTGTACTACATTAACATCTATTATTTCCGGAAGAAATTATTTGATATCTCATTTACTGAAACTATTAAAATTCCACTCAATAATCTTGTTTTAAGAACTATTCCCAACAATCGCTATTTTGAGTTTCTCAAGAAACGAGTCAATATGATAGAGATATATGCGTGCAGTGCTACTTTTGTAGCTGTAAAATGAAGGTTATGAAAGCTTTTTTTTATGACTCTTTAGCATATACGTCAGCTATGTTGTATCAAGGTTAAAGTTATACTTGGATGAAAGATTATATTCTTTAAGATGTCTTTATACTTTGAAGCGTTGAATTCTATTATGACATTGAATAAAATATTTGTAAAAAGAGCACTGAAATTTGCATATTTCTAGATATTAAATTATTCCGAGACTTATAAAAGTCAATTAATTTAAATTAGGATAGAAATGTATTACTGCTAGAGATTTCTTGTCTTACATTATTAGTCTAATATAGATCGAAGTTATTCGATTATAAGGTATGCTTTATAAATTTTTGCTTGTCTCTTGAATCCAATCACAATTCTTAGATATTTGCTCATTGATTTATTCCATGATAGGTGCATTAAAAAAAATGCTATTCGTTCCCTGTCTTTCGCATAAACCATCATGAATATTGAATGTAGATTGTGTGTACATAAAATGAAGTGCTTCATATGGATGCTCAATGAACAAGAATATGAAGTAAAAAATCTTCAATACGATTTATAAGGCTTTTATTGAGTTGAATGACACTTACCCTAGTAACGTCGACCATACAAGAGCTATTCGTTACTTGACTACATCACCCATTACTTAGATGTTAGGTGATCCGCATAATATTGACCTTTTTCTTTTTATATTTTACTTTCAAAAGGAAACAGTGAAGAAAGATCCACTATTTATTTCTAGCTGAGTTTTACATAGATATGAAATATAAACTTGAACCGACATTCGGACTATTATGTAAGTGATGTAAGAAAATATTTAAATATTTTTCAATGGTATCTGCTTTTGTTTTCTGTTATTAAAGTTCTAATTGTACTGATTTCCAATTTTACTTTTGCTTTTGATTGCTATTTTTGTGAAAACTGTTTAAATTCTCAACGTGGTGGTCGTATATCTGCTCGTCCAGGAGATTGGTGTTATGTAAGTGAAATTGTATGAAGAGTTCCTTTAGATCTTGATTGATATTGTAATTAGAAAATTGTATGGCGATCGGGTCGAGGAAATCAACAAATCGTTTCACGTGGTGCATCAGCTGATTGTCGACAGAACATTTATAATGATCCAAGTATGAGTATACCTGGAGTTTTTTCAGGTACTGCTCGATACTGTTGTCAAACTCATCTCTGTAATTCAACACCGACACATGTTAACTGTTCGTTTTTACTCATATTTTCTCTTCTTTTATTTTCTATTTTCTATAAATGTTTATTTGTTGGTAGGGAAGAATATTAATAATTAAGTATCGATTATGAAGAAAATTTCTTAGTAGTAAATACAACTATATTATTAAATATAAACGACTATTTTTTCTCGCCGTTGTTGCGATTTCGTAAATTATTTGATAGAATAGGCTTTGATTTATTTTGATTCTCGTGAAACAAACATATGCATAAATGCAAACACCAGTTTGTTTTATTCGTTTTTTTTTTGTTTCTTTCTCGTTTCTTCCGGAGCTGCTGCTTTAGAGAGAGAGAGAGAAAACAAAACAACACAAAAAACATATGTAGAAGTAAATGTGCATATGTCAATAATTTTTTCTACACAAAGTTTTGAAGAAAATACTTTTATTGCCGATATTTTTTTCCTCTTCACAATGGTTTGCTGTCGATTAGACGTGCTTCCTGTGGAACTTGTTCATCATTTATTAAGCTACTTTTCTGCTCAAGAAATTTTTTATACGTTTACTAATATTAGTTATTATATCGATAATGTATTATTCACCTATTCAAAATATTATATAAACTTCAAGTCAATCACAAAAAGAGAGTTTGATTTTGTATGCGAAAAAATGACACCAACTCAAACCATTTCGTTAACATTATGTGACAACGAAACAGTCCCCGGTCAAATAGGACTTTTTCTATCTCGTTTTCAAATCGATCAGTTTACTTGTCTTCGTTCATTGACATTACTTGATATTGGACCAGACTATTGGGAATTTATTATGACAAAATTACATGACCTAAAATTATTACGATCGTTTTTATATATTACATCGAATAAAACCGATTCGTGGATTGCTAAGATGTCATATAAAGAAGTCACTCAACTGGATGCACGGTTGTTTGATAGCTATAGTTCAATGCTGTCGCAGTTGAATCGACTGAAATTGTCTCATGGTGACTTTTTGGAATCAGTTCAATTTCCTGATCTTATTCACTTGTCGATTGGAAGATGCACAACTAGTCTAATGAAACATCTATGCTCTGCTGCACCACGACTCAAATCGTTGACAATTGACTTTCGAAATAATGAGCCAAATGCCGAATTCATCTTTCCATTTCGTCAATTGAATCGACTCTCTCTAAAAATTGAAGGTAAGAATCTATGAATCTACTTCATCACGATCACAAATCATATTATTATAAATAAATGCATGAAATCTTTTTTTTCTCAATTTCAGGCCAAACTGTTTGGATGAAAAATATGGAACAACTATTATCAAATATTCCTAATCTTATCCATTTAGAATTATGTGCAAATGGTGAAGCTGATATAGTCGATGGCGCACGTTGGCAAATGTTAACCAGTCGTCTGGTCACATTTAACTTTCATTTTTGCATATCAAATAATCTAGATTCAAAAGATCTCGATTCGTTTCGTAGTTCCTTTTGGCTTGATCAAAAACATTGGTATGTTGCGTGCATACATAGATCTCTATTTTCTGTACCATATTTTGCTGAAAAATGTGCCAATGAAGACTTCGAACCAATTGTTCTGTCGACATTGCCAGATAGAACAACTTTTAATGATTGTATTAGTCAACTAACTCTTTCAGAACTTGCTACTGACTTAAATGAACGTTTCTCTCAAGTTCAAATGTTGGTTATGTTTAATTGCATTCCGTTATCATCTCTTGAACAGCTCGTAGATCTAAATAGGATAAATCATTTTACTTTATGTTCGATGACAAATTACTCTGGAATACAAGTCCTGATAAATTCAATGCCAAATCTTTGCCGAATCTCAATTAGAAGTAAAGTAAAATATTTTCTAGAAGAAGTTCAATGCGTGTCATTTAACAAGATTCAAAACCTAGATGTTGGTAATCGTTATTCAATTAACGATGATTATGAAAACGAATACAATATTGAAAAGTTAAGCGTTGTTTTCCCGTACATCGAACATCTACATATAGATCATTGGTGTTCAGTAACAGAAATACTTCACATAATCAACAAATTCTACCAATTGTCCACTATATCATTTCATTTTGCCAACTGGTTTGTTAATGAACAAGATAGAAATAATACTATCATAGATGTCCAGTCGATTCTGGACCAAAATCGATGCGCCAAGAAATCCAATTTTACATATCGATTTGATCGATCATGTGTACACATATGGTTATAAGGTTTAATCAATCTTTAGAAATGTTTTTGTCGACTGTTCTAATATATTTCTATCTAAAAATAATAAAGTCTCGCGAAGAGTGACGCATGTTTTGATTGGATCTGTCTTACTATATTTGCTTCCATCAATTCCATTCCACAATAAACTCTTTACTAAGTTATCACGTTTAACTATATTATTTAATTAATCGCAACTTAAAAACCTATTATCTTGTGTCATCGTTAATTAACCTCGAAAAAGTTTAAAAAATTAGACTGAAAATGTATTTCATAGTAAAATTTTATTGTTATAAAGTAATCGATTGATATAAACGGCAGGTAGATAATATTTTTAAATAGCTTATTCAAGGTCAAACTGTTACTAATTTGTTAAAGTTGAATAGTAAAATTATTTGAAAATACCAGGAACCTTTGAAAATTAGACAATTATGTCTCAATATTTTGAATATTTATTTCTTCAAATCAATAATTTTTGATCTTGGAAGACTTGTAAAAAAAGATATATCCCAAATCCTAGTGAAACATTACATGTGTGTGATCTTTGTTTCATACTGTTTCACTAATAATATATTTATAAACAAGTACATAAAAACAGCTTTCAAATCTTTTTTATCGCTATTTTCATAAAATTATTGCATTTTGTTTTTATGGAAAGTACAAAATTTTTCGAAAATATCTCTTCGAATAGAAACTTCAAGAAAGATTCAACAAATGAGGTTTTTGCGCAAAAATGTGTTCCAAAATTAAAGAGAAAAAGTCAATTGTTTCGAATATTATCCATTGAATGCCTGTGGACATTTTTGTTCGTAAATAGCTTGCTCATTTGGAGAAATTTCAACAGCAGCTGCTGATTGACAGACTACTGTGGAATTTCTAACATTTTTTACTTCTAAGACCATGCTAAAAGCATTTTGAGTCGCATAGGATTGATCACCGAAGTAATAGCCAGGAATGTAATCAATACATCGCATACCACATTTTAAATACAGTGACAACGCACTCTTATTTTCCGTGTTTACATGCAATGAGACTCGAGCATTATTCAATCGAATAGCATCTTTAATAAATTCATTTAATAATTTTGTTCCAAGACCCGTTTGCCGATGTTCTTTCAAAACGCTAATATAGCAAATGTATTTTGAATTGTCATACGCTTCGAGTCGAGCCAAAAGAAGTGCATTGATATTCTTCGTCGATACGGTAGTATTTTGAATGAAAAAAGCCAGCATCGTTGTTCCACATACTTCAACAACGTTAGGATAAAATCGATTTGGCGTTTCGAATGACGCTTGCAAGTACTCTTCAAGCCATTTATTCACAGTATATATTTGAGATCGTGTAGAGCCATGTCTAAGAGTTAACTTATACAAACGATACTCATTATGATCAGCCAAATGGATGTATTCGATATTTGTTGATGGCTCTATAAATTGAGGATACCTTATCATCGGCCTATTAATAGAAAAGAGATTAATCAAAATAAAAAGTATGCTAGAAAAACATCGGAAATTCTCTGGCAATTACTATATATATTATCGACAGATAGTCTTTGAGATTCAGTACAATACTTCGATCTAAACAGAATCGTAGTATCTAAGTCCTTTTAACAATCTGAACATAAAACTGGTAGCCTTTCTAAAAGTATTTGATTCCAATAAAAATAATTGACGATTTCAAATAAATTATGTTAACTTGTAAATAAGAAAAATATAGCAGATCACTTATCAAGTGATGAGAACGCCTGCTACTTTGTCATAAATAAACATGAGTTTCTCTTCTAAAATATAATGCATCTATGTAGGAATCATCAAAATTACATCATTTTTCACTCGTAGTTAACTTTCTTTAGTTGTTCTTGGGAAATTACGATACCTTTGTTCGATAGTCACCACAGTCACAGTCCGCCAGAGCGTGTAGAACAAAATTAATAGTGTAGCTTGCATTGAAATTTTGACTTATGTTGTTCTATATTTTGATTGTGCTTCAGTTACACACAGTAGCAAATAGAAGACTGGATTAAAGCAAAGGCTTTTTATAAAGGATTTAATCGAAATAATGTTATCATCAGAAATTTATAAATGTCAATAGTAATAATATGTAGTACTAGTACTGTATCGTTTTTAGAAAGCTACTTACATTTAAAGAAGATTATATGCTGTAATTTACATGTGTGGGTATTCCTGATATCAGATTGAATGAATTACGTTAAATGAATCATCAGTTAAGAAGAAAACCAACTTAGTTTATTCTAGTGGTGTATAAGTTGTATCTTGATACGATATTATACTGTAGCATTTCGAAACTGTTTGAACACTTTAATTTCAATTGGTTCTCCTATAATCAATAACGAAACAAATAGTAACCGCCTCGCTCATTAGATTTCTCCGAGTAAACCTGTTGCAGTATGATATAAAAATTTTCGAGCAATAATGCCTTCTATAATCGATGGCTATTATTACCTACTCATTAAGGTTATCAAATGCTGATTGGTTTAAAAAAATGATTGGCAAAAAAACAGCCAGTCTTCTCATCACTGTGAAATAAAATGTTCAAGTGTTCACTACGTGTGTGTTGTTACCTATAAAATTCAAACATATAAAATAAGAATAGGACATGTCGATTTAAAGAATTTTTAAGAAGAATAAGTTTTTAATGATGAATTCTTCAGTGTAGAGAGAATTTATCTGCTGTTTGAGAAACCAGTAAAACCACAATCATTCCTATGAATAATCACTAACTCTTTTATTTGTCATAATAGTGAACTGAAAATAAGTAAACGAACAGCATTTTAAATACGGTTAGGACCTTGAATCAAATCAAATAATTAGTAGTAGACAAGGTTAAATTTTAGCAAAGTAGAATTCAAGTTAAATTTGACTTAATTTTAACCCTATGAGCGATTGAATTCGTACAATGAAGTATGAACACTTACTGGTACTATAAAATTCAGAAAAAAATGTACTCTTGATAGAACTCATGAGAAAGTGAAATCGAAAGTACTCAAAAGATCAAAGCATTTTTTTCTTAAATCACTCTGGTAAATTAAACCTTATGAAACATCTTTCACAAGTTAAGTCTAAAATATGACTACTTTGTTCCAACGATATGTCAAACTCGTTCATTTCAACTTGAAGAAGTCAGAAGCATCTATGTGTAACCAAGTGACTTGCGTAAACGTATTAGAGAATGCCTTTAGATGCTTTCTATCTGATTGTGGATAAATTTTAGTTTATACATACTTGATAGTATTTACATTAAATAAATCTCGAAAGATGTTGAATTTCCGAACAATATTGATCAATAAATGATTTTAAAGATATTAGGATATGAAATTCAAGAGCGCCTGCGAGAATACTGCGAATCTCGATTTATTAATTAAAAAGAGTTAAAATCAATAAAGAAAACCTTCATAAAAGGGAATAAGAGACAAAAGCATGGAATCATCGACTAGAATATCTGAAATCTTTTATACTAAAAAACATTTTGTCACTACGTCCAAAAAGTCATAACAAATCACTCAGCTTAACCAACGATGTAGATGACGATACAGAATGCAGATGCATAAGGTTCAATAAAAAGCAAAATGTTCTTTTGTTGTTTCCAATCTTTATCGAAGATTTCTCTTTATTATCATATGAAATTCAATAGTCTTTATTTGAATGACTCGTGAACGTTTGTCTCTATCACGTTGAAACTTTGGTTGTTTGATTGAGATATAACCGTAATGACAGATATCTACGCGTGAAATATTCACACACTCAGAAAACTATTCTCATCACTCATTGTAACTTAAAATATTATAACATTACTGTTTTTTGTAGCGGTCAAAACTGATGTTATACGCTCCAAATTTTACAGAATTTGACTATTTAGTTTTAAACAAGATAAAATCATAATCGCATTTTAATAAGTCAATCTAGCTTTAAGAATATGAAGTCAAATAATGACATTACATTTTGGTTTACTCAATCAGCAGCAATGAATAACTCATTAGAAAAATATAACAACAGTAGAATTTTGTCAAATATTGATTGTTATTTCTCTTTCATGGAAAAATATCCAAATTGACCTGCATGTCAATAGTCATAGTGAAAGAGTGCTGCTACTAAAGATATTTATATAACACACGAAAAGTCCTTCCAAAATTTACTTAGCATTGTAGAGACATAGCTTTAAAAATTCAAAAAAATAACTAATAATCTATTCATAGACAAAAAACATAATACCAAGTAGAAGCAGTGGCTACTTTAAGATTATCATTAAGTCTGTAAAGTTTTCTCATGTCCCAGCATCGTTATATCTTAATGCGAAATCTTACCAGCTTCAGTGCTAGATAATTATGTTCTCATCATGGAACATTAATTTTTTTTTAAATTGAATTGAGATGCATAAAGCATATTCATCAATGAAAAGTAAGTTGAATTTACTATTTTTCAGCATTATTAACATTCTTACTGAAGTTAAATCATGACAACCAGATATGAAAGTTCCGATGTTAGAATTTTACATACATCGAATGAAAGATAATACTGTTTTATTTATCTGAACGAAAAGTCGGATAGTATGTACAGTTAAACAATAATACCGCTTTGCTAGCATCAATGTATCTAGTTGATCAATGTATCTAGTTGATCAATGTAAACATTAGAAATATTTTTTACATACATTCTTTTCTTATTTATTGAAGTGAAAGTTATGTTTTTTTGTTCTTCGTCTTATCTTTATCTCTCTGTGATCAAACAACATGTTTCATTAAAGTACATGAAACATTTATTAAAAATAGCTAATAACCACTAAAACGAAATCTTAATAAATGGAAAATAGATTTACATGTAAATCAATTGTTTCATCGTCTCCATCTTACCCGCCAATAAAAAAATTAGATATTATTACTTTTGCAATGGGCAATCCAGCAAATAAGATGAATGCAAGATTAAGTAAAAACAATCAACATTTATTGGGCTTAGATGCGTCGAATCAATTTGTTAAGCGGCATAATCTTGAATTGCAACGTTGTTCACAATTTTATTCGCTGGCTAGTATTTATAATGAAACAGCGACGAAAAATAAGCACGGAATCAATCGAAAAAATGTCAAAAAAATCTATTCCACTGGACGAAAATATATGGTGCGATTATTTATCTGTTCTTAATAGGGATTTGAATGAATTTGAATTAGATAATTTTTAAAATAAAAGCTTCTTTATGAAGATATAAAAGTCTTATTTTTAATAATATTAAAAGTAATAAAATTGAACTATAAACAATGTTAATTTTATACCTAATTAAATAGAAATAATTCACCCGTTTCAATATTTTAATCAGGTAAAATAAAAAGAGAATAAAAATTAAACTTTAAGAACATGCAATACTTGATCAAATGCCTGAAAATAGATAGAACCACAAGCAGTATGATGAATAATCATTATTTCTTTTATTTTGGTACTGATATTTGAGTAAAAATAAGCACACGGACAGCATCTAAACTGCGATCATTGCCTTGAATAAAATTTAAGTTTATTTACCATTTCGAATAGTATGTGTTTCATCCGACTTAAATCCAAGCATACGAAATATGTTCAACTGTGTATACATACAACAGTTAAATGTTTCGAAAGTAGAGATCGAATATCATAGATTTTTCATCATAAGTTCGAGCGTTATTAGTACACATTGACTCCGAAGTTCAAAAACTACGTGAATCAATAGCAGCTGTAACCAGTTTAAGTATGACTCATTTATGAGACTATCTCTATGATGATAACCTCGAAGTGCGAAAAACAGCAGAATGATCAAAATTTATCAAATACAAAACGAAACATAAATTGAAGATTAGAACTTTGCATCAAAGAGAGTCTTGGTATAATCAAATGTTGAAACCGACTTTGTAGATTATCTAATCTGCAAAATATCTATCTACAAAAACGAAACATGAAAGATCAGTTTGTACCCATATCAAGAGTAAAGTATTCTAAAAGCATCGATTGTCAGTCAAATTAACATACAAGATACGATATCATGCTTCATACTAAAGTCATTGTCAAACTAAAAATTATATTCATTTCTAAAAACTTTTTTAAACATTACTTGTAAGCTATTGATTACGTAAAGATAAATAAGAATATTGAGAGAGATAAAACAAAAGAAAAATGTTTCGCTCTGAAAAAGTCTATAGCATTGAATCACAAAACTCCTAAAATAATGATGGATTTGCTTTTAAGAATTATTATCATATAGAATGATGAATCCATGTAACATTTTAGCATGTTGCAAGAAATGATGAAAATATTTGTTGAAATTTATGATAGAAAAATTCGATCATGACGAACAAGCAAGTCAAATATCATCGGTACATCAATTTCGAAAGTTGCTTTTAAAAAGAATTAACAACCATATTTATCGAAATTATATGTTCGATTTTTTATTAACAATCTTACAAAACTGTTTTAATGAGAAACAAAAACGCTACAACTTTAACAAATGAAAGATTTTCTTTTTTTGACAGATTTATTTTACTGGTGGTAATGCTTTCAGTATATCATCACCTATTTCCGGTGCTGATTTCTTAATTAAATCATCAACAACTTGTTTCTCTAGTTCTTTGCTTTCAATGACATCTTCGTCACTAGGAAGAAATGGTGTAACATCAACTCGAAATTCTTCTGTTGATGGTGGACAATAGACGGAACATCCAGTTACAAATGGGCCAACTTTTGTCTGTGAATGAGTGCTCACTTGTTCGATCAATGCTTGAAAATTCTCTATTAATTGTTCTTGAGGCATATTTATCTAAATTTAATTTATAAAACTAAACATAATTTGAAAGCATCGAACTTACTATGCCAAATCGAAGTTCAAGTATGCCACGAGCTTCTTCATACTTTACTGATTGATATTCTTTTCCACGAATAAATTTTTCTAACATTTTATCAACATTGGGATGAAGACTACCTACAAACAAAAGTTACTTTTAATTTAACAAATAGCTGAAATTAATACCATATTGCGGGTTTGGAAATTTATCTTTGGAAATTTTCTTTCTTAAATGCAAAATATCGGCATAAACATCTGGTGCACATAATACATATTCGTAATTTGTATCTGTAACATCACCTCGTTCAAACTAAAGAAAGAAAGAGTTATTTCAAAATAATAAAATAAAATAAATTTTTTATATTCTACTTGTTTAATCACTTCAGTATAACCAGACATGTAGGCACCATGTTTTTCTATACAAACAAATCAATAGAATAAAAAATAAACAAAATAAAATAGTTACCAGCTGCTTTTATATGTTCAGGAAGCTAAAAATAGAATTAAAGAATTAAATTAATATAAAAGCAATCAAGTAAAATGACTTACTCGACAGAAAAGCACAACATTTTTACGTGGCCGATCTTCAAAATAGTGTGGAAATGTTACTAAACCTCTGACATTTTCAACAAATTTTGTCTAAATATACGTATGAATAATTTAAAAAAAATCATTGTATATTCAACAAGAAAAACCTTCTTCGGTGTTGTCATATCAAGTTTAAGTCGTGCCCAAACAAATGAATCCATTGAATTAAGCATTCTTGGTTGCACCATTTCTCGATGCCATTCCAAAACTGTTTCAAGTGACCATGATCGAACAGGATATTCTTTTGCTAGCCATATTTTATCAATCGGTTTTCTTTTAGCAAATTCATCATCATAAATAGCATCAGCTTCCATAATGCGAGCTCTAAAAAATAGCAAGAAAACAACTATTCGTTTGTTTTCTCTCTAATGAACGATTATGTTGATTCCATACACAGTCTTTTTCTGCGCCCATCTATCGCTTGGCTTTGTATGTGTTGGTACTCGATGACGATTGACACGTCGAACCATTTTTGTTCGTATAGATGGTTGAATGTTGACAGTTGGACGAAGAATTGATGAACATCCTATACCTGACCATAGCTGTCGAACAAATAGACTTGCCATTCTTTTATCTGAAAAAAAAAACATAAATTAATTAGCTTTTTAAAATTTTTAATACATCAATTTTGCTTTTAATGACAAGAATAAAATGTTTATTTATGCGCACATACAGAATAAAAACTAAATCATTCAAATACTCTAGGAAAGAGCACTTTCGATAAAGCAACGATAGAAACAATAATTATCGGAATTGCATAATAGAATTTTGATCGTGGTACTCGAACATTTTGATATTTGCGATCTAACGAATAGAAAACTTATTATTATTCTAAATGTAGAATAAATGAAATGATTTACTTTGACTTTCATAAGTATATGAATCAATCTCATAATCTTTTGATTGGTTATTGTCACGAAATGATACTAAAATTTCTGATGCTGCACGTCGTCCAGCGTCAACTGCTCCATCCATATAACCCATCCATTGGCTAGCTGTCTCCGTACTAGCAAAATGAATATTTGTAAATGGTTTTCTTAGACCATCAACAAAATCCTTCATTGATCCTGTTGTTACATTATGACATGGACATCCACCGGAATATGGTTCTAAATTCCAATCCTTTTCAACATATTCAATTAAATGACTGGTTATTTTATGACCACCAAAATATCGAGAAAGGCATTCAGTTAAAGCTTTACGTCGTTCTTCAAATGTTACACTTGTCCAAACAGAAGCACATCGACCACCGATAAAGCCTATTAAAGCAGGTGTACCATTTGAACTTGTGCCATCAATCAAATCTAGACAAAAGAAAAAGAACAAATCATAAAGAAAATGACTAACTTGTTGGATAATTTCAAAATTTTCTTACAAGTCAAAGGTCCAATAGAAAGTCCAAGGGAAGTAAAACTTCCATCACTAACTACTTCTCCACTAAGACCATCTTCTCGCCAGAATGCCTATTAATATTAAACAAAATTTGATATGTTTTCTAATAAAAATAGTCTATATACTTTATCAAAAATAAAAATAAATTTGAGATAACTACCAATTGGCATATGTTTAAACAGTTCACGTTTATATCCTGGTAACATTGGTTCAAACTGTATTGGAACTAGATTAAAATAAATAAATAAATAAATAAATGATGAAATAAAACGTAAAATAGAATACTGATTTGCGAAGGTGGAATAGCTAAAATAACTTTGCGACACTGAATTGTTGCTTGATTTTGGGTAGTAGTAACCAAAATGGTACCTTCAAAAAGTACATTAAACCAAATAATTAAATTATACAACATGAAAATTATACAAAACCATCTTCTTTTTGTACTATTTTTTGTACGGGTGTTTCGAGTCGAACATGCTCGGTACCGATACGTTCAACAAGTATTTGAGAGATTTGTTGTGATCCACCCTAGAATAGTATATGTTGATGATAATTCCATTGAAAGTTAATTTTCCTGTTACTTTAATTTTCTTTTCTTGTGCACAACCAGGATCGGTTAATGTTAATCTCATAAATCCCCCGCTAGCTTGAGCATATGTTAAAGCAAAAAGAGCATTTAATTGTTCAGGTTCACAGCCGAATATAGTTCGTACAGCAGCAGCAAATAATGGTTTTGCACCTATGTAATTAGAAGAAGAAAAAAGTAAAATAAAACTATATGACGATCATTTAAACACTTACTATTACGTATACATGGTTTCATTAAATCTGCAAGTGTATGCTGATCAAGATAATCAGCATTTCTTGTCATCATAGGATTCCATGTTGGAACAGTTGATACTAAATTTTCAAGCTATCAAAAAAAATAATTAAAATATAGACAAAACTAAAATTATTTCATCTCATTTTTTTTTCTCACTCGAAAAACATTATAAATACTTTCAAGAAATGAAAGTAAAGAAATAAATGGTATTGGTAATGCATATTGTTTTATATGACGACATAATTCTGCTATACTTTTGCCTGTATGATATTGCGGATATGTTTCTAATTCTAATTCATTGAGTAATGCTGTGATATTTTCTTGTGTACTAAATATTGTAAAATAGAATAGCTGTAAATGTTGATAAAGATATGTCCTACTCAGTCACCCATTGACCACCAAGATCAAAACGATCTGTTTCATTTCCATCGCGAGATGTTTTAAGATCAGCTGTTAATGTTCGACCACCAACTCGATCTTAATTTATAGTAAAAGTAATTAAATTTATTTCATTTAGAATTTATCTTATTTACCTTTTGCTTCAAGTACAAGTATTTTAAGTTCTGGTGCTTTTTGTTGCAGTCGATAAGCTGCATAAAGGCCTGATATTCCAGCACCTACGACAATAACATCAACTATTGCTTCTTCTGCCATTAAATACTTTTACTATCTACAAATAAATCAGTAAAAAAAAATAAGATAAAGGAATCATTGATAGATCGTGTTCACGAAACGAAACGTGAATTCAATCAAAATCAGACATTTCCAAACAGAATGAAGAAAGTGCAAAAAAACCCACTATCGTTACCTTGGATGGCTTATATAGATAATCACAAAAAAAATACTATCGCATCAAAGCAAATAAAGCAGCACCATAAGCAGCATCAGAATTTTCTTCAAATATAACTTGACACTTTACTTTTTCTTTAAGTTCTCGTTGTAAAACATCGTTTCTCATTAAAGCACTACCTGTACCGATGACACATTCCATCGTTAAGGATTCTCTTCCTAACATTTCAAATAAATTTTTAATTATCCATCGGCACATTGAACGAAATACTACACCAATATCATTCAATTGAGCCATATTCATTGAACGAATATTTGTTATTGACGCTGCCATGGATGGATCATGTCGTTCACCAAATAAAGCAGCCGAAAAATTTTCAATTGTTGATGACGAATGAAGACCAAGTTCAATTAATCGAGACCAAAGGCTATCCAGTGATAATGATGAAACATTATACAAAGATACATGCCACGAATGAATTAACTGAACAAAAGCAGACAGAATATTACCACCATTAAGTGAAGCAGCAACTAATAAATCTTTTGAATCAAAATAAGGAACACGCATTGATGATGATACTGATGCTGATGAGAGACTATCATTCTGTGGACTTGATACAGTTGATACTTCTCTATCGACAGTTAAAGCAAGTTGTGCTGATGTTGAAATATTCATAACGCATTGATTTTTATCTGGTTGACAACTAAATACAGAACATTGCAAATCGCCAAGAGCAACATAAACAGGAACTTTCGTCTTCCAATAACCAATAATAGTGCCTGGTTCAACGATGGTTGGTAACAGCCGATGTTCAATAGGCCATTGACAATTTAAAGCACCCCAACTAGTCGCCATCTGAGTTGATATTTGTGATTTCATTTCTGAATCTTCACAAAGAATGGTAGCAATATAATCAGCAATCGTACCAGCTCGGTCGTATTCCATTAATTTATCTTCTTTCCCGTTTTGTTCATTAATTAACCATAATAAGGTAGCTAAACCATAACCAGTTCGTAGATGTGCTAAAGATGATCCAAGTGTCGAAAAAAATTCAGTTGAACATCGTTGATCTTGCCATGTAACCAATGAAGAAACTTTTGTACGTGATGATTTTGATGACCAAAGCATAAAACCATGCATTTGACCACAAATTTGAATCGATTTGATTGGAAAATCATTATTAAGAATACCCGATTTTTCTAAAAGTATATTAACAGTTTCAAGAATTTTTGATGTAGATTGTTCATCAAATGAAGTGAATTCATTTTGAATAATATGAGCGTTGTGAGTAATTTGTTCGGTAAAAACAACACGATTGCTTTCATTTGATGACGATGATGATGATGATGATGATGTAACAACACAAATTTTACATGATGTCGTACCAATGTCTAGGCCCACAGAATACATCTTCAAAAACAAAATAAAAATAAAGATAAGAAGAGTAACAGTCAACTCCAAAAATAGAAACGAACTATATCATCGATGAAAAGTCAGAAGAAAATACTCGACATATCCCATCTTTTTAATCTATTAAATATAAAGTAGTAGCTATTGTTGTCTCTTTTGCTAGGACTCGGTTGTCATTTGTAATTCCTTTTAAAATATTCTAGATATAATTTAGCATAGAATTACGTGTTTCATGTTTACATATTTATTCCATTAACTTGAAAAATCAGCATGATTCATAGGTGATTTTATAAATTAACTAATATCTCTGGCAAAAATTGACTTGATCTACTATTTAAATTATAATAAAAATGTATCAACAGTTGAAGAAACTGTTGGTTTTGAATTAGGTTTTAGCAAGATACAAAACAAGATCTTAGCATATACCGATAACGATATCAACATCTAGGAACAACAAAATTGGACTGGATAGAATAAAAGCTCCAGTCGATAAAAAGAAAAGAGATGTCAGTATTTGTCGAGAGTATACCATTCGACGCGTTATCAACTTTATATGAACTATTTAAGAAACGTTCAATGATCTTTTAGTTTATTTTTTTTTTGTAAAACATGATTTTTAAAATATCATCTGAAGTTATTTTTTTCTGAACTGCCTATATTTTCGCAGTTCTTGCAACAGACGAATATATAGAAAGAACAAATATAGTCTCTTAAAGATGGCAGAAAGATTCATTTTATTTTATGTTTCCTTAAATTTAACATCAGCAAGATTACATTAATAAAAAATTATTTCTGATAGTTATTTTAATATTTTATGACAGAAAATACTGTATAGACAATTGAAACACCAATAAAAAGTTTCTGTTTGTGTTGCCTTAGTTTTCGTAGTTACCTGTTACTGTTAAGAGACCAAAAGCTGAGAGGTTTTATTTTTGTTTGCTACTGTCACATTAGCTCGTATTATGTTAAGCAAATGCTTGTAGCCTTCGACTATATCATCTTTTCAACGTATTCTTAAAGTAAAATAGGTGCATGAGTACAATGAAAAATTCAATAGAAGTCATGCATCGCTTTTGTCCTTTATTGTTCTTCATTCAACGACGAAATAATCACTTTGATTCAGTATGTAAATGAATCTTCTAAAAGACGATTGCTTGATTTGCGTATCTTCCAAGATTACTGAATTCAATATGAGTATTTTCTTAATTTGAATTATTCGAAAAACAAAAATAATACAAAATGAGAAATCTTCGCTTGCTTTTTGATTCGAAGAATTTTACTAATATGAATTTTAAGCAAATCAATTTTTTGAAGAAATGCACTAATTGAATATAATAAAATTTAATATTCTATAAAAGGAAATAGTAATTTAAAGTCTCAATCATTCACATATCATATTTGTATTGATAAATTCCAAATATAATAATTTATATTCTCAAATAGAAGTAAACAACGAAAATTAACTATTTTTAATCAAAATATTGTACGCCGAAGAATATTATATCTATTTTTATATTTATCTATGGTATCATTTTGATAATGCATTTCGAAGTTTTAGATAGTGTTCATTATACACTGGAAATTAAACGTCAAAATGGCTATATTTTATCTTGAAGAAAAATACATTTCTTCATTTGTTTTATTTTCAATCAGTTTTTACTTATTAGTTAATATCAATCAAAATTCAAGATATCTTCATTAATAATGCATATTTCATCTTTTATTTTACAAAAAGTAACTTTCCTCAATATTACACGATATAAGTACTAGGTCAGTTCATAAATAGAACCACTTGGTTGAATCGGTTTAGGGAATATTTGATTCCGATGTAACTTACATATGATGGTGTTTCATGGCGTCTAGTTTTGACTAAAGCCCAACATTTTCTCAGAAGAACGTTTTTAACTTGTCGACGAAAACGTGATGATACCATCAAAAACACATAGAAATTGATCTAAAATATAATTCAACATATCAATGAATAATAGTTTTGAGAGACGAAGAGAAGTTTGCTTGGCTTTTTAACTTACCGCAAAATTAGCATAAAACACTGAATCAAGTATGGACGATATTAAACTAAAGATTGCCAATTCTAAATAATTATCTTCATGAGTATTTATATTAAGTTCCCAAAGTGAACTACAAATAAATGGTAAGCCACATACAATAAGAACCAGAACACGTGCCAAAGTCATTACTGCCATTTGCCGAGTTAGACGTTGACGGATTACCAGTAATTGTAGGCGAATAACTCGACGAACATTATGATAAGCCAGTAAACTAAATGCGAGAGTAATAGTCATTGGTAATAGACAAAAGAATAGTAACGCTGCATTGTTGGATTGTATACTGTACAGCCCATGGACGATTGAATCTCAGTGAAAATAAGAAACGTAATACTGTGCAACACCGCAAAACAAATATTGCAACATGTAAGATGCTGCGCTAATTTGCGTGTACTTATTTTTCGACAACTAGATCGAACATTTGTCGATAAATACTAATCGAAAGAAAGAAAACATACACTAAATAGAGAACAGAGACCAAACACTTCTAAAATCATTGTTCGTATTTTACACCAACTAATTGAAATTTGAAACGGATTATAGCCAAGACTATTAGTTAAAAGTTCTGATGCATGCATTACAAGAAGTAAACCGATGTTAAAGATAGATTCAATAGTAAAATAGAAAGCGGATTGATTTCGTTTAAAAACTCGTAGAGTAGTAAAAATAAAAATGGCTGCAATATTACCAATGATTCCACTGATTAAATTAAAAATACCAGTGTATAATACATATATATCTCTAATAGAATGAATTTTTTGAATTAAATCTGATAATAACTTGTTGATTTAAATATGATAAATCTGTTTTTATTTTGTAGATCTATAAGTAAATAGATTAAATCAATGGGGGAAAAAATCACAACTACGCCAACAGATCATCAATATTCTTTCTAGAAGTTTGAAGTGTAAAAGTATCTAAATAGAAAGCAAAGTATGATAAATTTCAATCGATCAGTTGTTAAGATGTGATTACATCAACTTATCGCATAAAAATCACGAATCAATTAGCTATTCATACATATGAAAAGAAGATTAGCAAACACAAGTCTAGTTTTTCTTTTCGATCGTTCAAAGAAGTAATCTACAGAAAATGCAGGTAAATGTTTTTCTTCAAAGAAAAACAGAAAGGTCTTTTATCAAAGCCAATTCGAAGAACAAAGTATTGTATCTCAGTGGATGATTATAAAATAAATGGGACATTCAATAGACCTCTCCAATGAAACAGTACCGAGTTTTAGTTCATTACAAAGAATTAACTTTGCGGCAATTTAATTATATATATATATTCTACTAGACTATAAACAGTTCTATGGAACATTTTTATTGTATTGAAAATAAAGGGGAACATTCATAATATGTTTGACATTGTATAGGCAGATTACTTTGTTGAACGAAAATAAAAACCCATGCAATATATATATAATAGAAAAGAAAATATTTTGAGATTGATTTTAGAACACTTCGACATTTTGCAATGTGACAATGATTTCTTATAGTTATGCTTCATGTATTTTAAATTAAATATAAATGTACACATTTCAATGATAGATCAAGTCTAGCTGATAGTTTTCATTCTTTTTTCGGATGATTGTGTGTTGAAAGAGCATCAGTGAAGTATTTTGACAGAGATTGCACGAGAGATCTGTATTAATCATTCATTTTTTAAAACTTTCTCTTTTTCAAATCGGGACTGATTTATTATTCAGATAGAAATAACAAGATTAGCGACTCATTTCTAACGGAGTTTTCTATGCTCTAATCTGTAGTGGAGTTAAAAAAACATTCAATTGAAATTTATTAACCACTGCAATAAAAGCTCACAAAATTTTATGTTTATACATTCACCAAGAAGAAATAGCTATTGTTGATAGGTTTTAATTAAGATCAAAAGAAGAAACAAAATCTTTCTTTGGATGTCTCGGGATAAACTAAAAATGTATAATAATGAACAAGATAAACATGTCAGAGGTCTTCCGCATCCTTTATACCGTAAGTGATAGTTGATAAAAATCAAATCGATTAGTAAATTTCAATTGTAATTATTTATATACAGTAATTTCTGACAACAACAATACAGTTTGTCTGTATGAAAGAACAACTTTTACTTTATTCAGTTTCATTCCAAAATAACTAATGTGCTACCAGGAGTCTATATGGTTTTTTGTAGAGATGTTTCGGTTCAATTTGAATTAGTTTAAGCTCTCTCTTTTCCGCCCAAAAATATAGTTTTTCTTCCAAAAAAAGACATCTGACAGTAAATTTAGGGCAATATGTCCTTGGATATACATAACACACAGTAAAACGTTTAGATGAAAATATCGAATCGTTCGAGATACATTCTTGCGCAAAGGTTCACAAGGTATGTTGCTGTATTATAAAGATTCCTCTTCCAAATCTCATGATACCTAATTCAACATCATGCGAAGCTGCCAGTAATACCTGGCCCTGTAACTTGGCAACGCTCGTTTTTTCAAAATGTTGTTTCTGTTCATCTGGTGAAAACTATTCTTAAAAAATTGCGAGAAATAACTCAAAATAAAAATCCAATTGAACTAAGTTGTAAAACACAGCTTTTCTCTTCACTTTAAGATCTTTTCGAGATTTCCTGTACGTTATTATAATGCTAGAGAGCTCTTTGAAATGAAAAAAGAAAACACAATAAATAATGTATTCACATGAATCGCACAAATTCTGAGAAAATTACAGAAACGCTGGTGAAAAAAATAAGTATATTCTTCTGAAAGAACAGGCACACATAACGAACATTGTCTAAAAAGTTTTTTTTTCTTGATTCGCGTATCTTCGATAAAACGTCTGTATAGCTGTGAAAAGGTGATGGAAAACTGATTCAGCAGATTGTTTTCGAAAGTTGACACTAAAAGGCTATATAACATTGTTAAAATATCAAAATCGAATTTTTTGACGAAAATTTTGAGTTTTGAGTACGAGTGGAGATTTAAGTGAGTTCAACTAAAGTTTTAATCATGAGTACAAATTTTGTCTCTCATTGTCATTGGACAACAAACAATAAACACATGCGGTCAAAACAACAGAATTATTTTAGTAGTATCTCTATATGAAACGATTTTATAAACGTTACGAAAAACTACACCAAAACGGAAGATTTCCTTTAAATTGTAACGTGTAACAGCAGAATTTTTGGTCTATTCTAATCTGTATATTTGGCCACTTGTAAATACAGTTATTAATTGATCATGCTCAATTTTAAGCACATTTCATATAATTCTTTAGATGCTATCGTTAATCATTACAATGAATAATAAAAGTACTGTAAAAAGTTACGTTAGCAATTGCATGTTTGATTAATTTGTTTTAGGTTACAGATCTGTATCAGTAGTCATTTAAAGTCAGTTTCATGTTTCATGATATGTCAACATCATAATCGATTTCTGAGAGAAATGCAACCGGAATTTTTTCTTTTTTTTTAAAAGAATATAAGATAAAACTTTTCATTAAACGAAATATGATTTCACATGGAGATGTAATTTCTATTGGGCCAAACCAATATTGAACTGATATTTCGTTTTTGTTGTAAAAATATCTTTTTCTTATTGTACACGCCATCAAGACACACTATGGAATAGACACCAATCGCATAACATATTTCAATCAACAATATTCGGAATTAATTGACATTACTAATTTATTCTATTTGATGTTTCCTTTTGAGCAGTAGTTACATTGTTAATTGATTAGGAAGAAATCAAAATATGAGAAACTACGAATTCATTTACAATAATCTATAAGTTTCATAGACAAGATCCAATATTGATCATAGATACCATGAAAGAAAGCAAGACATTCGTTGAAAATATTAAGATAAAAATTAATTTTTATAAATTGTCAAAAGATAAATATTGCAAATGACTGAATTGAAGAAGAAGAAAAAACAATCAACTTTTATTAACACATTTTTTGATTAGACCGATAACTGAGCCTATTATCTTATGAATGTCAATGAATCTGATAAACACGAACTATATATTCAAAATAAATATTACAAACAAATATACCTGATGTATTCGATAATACCATAAGAAAACACGCGAGTAGATAATCAGAAATAGATGATCTATTTTTGCGCATGCATTGCTTGATATTATGTATACATGAAATTCTTTTTCTCTATCCGGGACTTGATTTAGACAACAGTTTTCTGAATTACCTATATACCAATATTTTTCTAAAAGTGTTTTATTTTAACGATAGCCTTTTTTTCTTCTGACTAATTCAAATAATGAAGACAACATTGACTCTTCATCATCAGCTTGTCACGCATTGGCACTTGATAACTATCAATGAATACAACATTTATCAGCCATGTCCAACTTCTCACTATCCACTTTCGACATGCAAACATACACTTGAACAAAGTATAACCATCACCAGTGCAAAAGTTAATATACATGACAAGAAAAAGAAAACTAGTTTTATCCTTCAACGAAATTCATCGTTATTCTTTATCACTAAATTAAGAGTTCTCTTTATTTCTCTCTTACTCTCTTTTGATCATGAATTGTCGTGTTAGTGTTAGTCGTCGTGGACAGCTTGTGCTTGACATATTTTAATATCCGTCAATTAATAAGCGATGATGGGAGAGCAAATATATACACAAACACAGTTCTCGTTTCATTGAATGACAGATAATCATGTTCAATTGGATTTTATTGAGCAAAAGAGAGAGAGAGAGAGAGAGAACGAGGTGTTATCTCTCTCTTCTTCTCTTACATTGCTAACTCTGCTTTTTTCTTGCTTACGTCAATTATTGACTGAAGAACGCAGAGAACAACTACAGAAAAATTAGACGATGATGATGATAATTTTGATTGATCGATCATGAGTCTCGTTTTCTCTCCTTCTCTCTTTCTTCGCCAGTTTCTCTATGTTTTTCAACAAGTTATAGTAGAATCATTTATGCTTTTGGTTGAATAAGTGAAAATCATGACAACATTTTCAATAGCTTCGATTCTCGGTGATCAAAATGATAAACACGAAGAAGAAAATAGTTCTATTGAAGAAGAAGAAGAGCAACAACAACAACAGCAACAATTTATTTTAAACAATGGTGTACAACATTTGTACAATTTATTTTGCAAAAATGCTGTTGTTGCGGCTCATTTAAATGAACAAAATCATAACAAAAACAATTCAATAAGATCTTTTTCACTTGGATCAGTTCCATCTTGTTCAAATGACTTTTATCAATTACATAAACTGAATGGCGCATCCTATCAAGGTAACTATCATTTAGACTTATTCAAATGGATACATATTTATGTAGTTGAGTATATCAGAAATTAGCAATTGATTCCAAGCGTAAGTCTGTTTTGATAATAAAAAAAAGAAGTAATTATTGACTATTGATGTTGATTGATTTTTTTCTTGTTGTCTCTTACTCTCTCAGACATCGAGTTCATTAATTGCTTATTGATTATGGTAAGATGCGATTTTTCACACATTCCTCTTTTTTTTCATTTGCTGATGTTGTCGATGATCAGACTAAGAGAGATAGAGGAAGTCGGTATAATTGTTGACACACATGATCAAAAGTCAATTGAGCGCCCAATATATATTTGTTCAACTTATTACTATGATCAAGAAATTGATGTGATGATTATATGCATCTACAATGATGATGATTGCAGCAGGAAATAACACCGTCTAAAATGAAAAGAATAAATTTTGTTGTTTAGGTCCGACTATATCTTATTATGGAAAATCTCGTCGTCCGCGTACGGCATTTACATCTCAACAATTGCTCGAACTTGAAAAACAATTTCGAGAAAATAAATACTTGTCAAAATCAAAAGTAAAATGTGAAATATTTTGGTTTTATTCTCTGAAAAATTGTGGTATTCATTATTTTATAGCGTTTTGAAGTGGCCACATCTTTAATGCTAAGTGAAACACAAATCAAAATATGGTAACAAACGGAAATTTTCCTTTGAATTGTAATTCGTTTTTGTTTTGTTTCGTATTAAATCACTAGGTTTCAGAATCGTCGAATGAAATGGAAACGTAACAAGAAAATGCCATCTGGTACTTTAGAAGAATCGCCAACATCAATGCTTATTAAAGGAGAACCGTCCGATATGGCTGATTCAATATCGTCATTAGTTACTATGAGTCCTACTTAAACTCTATTTTTACTTTTTTTTTCATATGGATATGCTTCTTTTTTGTTGCAAAATAAAATGTAAATGAGTAGTGTGCTTGTTTCATTATTTGTTTATATGTATTAATATGGAGTGTTGAAAATGAAAGATTAGTTTAATAACTAAACCATATATGAAAATATGAAATATGTTAATATAAAGAGATTTAGCGTATTCTAATTTAATGCGTAGTTTTGTTTCGTCTCAATCTATGGATTTCTATGACGAATGATATAAAATTCAAAAGAATTGTTATAAATTAAGCAAACTTTCAAATTTTACAATCATACCTTCATTAGAATGTTAGTACGAAACTCGAATAAAAAAAAACCAAATTTTTTTCTTTGAAATGCCAAATATATTTTGATTATTAGCTTCTGTTATGTAAATCCCAAATCAAATATTTTAAAATCTCATAGAATTATTTATTTATGAAAAGATTTTTTATTGATGAATTGATTCAAAAACAAAAATTAAAAAAACCATCTCGATGATATTGACTATGAACAGTTATTATTTTTTTCATAAATCAATTGTATTTTTTGGCTGATTGTTGCAGGAACATTTTGTGATATTTCAAGAAAAGTATTAAAAAAACCCTTTTTCTAACTTTATTAAAAATATTTTAATAAAATCTCGTCAATATTATTGAGTAGTAACAAATCATTTCTAATATTAAACTTTACTATTGGTGGTGGCATACAATAACGAGCTAGTACAATTTAATCGAAAAACAATTTACTAGCTTTAGTCTGGTAAAATAATTCGATAGATCATACTTCGTATTGAATTATCAACTAAATACATTGGTATGTCTTGTTAGTAACAAACTCTTAATCTTTAAGAATGACTATTAGTGTAACTTTATTTATCCGATATGAATCAGCAAATACATTAATAAATAATTCAATGGTGTGTAGATTTCTGCTATGCTCAGATGTTATATATAAGAAACGGTGATCTCTGATTTAAAAAAAGGAGTTTTTGTAACTCAGATGAATATTTTTGAATAAATCTATTCAATATTTTATTATTTCATTCGTTTCATTACTGTTGGCGTTTGAAATAGACGTCTAATGAAGAAAGTTTGAAAAAGTGAACAACTAATTATTAAAAAGATGTGCATAATTGCCCATCGATTAACCCATACTAAATTTTGTTCAACTAAATAAAGATCTTTCTGATTAAGCATTTCCATTTCAATTTGTTGTTCACGTGTAACAATAATCTGATAAGAAATAGCATCAATTGCATTCTGAAATAGGTGAAAAAAGTTAAATATTCGATTAAACAAAAAAATCATGACATACATGAGCATTAATTGACGAATTATCAAAGTGTTCAACTTCTTTTATACTAGCTAAAATATTTTCAAGATGATAACGATGAAAGAATACAGAAATATATTTCACATAGGTGTCTGATTTTTCATGAGTCATGCAAATGTCGACCAAAGCTAAATAAATAATAGAATAAATAGTAAATCAAAAATGATTTGCAAATAAAATAGTCTCACTTGTTTCATTTGCTATAAGTTGAAGATGACCCCGTTGAGGAGTCGTTGAGATAGCTAAAATACTTCCATTATATGCATTCCGAAAATAAGCTATAATACTGCTATCATGTTCATGAGCGTTTAATATTTCATACATCAAATAAATGCTTGTTCCATTCTCTAATAATTCATGATAACATTCTTGAGTATCTGGTTGTAGCCAAAATTTAAAACGCATTTCTATTTGTAATAAAATGTTCCAAATTTATCAATTAAATTTTTACTTGAATCTTATTTACCTTTCAAATGTTCAGAATCACCTGTTACGGCAATAAAAGCAATACTACTCAATAGTAGAAACCGCGTATAGGTCAGTATCATTTCGTTTTGTCTCCGTCGGGTTTGTATATCAGTCAAGGTAAAATCGACTCCTCCAGAATAATGTGTGGTATGACTACTATATCATATGTCGAAAAAGAGAATGAAAGAGAAAGAATAGAGCAAAATAATTGATCATCTATTTGCATAGGGATTTTGAATTGTGTGCTTTGTTTGTGTCTATCTCATATTCATGATACCCATGCACGAACAGGATAAAGAACGAAAGAAACATTGAGAGAACTGTGTTGAGTATTCATATAGAGTTCGAGTTCAAACATGTATAAAAATACTATTTTCGTATAAATTTGTTGATATTTAATCACTTTTGTTTCATCAGGTTATTCTATAGATACCTGGCGCCTGCTTTTTAAGCATGTCAATCTATCATTTTCTTCTAGCTATCTATTGTTAAATCATCATTGTCAAATTCGTTCGATATCCATGAATCATTCTTTTTATCGAAGGATTCATTTAGAAAGTACGTTGATATTTATGTTCCCGTAATCAGTAGTTACCTTGATTTTATTTCCATCTTATTAAAATGTCTTGTCATCATCAGCACTTTCTTGATTTGTATTGCGATTTACCCAATGAATTGCCTATTGCATATTCTGAACCACAATACTTATTGTATTATCGACAGAAAAATAAAGTTATATGTCGAAATACAAATGCAACGGAACCAACATTTTTAGTGCAACCATCAAAATATAAATCAAAGAACTTACTTCATCCTTACAGAATTTCGAAAGCTCGTTGTACGAAGTATTCCAAGACTTCGGAAAAAGGAACAATTAACAAGATAATGTCTATTGAGTCTCAAGATCATGAAGTCGAATTCTATATGATGAAAAATTCAATGATGCCTGTAACAGCTCGTCATTCATTACAAATGGCTGACGGTGATAAAATAAATCAAAATGTTCTAGAAAATTATTTTGATCCATCTCAACAACAAAGATTTACAAGTGATCGTGAATATATTATCAAAATGTTACAGAAAGATGTAATACGTCCAGTACCACATAAACCAATGTCTAATGATCGATTAAAAGTATCATCTGTGAATATAATAACGAAACATGAAATGATTTTTATTCTTATACTGAATACTATTTTTTCTACAGCATTTCAATTCATTCGGAAATTCAATTTCTACTTTTTCTTCTTCTCAAATTTATGAATCAACATTACCAATAAATCGTATTTCTACATGGCGTAAACTTCAAGCAAACATAACACCATTTCATTACAATCGTATTCAACAATTTCAACAACGATATCATTCATTACCAACTACTCATCCTATCATGTTGTCACCTCTTCACAGCGAGTCACGGATGGATAGTCCCGAAGCATCAAAAATATACTCGAATGCCATCGATTCTCATGTTTCCTTTACATCAGTGTCGATTGATTCTCCTATTCATTTATCGGATTCGAAAGTGAACCGTAGAATCATGCAATTAGGCAGTGTAGATCAAAATATATTGGATAACGAGAAAAATTATTCGTATGCGATAAACCCTAATGCAAGTGCGTTTAAGATAGTAAATCAATCAGAAATATATCCTACAGACAATATAGCAATTCAAAATGAAAGTAATATAGTATTCGACAGAAAACTATACTGTTTATATTGATTACATTTCTATTGATCGTATTAGTAAGATCTTTCAAGAAATCAATAATGCATTCCCCATCAACATTTTCCGATAATGACTCTAAAAATGACTCAAATACAAATGTGTTAGTAAAAATCTCATCTAATGTACCATTATTAGACGAAATGGAGAATATTGAAAAGTTGACAACTTTTATTGAACTGCCATCTCCATCAAAATTTTCATCCATTGTTTTCAATCATATTCTGCCGTCATTTCCCGTAATTGTATCGACAAAATTCATTTCAACATTATCAAGCACTCATCCTGTTGAATTACATTCTTATCGTCAATTTACTAATGCTATGAATATAACTGAAATTTTAAATATGGATTCATCATCCCCACAACCATCAACGCCATTAATCAAATCCAAGGTTGTCGACGAAAATCATCAATCGAAAAAAGTACATTCACTATTGGAATCCATAGAAGAGTTATGTTTTTTAATTCGAACACTTCTTCAACATGAACGAACTGATCAGAAGATAGCACCATTTCAAACGACAATTGTTAGTGAACTTGCAATCTTATTAACCCATTTAGCAACACCAAACAGCGAGAAAGTGATTTCTGAATCGATGACGAAACATACTATCGACAGAATGATATCGACTGATGAAAATGATTTTCCTTGTCAACAACGTCGAGTTTCAACCATTGAAACACAGACTGATTGCGACTTGACAATGCAATTAAATGACAAAATTTTTTGGACTGAACCAATCCATAATAACTTGGTTGATTTTTCAATTCAAGAACTATCATCATTTGAAATAAAACAACAAAATATTTTTGCTACATCACCATCATTTCAAAAATTAAATACTCACACAGAATTAACATCAACGAGTGGCAACAGTAATGAATTTATTTGTAATTAATATCCTCTATTTCCTCTTTTTTTTCTAGTTACTGTTCACTTACCTGGTGGTCGACCTAAGTATGTTTTTTCAGATACATTCATTTATCATACACGGCATCATCAAAAATATTCATCATCCTGCCAACAATTAATATCAGTTTCTGATACAAATATTCACGCAATAATGAATAGTTTTCATCATCACCGGACAACAAAAGAAGAAATTAAACAATTATTGAAACGTGCTGGACAAATATTTTGCCGCTATGTTGAATTAGAATCTTCAAATACATGTTTAGAAGCTAGCACTGAATTTACGCCAGATTTTCTTTTAACACCAATGAATAATTTAAAAAATGATGGTGCTGATAATGATCAAACAGAACAATTTGGTATTGACACGGAACAACAAGGTTATGAAACTGATAGAATATCGTTTGGTTTCGGTGATCAACCAGAAAAATTCGATACACTTACATTTAATTCAACTGAGAAAGAAAATTATGATAGTCTAGATCTTGATATTGAACAAGGTTAAAAAAGACTTCCGTATTTTTTATCCATCTTTCAAACTGTAATTTAGATCACGACGCGCATCCACTATTCACTTCGGTTGATATTCATCAATCAAATCAATATTCAATCAATCACTTGAATATTGCAGAAGATGGTATAGTAACAATGCTAGTCATTGAGATCAATAATCTCTTTTTTTCTCTAGTCAATCAACTTCAACAAAGAAAATTACTTGAACCTCACCTCGGTGCATATCAATGGCAGTTGCCTATCTTAGCGAGAAGAACCAATAGTATGAGTTTTATCTATGAGAAGGAAATTGTTAAAATTAATCTGAAAAATTTGAAAATATCATCGAATTCAAAAACTGTAATGAGTATTATTGGCAAACAAGTTCGCATAAAATCGAATTCATTTTCACAAATATAAAAACTAATTATCGAACCATTTTCACGTATCTATCCATTTTTATAGGATCTTTGTGTTTAATTCCAAGGTTCAGAGCAATCAAAAAAAGAACTTCTGCTTTGAATAAAAATAATCATTACCATGAACCTCTTAATTCAATAGCATCTTTTAAATCTTCAATTAGCATCGACCAATGTTTGATGCTAAGCCTGTACGAATACTTGTTCTCATTGCTTTAAAGAAAAATTGGCGTCTATTTCGATGCATCTATCAACTCTGTTGCTTTTGGTTAAAAACTAATGATAGATTAGGTTCAAGTAGTGTAATTTCTGAAAATCCATTCTACATGTTTGATTGAATCTGATGCACATATAGATTTCCGTAGAGTGAGAAGCAAGAATTCTAAGAAAATAAAAGGTATGAACAAGCAACAACATATGTATTATCATGCTTATCTATGTAGGATGAGATTTCACTTTTGATTTAATGTCGAAGTTAAGAATTGAAGGAATATTTTCGTAATATCTTAAAATTTTGATTATGATCTGAGATCTCTTATTAGTTTATGATCTACATCTGTATTCATTGAAAAAACAAACATGTATTTCAATATAATAAATGAAACAAAAAATATCAATATTATGCTCTATATTAATGAACAAGTAATTTTCAAAGAAAAAGTCTAAAATATTATGATTTTGCTCATAGACTCTAAAAAGAAAATATGCGACAAAATCGACATATACGATAATAAAAGCTATAGAAATATTTCAGAGCTACAAAGTAGTAACTTGATAGTTTTCGACGATCGACAGATTTAGTAGAAGAACGAAAGATAATTTCTGAGAGAAAATTGTTACAATCTAGATAAATAGTACAGTTGCTCCATTGTCTTACAAAGACGTTAGGAAAAAGTTCATAAGCATCATCTAAGGGTACGCCGTAATCAGCTTCAAAGCCTTCTTTCCACCATGAATTCGGTGTAAAGAATAGCCAATAATCACCACGCGCAATTAAAAATGCAGCTAGTTGTTGTTCAAGATCTTCGCATTGTTCCCATGGATGATCACATGCTCCATTGTACATAGCAGGAAATGTAACTGGTACATTTTTCATCGATATTGCAGTTTTCATTTTACTTGCACATGCAGCTGGTGTATCTTTACGTGATGGGATACTAGGACTTAACCAAGCTTGCCATGCATGTTTTTTATATTTTAGTCCCAGTTCCCATGCTCGATTTAAAGAGACTTGTTGGGCTGCATCAACAGCTTCCCGATACGCTTCGGTATAATTCGGGTGGTTAATTCGTTCATCCCAAATACCCCCATCATCGTCGTAGAAAATTCCGTCAACAACTGATTGATTAAATGCACTACCTACATAATAATTTACAAAATAGTCCTGTACTTCTGGATTTCTATGATCCCAACAGAATTGATCCATACGATAATTACCGACGATGGTCGAATCATTATAAATGGTACCATTCGGATATAGGACGAACCAATCAGTCTTCTTTGTTGTATCATACATTACTTTTGCCCCGTTATCAAAGATATTAAGTGCAAGTTCAGATTGACGATAAACAAATACACGAGTTTTTGGATTCATATTTTTAATGTAAGCGGCTTGTTGAGCTAATGTATCTTCTCTATGCATTGGCAAACCATAATGGTTAGCCCAATCTATACCAACTACACCATGTAGTGCTGCAAAGAAAACTGTCTGATTATCATAATAACCTTCGCTTGAATAGAAATAATGTTGTGTCGACAATTGCATATTGTACGTCGGAGACCAAGGAGGTAGTGGACACGGTAGTCGCCATTGTATAGGACACGGTGCAAGCTCACATTGTGTAAATATTACGACATGTGACATAAGAATAAATAAAACAGTAAAGAAATACATACTGACAATGAATAATTGGCTTGGTATTGTTTAAAATTTTTCAATGTAACTATCTAGAATGAAATAGTTGCATAAAAGTATTTTTGTTCTAATTTAACAAAAAAAATTTAATTCTCTATGTTTTATTCACGGCGTCAATGTTTCTAGGGTAGAAAAAGAAACTAGTCGAGACATTTTGGTAATCGTATTGCTCATGAAACGAGTATTTTATGTGATGCAAAAAGTACATGTGTTTGAAGAAAGAGAAAAGAAAAAAATAGGAAAATGAGTCATAGAGTAGTAATATTTACATTTCTTTGGTGTTCAAGCAAGAACGAGGCATGCAAAAGAAAATTTTGGTTGAATTGTTTTTAGAGATTTTAAATCAGAATAAATGAAGTCTGAATCAATTCAAAAGACTGATTTCTACCTGCGTTCATATACGAGAAGTTTAGAAGAAATAAATGAACTGAATAAAGATTAAGTATTTTAATAGAACTGATATGCTCTATTCTATGCAATATGAGAAAGTGAAAGTTAACTGACTGATAATATATTGACATCGAGATACAACTCTTTCTCTCTCTCTCTCTCTGTATATATATATATATACGTCTATCATAAAGAGACATGATATGAGATAAGTAGATAAGATATAAAAGACCAATGAATAGCTAGTATTGTCTAGGTAGTGAAAGAATAAAAAATAAATATAAGATTCAATTAGTTGAGGGATCGTTGAGTATCGTAAGTCTCGTCAAATGATTAGACCAATTTTTTACGATTTGGTAGACAATTAGAAAGTCTCAATCAAAATCATTATTATTCATTAATTGACGACCTAGCGTCAGGCAGAATTGGAACTCTTCAAAATGCAAATAAACATTGGTAGCAAGATTCACATTTGAATTGACTCATAATCAGTTGTCAGTTTTCTATTGTTTGTTTCACGAGTCTTTTTTAATTAAATGATAACTATTTGATTTTAATTTACTGGGAAGTTTTTTGAATGGACCACTGCAGTTAAATTTTTATATCTTTCTTATAAGAATATCGTGTAACAGCAAAGCTAATATAGCAAGCACAGAAACGTTATTTTGTAGTTTTGGTTAAAAGTACAAAGATTTATTTTTCATCACTACTAATGCATATATTTGGCATTGAAAACGACACCATTCAAGTAGTACTAAAAACAACTAGAAATTTCTGTTAAAATATATCTATATGATGTAAGTTTTGGTAACATTTACTGTTGTTTGGAACATAATTGTTCAAACAATGACAACAATATTTTTATCATTCAATTTTACAATCTTTGGCTGTTAACTGAGAACGATTTTTTTTGTATGCACTTATCACACAATTGATATCTGAATTTCATCAATCGAAATACTGATGCTTTCTAGAATTGCTACAAAAATTTATTTTAAATTGTACTAACTATCTGGACTTTGTGCTTTCAAAGTTTCTGCTTTAGGTAATTGAGACAATTATTCATATCGATGAACCATGAAAATATTTAACGGTGACATGTCAAATTATCGTTCATCATTATTCAGACATCAAAGAGAAGCATAGAATAGATTTGATTTAATTATTTCACTTTATTATGTAAATGAAACGCACGATAGCGTGGAAAATTAAAAAAACAGGATACAAAAATATTGCAGTACTCATCGTTAGAAGTAAATATATTAATTCTGATTCACAATGTCAACTGCTGATGAAATTCTTGTGTTAGCAGAAAAATTTTCATTGTATTTCACCATCGTTATTTTCGTCACCGGTACTATAGGGAATCTTTTGAACTTTGGCGTACTAACTACTTCAAAACGCTTTCGGTCTAATCAATGCGCTTTCTACCTAATTATTGAATCTATTGTTGATACCTGTCAACTATCGATTATTTTTATTATTTATATTTTGCCATTTATATACGGATTTTCGCCTGGCAATATCTTCATTGTCTGGTGTAAATTAAAGAATATATTACCACAAGTATTTCGATTACTGTCAACATCAATGGTATGTTTTGCTGCATTCGATCAATTTCTTTGCACGAATCCTCAATGTTCAATGCGCCGAATCAGTTCAATTCAATTAGCTCGTCGTCTCACACTAACAGCCATTTGCATTTGGACTATTCACGGTATACCGTATGCTATTTTTTACCAAATTATTCCATCAAATGGCTGTATTATAACTAATACTAACTTAATACATTACTATTCTTATTTTTATTATCCTATTTTGCATGGATTATTTCCAATATTGACTTCCTGTTTGTTTAGTCTTTTAGCTTATCGAAATGTTCGTCATCTTGTACGACGACAAGTAGCCGTGGTGCGTCGAAGACTAGATCGGCAATTAACAGCCATGGTTTTCTTGCGCGTAATATTTTTTGTACTACTTTTGACGCCATATACTATCTATCGTATTTATTCACTGAATGTCTTGGTTAGTATAACGGATCTCGGCCCATATGCTGTCGATCAGTTGATATATTCAATCATGGCGTCACTAATAAATTTAAATTACAGCGTAAGATTTCTCTTACCAATTCAACTAAAATTTCATGAGTATTATTGTTTTAGATGAATTTTTATATTTTTTTTTTATCATCCTCGCGATATCGACGACAAGTGAAATTATTTTATTCTAAAACCTGTTGCCGGTTTTTTAAATTAAATTGTAATACTAATCAAAATGAAATAAACCCTTCGGATTGAATGTGTAATATTATGGGATGTTGATTTTCAATGAAAAATAACTGTGCTCTATTTGAGGGTCTCTTTCATACGAAGTTCTTTTTATTTGTTGGTATTGTATTGTAAATATTATTTCTTTGAAACTAACGAAATTGAAAATAAATTACCGAATCATTGATATGAAATAGAGTTATTAATAAGACAAAAAAGCTCTTTTACAGTCCCTATTCTACTTGAAATTAGCATAGCATGTTTTTTATCTAATAAAATGAACGCCACAATAGCATGTACTTTTGCACACTAGACATTAGTGCTGGGTGGGTGAGTGTAAGTTTGTCTGTGGCAGAACAATAAAGATGATTACTCATATATCAATAGGCAGAAAAAGAGAGAAAAAATTATATGGCCATAAGATATGACAATAAAAAGTTGCATATGTTAGATGGTGAGGTTAAACATACTCTATAAGCGATCGAATCGACCAAAACGTGAGAGTAGATAATGCCACTCAATAGATTCAGACAAGAGCGTCATATGATCAATAAAATTGTGCAAGAATTCGAACATGCATGCAAAAGCATGATTAATTTTATTTATGGATTCTAGCTGGCTTCCAGTATTAACTAATTGATTTGAAAATATACCATAGATAAACCTATGATAAATAATGTTATATTGAAAATCGAATAGATATCAAAATTTCGCTTTGAATTGACTTGTCTCTGAATCCTGTCGTATAAAAATGGCATTTATTGAACTGAAGGCATATTAATTATTCTCCGTTTTATTTTCATTTATGATATTAGAATATTAAATAAAAAACGGTAGTATCATGATAGAAAACAACACCGAAGCGTGTTTGTCATTACTACTGTTTTTGAAATCAAGAAATGAAATAGATTCTTACACGTGCTTAGTTAAATGAATATTCCATATGTATACGCGCAACAACTGCAATCTATAGAAGATAATTACTGACCATGGTATCAATATTTATTTAAGATTTTGTAAAATATCACATTATTTGTTTTCTTCCATGCATTATATATATATATATATATATATATATATATATATATTGATGAATCATCTAGGTCGACTAAAAGAATGCTTATTGTTTGCTTTTTGTGCCATTATAGTTTGAGTACTCGATCAAACAAAAGTCGTCAGATTTCTGAAATAAATTCAGTTGCTAAAAGCAAGAAAAATTGAAATCTGCACTGTGCATTGCATTGCAAAACACGAAGATTGCCTGATTCGGATGTCGTGACTCTTCAATTTTTTCAAATGTACTGTAAATTCGAACTGGAACTTGGAGAATTTTGTTTTTGATGCAGTTCTTTTCGTGCTTGTTCTTTTCTCTTCTGCTATTCGTTCGTCTATACAATAGCGTTCTTATATAAATAGTAATGCAACAGAAAAATTCAAAAGTGTTCTTGTAAAAAATAATTTCTCTTCCATAATCGCAAGATAATCGATCGTATCGAGATAATTGAAGAGAATTTTTTCAATTAGTTTTAGTAAGTAAAAATAAACGCTGAAAGATACTTGATAATGGGACGATGTCTGATACATGACTTCTTCATATACGTATACTTTCCGTAATATATTATGGTTTGCCGCCGGCAAGATATACATCTTTGTTCTCTGCAAATGTAATAAAAACAATATATCTGGATCTTAAAATAGATAGTGTTATATAATGCAAACAGTGACAACAGAATTGCATCGTATCTTTTATGTAAATAGTTGCTAATCTAAAAAATGACACAATGAACATATTGTTAATATCTTTCTCAATCATATCGATTAGCTTTTATTTTCTCTTCTTCAATATAGGAGAGTAGTCGATGTTTTCTCTTGGTATACTCACACTTAGCCACACCCTTTTAAGGAGACTTTGAAATCGTATCAGAATGTGTCCAACCTATTTAATATTATTATGATTTTATCAATTTCGCACATAAATTCATTCGTGATTTTTGAAGAAAATATTTTTTGTGCGCAATTCAATTTTTAATAAAAAATATGACACGTAATGACTAAGAAGAAAAAGAAACATTTGAAACAGAACACCTATGGCACAAGTAAGAGTAAACAAAACAGTTCCTCTTTTTACTTTTACAACACACAAATCACCGTTAACCGTTACTTTTTGTGATGAAGACCGAAACAAAAGATGAGCAAAATTTCAGTGATGATGATCTCATTTGTCCGATAACACAAGAAATTTTTAGAGATCCTGTTAGAGCAGCCGATGGCTTCGTTTATGAACGGGACGCAATTTCACGATGGATCTTGCAGAAAGGTACCAGCCCGCTTACTCGAAAACCGCTAAGAATCGATGAATTACGTCCAGACGAAAAAATTCGACACCTCGCCCGTCGTCGCCGACGTTCAACAGTCAGCTATGATGCACGAAACGATACAGTTTCACTACCTCCTCTTAGGCTAGTGCCAAGGGCTACTAATCAAATCTCTCCAATACCTGTGCGTCCATGTCAAACAGTGCCAAGCGCTACTAATCAAATCTCTCCAATACCTGCGCGTCCATGTCAAACAGTACCACGAGTTCCAAGAGTGGAGTGCTCGAAAAAACGAATGGTTAAATTATTATTTCTTCTATTTTCAATTTGTACCATTGTTGGTCCAATCGTTGGAATGGTTCTAGGTATGTTATCACTTTATTACTATCGAGGAAAAGTTCAGTTTATAATAACATAATAACAGTTAACAAATTGTGAATACTTTAATCGTAAATGACCTGTAATCACTGAATCCTATACTTCTATAAGAAATATTATCATCTGATCACGCAGAGTGCTTACATTACTTTAATAATCGTTGGTTCAGAACTATGTTTATCCTAGAAAACTTAAAAGTATTACGAAATTTCATTCAGGAATCTGTAACTAAAACATTTTACAGTATAGACTGAGAGAAAATGAAGTTGATTTTCGCATTGTTATTTGTAATTTTGCATGATGATACGCTTGAACAATAATAATGCATTATGAGAGTCTCCAATCTTTTATGTGATCTCTATTCTAGTATAGATTAAGAGCAAAGAAAAGCGTTTAATAGATTAATCTCAAGCAATTGTTGCTGAACGCTATATCTTAGCAAATCGTCAAGTTGAAATTCGACTATCAACTTGTATAGTGATTTTAACTGGCGACTATATGACGTTTTCTTTTAAATCAATATCATAAAATCGAGAAAGGACCCCGCCGGATAAAAAAATTTTCTTGAATCGATTTCATTTTTTTATACAGTATTGTAGAGCTCGTTGAGATACATCAAATGGTATATAGGAAGTCAAGTTTTCATAACGGTTTTGTGTAGTTACAGTCGATATACTATCTATACTGGCATAGGGATTTGTATGGTACTAATAGAAAATGTACACTCCTATGATCATCTCTAATGAGTATATACATATTTAGTTTTGTAATTCAGTTCGATACAGTTATGAGTGGTGCTCAATTTTTCATATTTGATAGTTTTCATTACTACTGCTTTCCTACTGAAAAGAGTCATCTTCTATCGATGAATGACATTTTTTCATCAAAATGCACTTTACTGTTTTCAGTCCTGTGCAGTANTGAAATCGATTCAAGAAAATTTTTTTATCCGGCGGGGTCCTTTCTATAAGAACGAGCTAGAAATCATAACTTTGTAGAATACTCTTCGCTTATGACCATCTAAATGGTATATAGAGTTCCCGATGGAAAAGTTCCTACAATGTAACAAAATCTTAATGGTTTAACCCAAAAATACATGAAGATGTTAGACTGAATTCTTCATATGATAATATCTAGCCTATTACATAGATACGTCAGAATTCATAGTTTTTGAATTAAACGTTATACTTAAAATGAATTTTAATCTGACAAGTCTTTATAGAAAAATAACCTTTCATTCTTTCGAGTGACAGTAAAGACACCCTTTATTATATATTATTGAAAGCTGTTTGTTTTGAACGATTATTTATTCGGTTAAGACATTGCTCATACATTTTTGAGAATTTTTATTTGTATAGTTGCTATTTGACATTGATTTGTTGAAAATGAGTTAAAACAATATGATCTCTTACTAGTGCAATCGACTTCTGGCTAGAATATTAGCAAAGCGCTAAGTATCCAAAAGTGAGATTTATCTGTATAAACTTATGATACAACTACGGATAAGCGACACGCATGAGTCTGGTGAACACAATACCAAGAGAGTTTTAAAACTCGGATGCTGCTAACATCTTGAATTGCCACTGTTCACAAAAAGATCTATCGTGAGACAAGAGGAAATCGAAATAAAATTTTTTCTAGAGCTGTCATATATTTTTAGAGGGAGAAACGAAAAAACACCTCTTTTTATTACCATTACCATTGTTCTTGCAGTTTCATAGAAACCAATTTCTGACGTGAAGAATTTTCCCGAAAATCGTGTTTAGTGTATTCATTTCACCACGATTATCTAGTGTTGAAAGAAGTCGAACAAGTTTTATTGCATTACATACTATCACAGACTGATAATAAGTGTTCAGTAAATACGATTGTTGGAATGAGAGATATTTGTTTCTTAACTTCGTATGCTCAAGAAAACGTTGGCTGGCTCCTATATCTGTTGGTTAGCACAGACGAAGTAATGAAAATTCACGAATATCTGTAGTTTATTGATTCTAACAAAAAAATGGCACATATGTATTGTGAACATGATAGAGATTCTCAGTTTTCAATTCTACAAAGAACAGATAAATATACATCTAATGTTGAAATTTCATATTTTCATCGCAATGTGCTGCAGGTTCTTTAATCAAGCTTCTCAAAAACAATCTATTCCATGAAGCCAGCGAGATGTTTTTTGAGCTTGCAAGTGTGCATTATGAATCCCTATAAAAAAAAAACTAAAACTTTGTGCAAGATTAGGATTTTTTAACATGAGCCAATAGTGGATTTCACACATTTATTTTCAAAGAATCATTCTAGTACTTTTTTCGGTACGATTTTAAGGGATTCAAAGAACATTCATTTCTTCTTTCCAACGTTGAAAGTCACAAGTTTCCAACAAGTTTCTGTCAACCCTATGTCAATATACACCTATGTATTGGCTTGTTTCTATATGAATATAACACACTATGGACAATTTAGCGTTTCCATTCAGTTACTTGTAAAAAGAATATAATCCCAGGGCAAACAATCAGATGTTAAGATCTTGTGTCAGATTTTTCGACCTGGGATCTCACCATTTAAATTTGAATCATGCTGCAGAGTAGCTATATTTTTCTATTATGCACATATGGTAGTGCCGATTTCAATAGAAAATTTAGAAGGAATTCGAAAGATAAAGAACAGTCGGACATTATCAAATGGAATATCTAACAAATTAAAAAATCTTTTTTCTAGTTCACGTCGCATATTCTATGAAAATATGAATTTATTCTATCTGATAGAAGATAATTTTATTGTAATTAGTTTAAATTCTTTTTCTAGTGCTAATTTAGTGCCTTTCGAAAAATTGATTCTTCAAAGTATAGATAAACATTTAGAAAAACTTAAACGTCTTTTTAGTATCACAATCAAAATTTTTGCCAAATCAATTTTTCAGGTCTTGCAGTAGAGACACCGATTAATGATATTTCTGTCTACTCAAATGTATTTAATAACACGAATGTAACCTTCAGTGACGTTGCATTAAATAAGACCTACTATTATGAAACAATCCAGGTCGTCGTAGTGGAAAGCAGTTCATATATTTTCACGAGCAGCAGCAATATCGATACTTATGGTCGTTTGTATATGAACAATTTCAATAATACGAATCCTGCTAATAATCTATTGATATATGATGATAATAATAGCGGTAGACAGCAACAATTTCGCTTCAAAATTGTTCTTACATCAGGTACATACATTTTAGTGGTAGCTACTTTTACTAATGCTACCATGCAGCCATTTTCGATCATCGTGACTGGGACACAGTATGTTACTTTTATATAAAAACATATTGTCAAATTAGTGATGTATATTCAATTTCAAGTTTTAACTACATATTGAAATAAAATTTCTTGATATATCTGAAGCAGACCCCGAGTGAGGATATTTCACTATATGTTAATATTAATGGATCGCTAACAATGCAATTTATATAGTTGTATAGATTTTATCGTTTAACTTTGAAATTCATGCCAGTCGATTGAAATGTGCATGGATGACATGTAAGATGGTTTATATTTCATTCTATAAGTACTCGAAAAACATTCTTATAGAAAAAACTGTACTTACAAAGTATCTAAGTATTGTAGGCGATACTAAAGAAATAAATTTTCCGACCTTTCTCATGTTAGAAAGTTTTTCAAGTGGATCTATAAAATCTTTTCGGATTATATTTCAAGTTAGTAATAGATTTTGAAATTTTGTTAAATCCAAATGTGTTAGAAAATATTATTTCTAGATGCGCGCTAGGCATATTTTTAAATTAGTAAAAGTTTTCAGAAGTGTTTCTCAATTTGAAATAAAACTAAAAGGACATCATGCAAAGTCAATCAACATAGGAATTAAATTTATGACTGAAAGCCTACGACAGATTCTTCATATAATCGATGTATGAATGAATATTCTATGCAAAATAAGTCAAAATAATCATTCTTCTCAAAATATCTGCATAGAAATAAGTTAGACTCCTCAATACGCGTATAGATTACTAGATATTGATGACAATCAAAATTGACAATATCACATAATGTGTTAAATTTTTAATATCATGAGAAACTAAGTCACTGAGTATGCACGTTTTTCGAAAGGCACTTCTCATAACAAAAGCTATACTAAACGATATAAATATTACTTGACAGTATACGAAAAGATTTTCACGCTCACTATCGATTTTCGAAAACGTAACTAGTCTTCTCAAAGATTTCGCATCTTGAAAGAAAATATGATTTGTCTCCATGTCTCTTTTGTTCATATACATATCTTGATCACATTTGAAAAACGGCGACACATTCTTCAGCTATATCACATACAAAGCAAAGCAAATCCTACGTTTATCATGACGACTCTGAACAAAAATGTATCACTTTTCTATTGGGAAACAAAATTTTGCAAATGTAACGTACAATATTAGTCGGATCAAATAAACTACTTTTCAGTGATGTGAAAAATGGGTCCTAGTGATTTTTCAGTGATGTTGATCATCTGTGGCAGGAAACAAAGTAATACTCTATATAATATGATTTAGGAATTGGTAGCTTGTACTCGTTACAATGGTGTTTTGTTATCAGAGTGTGAACTGAGAACAACTTGATTGAACGAATTGAATGATCGCAAGACAAAATGTTTTTGTACCATCGGTGATCAACTCTCCGCTAAAATCAGCAAAATTATGTTCATAAACAACGATGATAATTGGTAATGAATACCATTGTACATCTGCAATTAATTTGTCGTTGATTAGTGGCTAACTTGGGCATTCAAGACAAGTTTTTCAATGAGTGGAATAAGATTATATTCGCATTTGAGTCGATGATTTTGTTTTATAAGAATCATTTAAAGCTAGCCATCATCTATAAATCTAACTTGTTGACTTGATTGAATCGGAATTTCTCAACTAATCTCTATTTTAGATTTGTAAATGTTGTTTTAATCATACCATTGCTCTTTGAAACGTCAATTCAATCAGTATACGTCTACAATTTCGGTAAATTTCTTTTTGTTGAAAACTTTTCTGAGCAATCACAATAAGTGTGAAAAATGTATCATGTGTAAGCAATAAAGCTCAGTTTACTATTCTTCTTTTCAGGAATACGTAAGGTTGAAAAGAATAATAAGCACTAGAGTATATGCGTTTCAACTATCGATCCCCAACTAGTGTCAGTCGCTAAATCAACATTAAGGGTGTGACTTCTCTAAAGTTCAGATTAAACAAAACGAAGAACCCTTTTATTACAAATTACAATTGTATGCTGGGGTTTTAGCTTCAAATTTAGCGGTTGTCTAGCCAAAATAGATTCTACTCTAGTCGTTTGAAAGCCCTCAAAAACAGCCAAACTAAATCAATTTTTCCTGCCAAAATCAAATGTCACTAAGTTCATTCGATATTTCATTTTACGAATTCAAATTGCAAGACCAAATAAATAGTTTACATTTCATAAGCAGAATAAAAACTGATCAAGCCCCTTTGTGACAACTTTTCAACTGCTACAACTATAGTAATCCTGTTTCATTGTAAATAAAGCTTTACTTCAAATAGTTTTTTTTTCCTTTTTTGGATGAATAAGAAACTACTGCAATTCATGTTTTTATGGCGATTATGATGATTCAATGCGAATAAGTTCGAATACGTAAGGTTTAATATAAGAATAGCAATAATTGTTTTATGAATTCATTCGGTTTTGTTTATCACGGCAAAATTTGAAACTGAAATAAATCTATTTCCTAGCATGAATTAGAATAGTCAATCGATTCGACTTGTCAGTAAGTATGAAAAGCCAAAGATTACGTAAAATTTGACGTAGTTTCATCCAAAACGGATACGTCGAAAAATAGTATACATTAGAAACATTCAAAAAAAGTAATATTGAGAAATTTTCCCATCGATTCAAGATATTTAGCAATGCTATTGACTAAACTATTGCTTTAGGATTTCATATTGATTACAAAACAACTAGCTTATGAAATGTGTCCTAAAGACTTAGGCCATGTACTCTAATTGTCGATCATAACAATGTTTCGAAGTAAAGAGATCATTTTTTATGTTTTCAAGTATTTAATCCATTATAAATTCCAATGTACAAAATATTTGATTTCTCTCTAGGGAAATCTAGCCTTGAAAGCCTTATCTCAGAGCATTACGCAACTTTTCACATGCTCATATTATGTAATCGTTTTTTAAAAGAATTTTTCTTTAACGATCAACATTCTTCTATGGTATTTGTACTTGACTTCTATATATACTGCACCGGATACACTGAATACTACGTTCGTACAAATTAAGCTATTGCCTAAAAGAATGACTGGTAGGAACCGAAGGGAAAAGTCAGCTTTCATGAATTAGTACGATATGAAGCATATAAGACATTCGTAGTTTTTATTTAGTTTATTTTTTCGTAAATCTCGATGTGTTTTCATAGGTTTTATTTGCAGATCACGATTTCATTACCATTGGAATGGGTGAATGCACTATCGGAGCTGTGACTTACATTATGGTCGCCGGTCTCGGATCTATAATTACTGGCATTGTTGGTACCGTTCTATATAGCACAGCACGAGACCAACAATATGAGTACAATACAAGAACGCCCTGTCTTCTACTTAATAAAATATCTAATGAAACATGCGACGCAGACAACTCAGATAGATCTTTTCGTCAAGTAACTCCAAGTTTGAAAGATTGTTACTACGACGAATGGTTTTTTGTTAATTATCCAACATCGGATGGAACATGGTTGAACAGTACCATCCATGAAACAATGTCTAGCGCGCAGCGTCCAGCTGAGGTATGATATTCGATAGTAGTTAGCTCCTGAAACGTTTTGACTGAATTGTTGGTTTGATTTCTAAATACAGCAATCATCTACAGAGAGTCGTCCATTATGATCATATATATGCTTAATTGAGTTTATAAACAGATGATAAATTCATATAACACGAAATAGCATTCGAATCCGAGATAGAGTAACTCATATCTAACGTATGCATACTTCTCAAATTATGACAATATGAACTCATAGTGAAGAATAATTTGATCTATTTTCAGGCGACCATAAATCCAGTTTGCTTATTTAAATATTTTTGGGCTCTTCTAGAATAAGATATAATTAAAGTTTAATCAAATAAGTATCACTGTTGGTTAAGATTTATTGTTGATTTTTTTAAACACAATTTTTTAATCAGTACTAAAGTATAAATTGAGACTAGTCAACATTTCTTCTAGCCTATCCTAGATACTTTACTAGGCCTAGTGGGTAAATATTATAAAAACCTAGCTGACGTGAAACAATTTTTCTTTCATTTTTGCATATGATCAACACCAAAAGATTCGCAGCTGTGGAATTATTTCTTTATTTTGTTTTACTTAGATTGGCCAGACTTACCCATGCTTTTATAGTCGAAAAGATGGGACATCTGTAATATGGCAGCAGGATAGTCATATAACAGGTAAAATAATGCTCATCGCTGGCTGGACTGGAGCTATTATAAGTCTACTGTGTTCGGAACCTATTGTTTTTCATCTAATTGACCGTGAATGCTTATAAATTTGTTTTATCATTGTAAAAATATGGCTATTCTGGTACAACGAACGAATACATTAATTGATCTGAAAAATTGCTAAAATTGTGTAGTGCAAGCCATATCAATCTTCGGAGTCAGGATTTGCGACTGATTATTCTATAAAATAGGTCAAAATCAAGAAAAAGTTGAGAAATTCGATCCAGCTTTGCATAACTGAGGACCATTCATTTCTATTCAGAAAAACGTCAATACGAGTATTCTTACTAGCTTGCATATCAAGTTTTGAAAATGAATTTGCAATATGAAAAATGAACACCAAACATGTATGGGACCTCAAAGTTTGGCTTGATAAATCAGTATAGTTGAGTCAGAACCTTTGTGTAGATTTTTCTCTCTCGGGTATATGCAATGTTTTAAAACAAATCGTTATGTATGTACAAAAGAAGCATTGCTGAAAAGAAAATAATTAATTATCAATTAATTTGGTAGAGTTAATAGACCCTGTTTAGAAAAAATTAAATATCACTGAATAAAAGTCTCAATGCAATTACAACATAAAATCTGATATGCAGATGTTCACAGGGAATGGCTTTCAAAAGTGGTATTGTATTGAAGTCATAAAAAGTTACCCTTTCATTCGAAAATTGTTATTTAAGTTTTCTACTGTGCGAAAAAATTCCAGCAAATATGTGCATACATTGAAGAATTATTTTAATAAAAAATATAATGTATAAGAATTCATTCTTTATTCAAATTTGTTATCTCTATCTTATGTAAAACTGATACTGTATGAATTTTGGTTTATTGAATAGAATAATTTGAATAACATCAGACTGCATTTCTTGCTGCATTATTTTACTAAGAAGGTTTTAGTAGACTTACGCAAAGTTGATACATAGCTTTCTCTTCTACCAATAGATTTTGTCATACAGATACAAACAAAAATAGATGCTGTTCATAATAAAGATTGAAATTTACGAAGTTTAGCTCGTACTTGTAGCAAACTCACCATGCTTGATTGAAATCTATTAGATATAGTGTTAAGAGGCACAATGCTAGTCGTTGTAATAGATTGTCCTAATCATTTATTTGCTGCTCAATACAATTTTTTTCTTCGGATTTAAATCAATACGCCGATATGTGAGTGTGACCAATGTCAAGATGAGACCAATATTTATATTTGTTCTTCGATGCCATCATACAATTAAAAACAATAACTTTTCAATTAGAGTAATATTGATAATTTAGAATTCCTGCATTTTTCCCACCATAAATAGCAAGAAATATTCGGCATATCTCCAATATAATATGTTACTTTCATATTTCGTTGACACCCGGCGTTTTACTTGTACTTTTACGAATTGGCTACAGCTAAATTGAATTATTTCCAGAGTACGTAATCATTGATCTTGGTAATGGAAAAAGTCTGGTATCTTGAGTGTATTTTTTCAGCATAGAGATAGCAATGAAATACGATGATTAATATGGAAATGGTTTTGCTAAAAAAAGATTATATTATATGGATGTCAAGCGATGCAATGATATGAAATTTGAATGGTTCATCATTAGATCACATGTTATTAAAAGTTTGTAACCTCTGATGACTTTTCCCAAGATCCAGTAATAACGAATGCTTTTTTGAAAAAAAATAAGGATTCATTTTGCTTGTTTATACAATTTGATCTTTTCAATAAAAAAAGGATCATTTTACTTGAAATTTAGATATTCAGTCAGATGTAACCATTAGATATTTAGAATTATTTTATTTGAAAAACATCTTTTATGTCGAAGATTTCATATTCCGGATGAACAACATCGACTGTAGTTTTGATTAAAGTTTTTCTTGCTCTTTTTCTGAAACCATCTTATATTGTTAAATGAAAAGAAAAAAATATTTATTAGAGAGCTTTTTTTCCTATTCTCTCTAGACTATCTGATCTACTTTATGAAAAGTAGATATAATTGCTTTAGAGTCATTTTTTATTATTATTCTATCTAGGTCATCTTATCTTCCTAAAGAAAAGTTACCGTTATCTAAAATGTGTTTTTTTTTGTTCTTTTTCTTTTACAAATGAATACATAAATGATATATCCTTATATTTAATTACATAAATATGAGGACGATAATAGATGTCAATAGTATAGGTGTTAAAATATAGTTCTGTGTTCAAACTCTACGGTAGATTCTCTAATTTTTTTCACGACCTTCGCGGTATTCAGATTTTATAGTCAAATAATGATTTCCTATTTGAATAAATACAAAACGTTGACTTTTTCTCCGAATATATTCTAGTAATTCAATATTTTTTTGTTTCGCAGTAACTGCTAAGTTCATGAGAAGATTGAGTAGAGAATATAATTATTAATAGAAGAAAATTACTATAATTTACTGAAAAATGATTTGATGACGAGAGAAAGCTTTTACTTGACAGTAGACATCAATAAAAATACAGCTTTACATTTCTAACACAGAATGAATCTTTTTTTCTCTACTATAGCAGAAGATCAGCAATTATGCTTGTATATAGAAGAACTGCGAACAAGTTCACATTTCAATTAACAATAAGATATGTTCTACAGTGAAAATAGACGTGATTGCTTTGAAATCCAGTTAAACATGTAGAGAAAAAGTTCACGTGACAATTTTGTCGAAAACAAATTGGTGAAAATCCTACGTCAACAAATGAAATTATTCTACTTTTTCAAAACAAGATAGAGGTATACTTGTTCATGTGTCTATTTCCTTATATTTTCAAAGTGAATTCTTGCATTAGTATGTTGCAAAAGTTCAGACACAAACAGGACGAAACAAATACTGCAATTATTTCATCATTAAGATGGCACGTGGAAGTGTATTATTATCTTCCGTTTGTCGATATTGTATAGAGGATTCTTCAAGATACTGCTTTCCATAGATAGATTTTTCAACACTATTTCTGAATTTATTTTGCATAATTCCAGCATATCGTTGGATGGCCTATAATTTGTTGGCAAGAAAAATTTTAGAAAAGTGTTTTTTAGCATAAAAATCTTTTATTTTCTTGATGCAGACACGAGTTTATCTCTTAAGTTCAGAAAGAGCTTTGACAGTTCGACTAGCTAAGAAGTCGTTCTGTCATATTGACTGTCATAGATAATTTCAGAAAAAATCAAGCTAATCTTGCAATCTAATGACGATAAATCAAAAAGAAAGAACAGATGGGCGTGATATCAACGTTTTACATCTGACTTGTTATAATGTTATAATTTGAATTAGTTTTGTTAAACTCTCCGATAATATTCTGACACATATACATAAGTCTATCTCATAAAATTTGAATGTACTTCTTTTTATTTGACTATCCAGAAACTATTACAAGGTTGCTTTGATGCGCTGAAAACTTTCTGAGAAGTTTCGTTCAATATTTTTGGTAATTTTGATTTTCATGGTTTTATAATATGAGTTAATTGTTTGACTAAAGGAAATAAATAAGAGTTTTATTTATTTTATGATGTGATGAAGCTTGGAATAAATGATTTTAATCAACTAATAAGATTCTAAACAAAACACATTCATGTTGCATGTAAAAGCATTACACCTTAACAGTATTTGAGAATCTGTGAAATATATCTTTCTCTGTCAAATCGATGAAAAATCTGATATGAAATTAAAACATTATGTTACCATTAAAAGATCTTTTGAAGTTAAAGGGAATGACCTTTTTTTTTATATGAATACGTAGTCATTTGCGCATTAACTGCAGAGTTCTTTCCTAAAAGAAACACCTCAATATATCGATTCATTTTTCTCTAAATGTGTCTGTGGATTCCGATGTATCAGCTTTGGGTAAAAAACTAATTGGAAAAAACAGATCAGTTCGAATATAAGCTTACTGTCTTGGTGCTCAATATGATATCTATTTGGTTCTCGAATTGCAATCTGGCGATGTATTACTTCTGATAATGAAATAAGCTTTATTGTTGCAAAGAAGAAAGAAACCCATCTTCAACGTATGTCGAGTATTTTTGGTACATATTTATATATACACTAGTCATTATCATATAAGTTAAATTATATCTCTGTTAAGCGAATTATGGACGAATACTCTTTTCACATATTTTCCCAGGTAAAATTTGTTAGACATATATTAAAAGCAATATTTCCATAGGCAACTTTATGAGATTTACTCATTCATACGTCAAAATATTGTCGAAAAGTTTTGTTTAAACGTCAAATGCACTTGAAACTATTGATTTCAAAACCTGTGTAATTACAAGTATCATTAATTCATTTTTTGATACTTTACCAATTACTTAGAATGTCTTTAGTTGCAGTCCGAAGAAGGAAAAACGACATCTTTTCTTTGTTTGTATAAAGAACTTTGTCTGTAATATCATTGAACTAATATGGACCAATAAGGATAGCGAAACGAATTATTTTTTTATCGTCTGCATGTATTTGATTTAGCTTATAGGTGTGTTTGTCTCGCGAAAAGACATTATTAATCTTATTTAGTTAAGAAAAGAAATCAATCAAAATGGAACGTCAATCAACGACGTTCATTTTAATGAAAATCATTCGTGATTTAAATTTCAATACAAATACTGAGGTATTATTTTACTTCTATTTAGTCTTTTTTTATTATTATTGAAATTAGGCTCGTGAACAACAACGGCGTTTTGTAAATGAACGTTTTCAACGTTCGAATACAAAAATCGATCATTGTATAAAATCTTCTGCAGCTGATTTAACAGAATTAATTACAAATTTTTCTGATATCTATACATCAATCGAACAATCAAAAAATCGTGTTCAAAATGTTCGTGAGCGCTTACGTGAATGCAAAAATTTATTATTACTAAAAAGACAAGATATACGCAAATTATGGTTGTTAACATCTGAACAAAATGCTTTAGTAAAAATTTATCAAAATATCGATGAATTAAAACATGTTCCTTTGCGTCTACAATTTTATTTGAATAAACATTTATACATTCATGCATCATTATTATTATTAAAAGCAAAAGAACATCAAGAACTACG